AACATTCGGGGACTGCAGTCCTTTTTAGGATTTGCAAACTATTATCGGAGGTTCATCCAGAACTACTCCAAGAAGATTCAGGGAATGACGGCCCTGACGAAGAAAGGGGTGAAGTACTCCTGGACGGCAGCCGCTGACGCCGCGTTCCGGGAATTGACCTTCACCCAGGCGCCTATATTGGCGCACTACAACGAGGAGCGCCAAGTGGTGCTCGAGACCGACGCTTCCTCTGGAGCGATCGGCGCGGTGATGTCCCAGGTAGGGGACGATGGGAAGCTCCACCCGGTAGCGTTCATGTCAAAGAGTCTGACGCCCGCCGAGAGGAACTACGATGTGCACGACAGGGAACTGTTGGCCATCGTCTATTGCAGTCGGATATGGCGACATTATCTCGACAACAAGTACCCCGTTCGGATTCTCACGGATCACAAGAACTTGGAGTATTTCAAGAGGGACAAGGTATTGTCCCAACGGCAGGCGCGATGGTCGCAGCTGTTGAACCAGATCTCCTACACCCTGGAGTACAAGCCGGGAACGGAGAACGGGAAGGCCGACGCGTTGAGTCGTCGGGAAGAGTTGATGGAGGAGACAGAACCGAAGCGAGCGGAGACTCTGCTCCGGCCTGTCGAAGACGCACCCCCTGAAGGGTGTAGTCCGGTTGAACGACCGCCTTTGCGGTTGAATGGCACCATCCCCGCACTGGGCGATTGGATGGTGAAAGCGCTGATACCGGCGGCGCAGGACGACCCGGTGGCGAAAGAGCTCGTAGCGCAGCTCAAGGCGGGGACCTTGGCGAATGAGCGATACAGCTTGAGCCCCACTGGGGTTCTCCTGTACAACGGGTTGGTGTATGTTCCTAACGCGGGGAACATCAAGGTAGAGCTGATGAAGCGCCTACATGACGGGAAGGCCGCCGGCCATTGGGGGCGGGACAAGACCGTGGAGCTAACCAGTAGGGACTTCTACTGGCCTGGGATGGCGAAGTGGATCGGGGAGTACGTCGCTAGCTGCAGCATATGTCAGCGCAACCGGCGACCCCGAATGAAGCCTGTCGGCGAACTAGCGCCGCTGCCGGTACCGGCGGGACCATACGAATCGATCACTTGGGACCACATCACGGACCTGCCCGAGTCTATGGGGTCCAATTCGATCCTGGTGATCGTCGATCGGTTCAGCAAGCGAGCGCACTTCGTCGCTTGTCGAAAGGATAACGACGCCACATTCTTGGCGCGGTTATTCCTTGACCGATGGGTGTGTTTGCATGGGTTCCCGAAGCAGATCATTTCAGATCGAGGTACGTTGTTCACCTCGCGCTTCTGGAAAGATCTGTGCCGCATGGCGAACGTGGAGAATAGTTACTCCACGGCGTTCCACCCGGAGACGGACGGACAGACCGAGCGAAGTAACTCCACCTTGGAGCAGTACTTGCGGTCGTACGTCAACTTCCTCCAGGACGATTGGGCGGAGTTACTCTCCATGGCGGAGTTCGCGTACAACAACGCGAAGCACTCTGCCATCGGGATGTCGCCATTCATGGCGTCCGAGGGAAGGGAACATACCTTCTCCCTGCCAGTGCCCGGCGCTAGGGAAGAGGCGGTGGAATCGGCGGGAGAGTACCGAGACCGACTCGACGGGATCTACAAGTCGGTGAAGGAGGCGCTGGAACAGGCGCGGAAAGACATGGCGAAGTACGCAAATCGGAAGCGTACCGCCGTCCCTGACGAGGGTTACAACGTAGGGGACCTGGTAATGTTATCTACCAAGAACTTGACGTCGGTGCGCCCCAGCCAGAAGCTCTCGATGAAGACGCTGGGGCCCTTCCGAATCACGGAAGTCATCGGCCAGAGCAAGATGGCGAGGAGGCTGGAACTCCCCGCGCAGTTACGCCGGGTGCATCCCGTCTTCCACGTGTCGTTGCTCATCCCCTATCGGGCCAACGAGCTGGAAGGAAGAGAGGTGGTTGAACCGCCTACCCCCGAAGTCCTCGACAACGGTGACTTGGGGTATGTCGTGTCCGAGATCGTACACTCGAAAGCGTTGCGATCCGGGAGGTCCGGGAAGAAGACCCAGTACCTAGTGCGATTCGAAGGGTACGGGGATGAATCGAACGAGTGGGTTAGCCCCGCCGAATTCGATCACGACGACAAGGTCGTCGCAGCGTTTCACAAGCGCTACCCTCATCTACCGCAGCCTGGTCGACAAGAGTACGCCGACGCTTGATGCGTTCGGAGACCGCATCTAGGGGGGGGATCCTGTTATAGCGGTCACGTGACGCGTCGGACACGCCGTACGCGACTCCCGTATGCGACTCCCGTCGGGAGTACTTTTCGGTGTTGTTGTTTGGATGTAGAACTAGTACCTCTGTAATAGCTCTGCATCCGTTATTACATCTAGATGTCTACCCATACCTTGCCTCATTCCTGCGTCCCGTCAGCCTGTCCAGGGGGACCCCCATCGGGGGCCGCTCCCGGGCCTTACATTTCCTTTCGTGAGGCCGGATCATCGTTTACTATGTTGGCGAAATGAGAACAGGATTGGCATGTGTGTCGAAGAGGTCGGGGGAGGCAAAGCCAGACTCAACTTCCCTGAAGAAGGCATCGACCCGTTGGTCGATGCCCAACTCCCTGGTTTGACTGAGACTGCTGACGATCTATTGGAACTTCCCTGAAGTTCCCGTATCGAATATGTCTTAATTGTATTCCCGCAAATACCGGCGCCAAGTATGAACGTTTCAGAGACTTGAGGCCTTCCGATTGTACCCGGTGGCCTCTGCGAATAGGGTGATTACCTTGGGATGATCGTCCATCCTTTGACGAATTCTTCTTTGTTCTCCGTGCCTGGGAGGGTGAGGTACGTTCGTTTCGCTTGCTAAATGGATACGATGATGATCTGCGATGCCTTTCGCTGCTTAGTAAGGTCCTTTAAAGGTGTTTATCTTTTGTTATGTGCAAGCTTCCGACGATCGTTATCGTAGCACTTTGCAAGAGTTCTTCTTGCGTTTGGTGTTACTTCGCGAATGGCTAAACATATATATACCTGCACTGACCTACGTTCTTTCCTTCGACTTGTAACTTGTATGTATATCAAACACAATCACATAACGTTCCACGCGTTCTCTTATCACCATCCTAGCCGATACACACGCATCACCTTCACATTCGTCAAGCTCATCACCATGGAGAACATCCCTCTTCCTACCCGTCCCCCCTCCATGTTTTATGGCCCTCACGTCGCCCAATACAGTCCTTACCAGGACCCTACTTCCCCCGGCGTCTACCACTACGACGAGAACGGCAATGCGTACACGGTCGCAAGGGATCACCGCGTTGTTTGGGCACCCGAACACAATGTCGAATTGTATCCAGAGATGTGCGCGTTTGACGAGCCACCTCCTCCCGGTATGCTACGAGGCATATTCCCGCCTCGCTCGCCCATCTTCGAGGCGAATAGGCTTAACAACCAGCCTTGTCTCGAGTGGAATTGGAAAGCGATCAATGAGACAGGCCTCGGATTACAATGGAACTGGAAGCTCGGCATGCATCGTCTCCCGCCCGGGTACACTCCGCAGGACCTCACGCGGGAATTATTCATGTCCCCCGACATCCCGTTCAAATATCCTTTGGTCGAAAGGTGTAACGACGGCTTTACTCAGTTCCGAGTGCACGTGAGTTTTAACAGCGGGAATTGCACCGAAGTCATATTGATCTGATCTATTCCGTTGTTGATTCCGTTGTCGGTAGGACATCATCATGATGGCTCATGATGACGCCAGGACCGAGATCCTTGCGACCGGCGGTATGGTCACGCTCGCCGCCCGCAATGAAGATCGCATGTACGAGATCTACGCGTTCGGCCAAGGACTGTTTCACTGCATGTCGATGCTACGCTTGTGCAAGGAGCACACTCCTCGAAGTTGGTTCCCGCTTTGTGCCGGTTTATACCGGATCAACATCATATACAAACGATGGGAGAAACTTTGGCGGATGACCAGAGAACAGTCGGCGAAGAAACTTCCCGCCTTCTCGGCGGAGACTCTGGCGACGTTCCGAGAAGAATCGACTCGAGCGAACAAGATGTGTCGATGTCTACACAACGGTCTCATGGGCGAGTGCAGCTAGACCGGTGAGTATACGCTACGTATGTCTCCCAAATTTGTTTCCCGCCGATCAGAACCGTATTAATCTTCTGATATTCAGGTCCATCATAAAGCTATAAAGCTATATTCATTTATACTATCATAATCAACATATTTCTCGTCGCGCTATTCTACGCCTCTACGCCATGCTCCATATAATACAAGACAGATAGATGTTTAGGAAGATCAAATATATTTGTGCCGATGTTTGAGGGGCAATGACATATACGAGTCACCATTTGAAGCCACCGGGAAATGACAATGCATACGATGACTTGCCCAAGGATATGAACTCCTAAGAAACCATTGTTCCCGTCTCACGTCAGATCATTAGTTCTCTATTCCCGCCCTCATAACCCAACGTCAACGATGTTCCCGCCACCGATCGGCATACAGCTGTCAGCGTCTAGCTCAAGCTCACAAACAGGTCACCTTATTGCTCTGCTTCAAATACTTCGATGGCCAGGCTTTGAATTGTCAGAACGGGGCAGTGGTGTTCACGAACGAAGGATTATCCTCATAAGGGTTGGCGTTTCAGATTGGCCAAGAGTTTCACACTCTACCATTGACAGTGAGACAGATGATTCGACGGGGCTATATAATTTCGCATTCATGGTGCAATGATGCAACGGCATACGTCTGGCAATTCTTTTTGCACTGAAGATTTCACAGCAATTTAGTGTTCGATTCTGGAGTGTGTACCTTTCGGCGTCAATGTTTTTGGCGGGAATGCGCTATTTTTGGGCGGGAACTGTTTGAACAGTTGTGTCACACATTCGACACGGTATCGTTGACACCACAGGTCACATCCACAACAACATACAATAACGGAGATGCAATAACAGAGGACATTCGCTACACAAAATCACTGCAGCTCGGCTGCCCCGGGCACAAGAATAATCAACCTATTTAATTCTGTTTGTGAGAAGTTGGGTGGACTATCGCCCCATTCCCGCTTCTTGGCTTTTTCCGAACACCCTTGTAACACTAATTGCGTCAAAAGGGCCCTCATATTTGTTTGTTGCTGTTCAGAATAGTTTTCTAGTCGGCGCAAACGAAGTTTACCCTTGACATACGCTGCGCCCAGCGTCTCGATCTGAGATAACAATGCGCGTAGGTAACCTGTAAAAAGTCAGAACATTGCAATGGAAGCTTCGAGACCAAAGCACGAACCTCTTGTTTCGATGTCAATCGTACGCCTTCCCACCGGAAGTTGGCGTCAATGCCTTCCCACCAAAGGGAATGTCGGAGGCAGACTAAAGGCATGTTGGCCCATGGCACCTGCGTCACCTTGGCACTGGGAGGTAGCATGGCGTTAAGCTGCTCCTTGACCTATTCAGTGAGTCGGGTACGCTGTTGAGCATTGCTCATGCCAGCATGATGACGCTCAAGGGAAGTCGAAGATGGAATTCCCGCCGTGCTAGCAGCTGTTAGTTGTTGGTCGTCTGTTTCCGACAGGTCAAACGCACTGTCAACTTGGATCCTAAGATGATACATAGTCGGACAGGGAGCTTACTTCGTCGCGCACGGGCTTCCTGGATGGCAGCTTGGATTCCGCTGAGAACGCCATAGGTTCCCGCCATGTCTCCTCCGCCCAGTCCCCATCGTTTCCATAGCACCGCTCCTAGATATGGACTTTGGACGATGTATTGCGGCACAAATGGGTGATCGGCATCGACCGGCATAAGCAACAGACAGCTGGCAATATCGTGCATCTCGTGTAGTCAATTGAGCTAAGACCAGGAAAGACGAGATGATTCCCGCAACCGAAACATATCAGCATGGAGTCGAACTCGGTTGCGCCGGGATTAGCAAGTCACTAACTTTAGAAACAATGTCTTGCTGTACCTCCGCAGCTCGCCTAGCTGCGAACCGTCTGGCATCAGTGGTACAAGGGGGGGCTGTGGTCGAGGTCGTCTTGCGTCCTGCCCGTCGCGATTCCAGATCTTGTCGGACTTTTTCGATGTAATCCTCTGTCCAGTAACCCTGCTGTTTCCTTTTTTTGGCCTCTAGAATGGCATTGACGAAAGACTCCCGTGGTGGAGTGGGAATATTTGTATCCAAGTCATGTCCCGCCAGTGAAGAAGCAGTCGACGTAGCTGAACGTTCTGCAGGGCCATGACGCAGAGCTGATGTAAACATGTGCATGGGGATGAAAATACGAAACCACACTGAACTGACTAAGGTCTTCCCGAGTAACGTGTACCATTGCTTGCCAAGCAGTTAACTTCCGATTCTTTTTTTCCTTCTCAGTTATGTTTAGGACAGAATGGAAAAGCGTTTGAGGCTTTACATTGAGCCTCGTAGCATGTTCGGCACATTGATTGCGCAACGACGACAGTATATCCTGAACGGCAAGACTGAAATTCAATCTCGACATGAATTGTGGGCGGGCTGTACGGAGGTCGAGACGTTCACCCAAGTCCGGGATTGCATCTTCTTCCAATAAATCTTGAGCGAGATCGAGCGGGAAGTCCTCATTGTCGTTTGTGTGGTCCATGTTGTTAGGGAGGCTTTGATGGGTTGTTGATGAATGGCTATTTCTGTAGGGGATCGAGATATTTGAGCGTGGGGTATCAATTGAGAGATAGTATGGATTTGAGAAGGTGAGCTGATGAAGCGTTGTCTGAATGGAGTTGATGAGGTGAAGTACGGGAGTGCAAAACAGTAAGCAGCTAAGCAGTTATCAGGCTGACTGTTGTTGACTTTTTGAACTTGTCAATACGGCGGGAAGCGGGAAGTGCCTGCTGGATAGCGGGAACGATTCCCACGTCACGTGAGAAACAAGGGCGAAAGAAGAGTCTTCTGTCTCCAGGACGAACAAAGAGTCGATGTCTGTTTCGCAATTGTTAGCTGGTTGCTTAGCCCTGATCACCGTTACAGACAACAAAAGAGAAAGAGGTATATCAAGCTCATATGAATACGGGCGAACAAGGACAGTCATTGTGCTAGTTACATGTGTGCATATAATATCATTGACGTTCTTATCTTCTTTTCACCTGGCAAATTCCTCATCGCACATACATCGCCCTTGCCCGCTCATCGTTAGATTCGCATCGCCGCAGAAATCTCACTACCGACTTAACTCACAGACATATAAGCATGAAAAACGTATCAAAGAAGTCCGGTGGGAACGCAGCTACCCCGAAGAAGACCAAGGCTGAAGTGAAGGCAGGACAGAGGTGGCGGGCACAACAGATCAACGAACGTAAAAGGTTGAAGAAGGAGGCCGACCTCGCCAAGGCAGCAGAGACAGACGGACAGCGGGAACGAGAGGTAAGTTGTGGCTATTGGGCTATGGTATTTTCAGATGGCGTGGAACGTTGTTTGCTGACCCTTGCTGTTCCAACAGGGACATGCAGCGACCGGTGGTGTGGCTCCGGATAACAATCAGGGACCGGCCAGGTCTCGCAAGGCAACATCACCGTTGACTCCGCTCTCTGTAAGCCCTCGTTCTCATGTGGTACTAAGCGTGAAGTGTCAACGTGTTCTAAATTGCACTTGTGCTGGTGGGAACAGGATGATGGTACGAACGAAAACGAGCTGGAACAGCAACAACAGCAGCAACAACAACAGCAACAGCAACAGCAACAACAACACCAGGAGCAGCCGGAGCAGCAGCAGCAACCTGCGGGAAATGGTATTGAGGTTGGTGTGGAAGGGGAGGTGAATGCAAAAAGCGGGAAGAACGAAGAGGCGAACTCGGACGCGCCCACATCGAAAAAGAAGGCCGTCGACCCAGCCGATGTTGAAACGGAGGCCGTGAGAGAGCAAGCCGAGACGGAGAAAGCCGAGAGGGAGAAAGGCGAGAGAGAGAAAGCCGAGAAGGAGGAAGCGGAGAAGGAGAAGGCGGAGAAGGAGGAAGCTGAGAAGGAGAAAGCGGAGGAGGAGGAAGCTGAGAAGGAGAAAGCGGAGGAGGAGAAGGCGGAAGAGGAGAAAGCGGAGAAGGAGAAAGCAGAGAAGGAGGAGAAAGCGGAGAAGGAGAAAGCAGAGAAGGAGGAGGGGGAAGAGCAGTCAGAGAAGGCCAAGACGGTGAGACTCAAGATCATATCAGCAGGCGGGAATGAGTAGTTGTTGATGATTTGGTTTGTGGTAATAGCGATTTGACCTTTTCCAAGGGATTTTTCCCAAAGCAGCGTGGCCGGTACCAACTATCCGGTTGAGAGGTCCACGTCAAATCCGAGCTTTACCTAAGCTCAAGCCTATCGACAAGGCTGCTCTCGAAGCCAATTTCGCAAAGTTCCAAAAATTTGCGGGGGTCTCGGGTCCTGCTGGGGATGGGCGGGAATCGATGATTGGATCGATTCGAGCAGCGGCGGAAAGCGTCTGGACACAAGGACGGAAACGGCGAGGAGGGAGTCAAGGCTTGGACCCGGTTGGTGATCATGAACAAAGGTCGAGCTCGGTAATGGCGGACGATGTAGGCGAGGGTCAACGCAAAAGAGCGAAGCCGAATCCCAAGCAGGACAACCCAACGGGAGAGGCGCAAGATTTCATGGGACAAGTGGTGTATGGGCGAAAGCGAACGCTGACCCAGCCTATCTACCGGCCTGGAAGTCGATGGAGAGAACCATTCCCTACCGCGCGGCACAAAAACGTGGAAGGTTTCGGTCACGCACTCATGCAAGCGATGCATGCGGTCGAAGACTCGATTGCCACACCTCAACAATGGGAGGATCGCGTTGTTCCACACCTGAAGGATATTCTTCAAGAAGGATGGGAAGGAGCGGAATGGGAGAAGATACGGGACATCGCAATGAACCGTAGTATTTCCAAATTTTCCCGCCTCTGCGAATTCTTCGAAGTGTGTTGGGACTCAGGTGCCTATGCGGAAGGATTCAGCATCTGCGATAATCCCGCAATAATTCAGGCCTATGGGATCGTGGTGCAAGCCATTGAAGCGCGGGAGGACCGGTGGATAGGAATGTCCAAGCACGAACTGTACGAGAAGCTGCACTTCGTGTTCCGAGGTGAACAGCTCGGTTGCCGGTATGACGTTCTCGACAACAAGCAGGAGGTGATGCTGGACGAAATCCTTGAGATCGAGGATAGGGTCGCCGACATTGTCTTTGATCTATTCGGGGAGGTCAGCCCCGCACTGGTGGAGCGTGGTCGATTGGGCATCGATGGACGCCCACAAGAATGCGACACCACGGAAAAGAAGGCTCTATGGGACACCAGCCGGGGGCTGATCACGCAGGCGCGTCGCAAGCGGGATCTGCTAGCCTGCGCAATTCGTGCTGATGGGTGGATCGAAGGGGTGTTTATGGGGCGGGAATGGATGAAAGGCGCTTCTCCCGCGCTGGTATCTTTGATGGGAGGGGTGCTGCAGGGATTTGCAAACCGGCCGGACTACAAATCGACAAGCTCGTTGACCGGCGAGTTACATTATCTGCGGCGGCTATTGGGCGAAGGCAGGTTCTACGAGAGCGAATGGATCCCCATCCTCGACATGTTCCGCAGGACCGATAGCGTGATGACGCAATCCACTCTCAAAGCGCTTTCGGGTGCTGTGCGGCTGCCGGAAGCACGCCAGCGATGGGCTGATATCAGTAGCCAAGCGCGAGAGCTCTGGCGGGAATCCGGGAAATCGTTCAGGATGCCGATAGCCATCGACGCAAACTTGGCCAACGTCAAAGCTGCCCAAGCACTGCGAGGGGTCGTGAACTTGGGTAACAGGCCGCTCATCGCCGCTGGCCGACGTGCTTTGAGAGCTCAGGTCGAAGACAAGGTTGGCACGTTCCCACACACGGAGACCTGGGCGAGCTATTTTGCGGATGTTCACCAACTGAAACTTGGTAACATGAGCGGGATGACGTTTTGTGCTCGTGCAACTGCGCGGGAATCGGTTTTCGCTAAGGTGATGGGTCTGCTTGAACACTCGCTCTACGAGAAAGAGAAGACCGATGAGCTCGACAAATCAAAGCATAGTCTTCACCGATTTTTGGTTGAGTTCCACTACCGAGAGCTCGATGCGGACGGCCGTGTGGAGTCGGCACAAGTTGACGCCACCATCATCGAGGAGAAGTTCATGTGGTCCAAGCCCGCAACGAGGATGGAAGTTGACTGGCAAAACGAGGATGCGCGGGCAGACGCGTTGGCGGAAGAACAGGCTCTGTGGGATGAGTAAGTGTACTAATGAAACGTGGTTGTTACAAGTCAAAGGCCTGATCACACGGTTATATATCCAGCGACACGTTTGGCGCAGGAATCGATGCAAGCCAGAGCCAACCTGAGGAACAGGAACCTGAGTTGGACGGCATGTTCGACTTTGGCACCGGGAACGGAGAGGAGGGTGATCGGGAAGGTGATCTAGATATGGATATCACCATAGACCAAGGTACCGAGCCCGCAAGGCAGAGTGATAAGCCTGCTACCGACGTGGTCGACGAGGTTGGTAAAGCAACAACGGAAGTCACTACGGGAGCCAACAAGGATACGGTGCGGGAAGGGGCGCAAAAGGCGGGAACCGGAGAATCGTTAGTGTCGAAATGCCTGGATCTCGATGGAAATACTTCTGACATAATGGATTGCTCTCGCTTGACAGCTTCTTCCATAAGGCTCTGGGTCGAAGGATGGTCTACATCGATTGCACGAAGCACGTGTACCCATCGTTGAAGAAGGAGAACGCTACCAATATCACCTGGAAGCAAGACGAGGATGGTGATTGGCTTCCCGCAAGTATCATTACGGCGAGTGAAAGTCGGACCGACCAGCAAGCCCGCGACGCGAGAGCCAAGGAGTGGAACAATTTCGTTGATACCGTGAAGACGAAAGCTGTGAATCTTGCGGAACGAACGGGAACGACATCGGTGACCATCTGTGCTCGACCTATGGTAGAAGACAACAAGGGAACGGTGGTGTTATTCACCTCGCCAGGCATGGTGGAACCCAAGGACGAGTCGTGGGAACCAATGCTAAAAGCTTTCTGGGAGAACACGTACAGAGGCGCGGCGGACTTGTGCGATCGCATTGAAGAACACTCGGTGTTGGATCCCAAGTAATTGTATAGTTTGCATCTCAAGCGGTCTTCATTCTCGAGCTATGTACTTTTAGCAAGGTGTCTGTACTATCTTCCAGTATAAATATAATGGTGTACTCTCCCAAGCCAAAATGTCTTTGCGAGAAAGGAATTTGGTGTTTGAGAAATGCATCAAGTCCATGTCTTGGCTGGAGCTAAGTATCGACGTGGTGTGACACTGCAGAATGGAGGGGCATTTGTATATCTGTGTTCCAGCGAAAGGAATAGATAATTGTACATAGATACATAGAGAAGGGACTGTCTGGAAAGAGACTGAAGGGAAGAATAGCAAGTGCGGAGAGTTTTGGGGGAGGGGCGACTCTTGAGAGGAAGCGGGAAGTATTATTTTGCAGGCGAGAATGCAAAGGGCCGTGGACGGGAACTCATTTAGGCGATGCGAGAATGACGTAACGGCGCGCGAAAAATTTGGCTTTGCGCGCAAAGTCTCGCGCGACGATCGCAAAAGGCGAATCTAGCATAGAATTAAGCCGCGCTGTCGTAGAGTTGTTAGCCTAGGCCAGCGCGTCACAGTGCTAGGGATAGGTGCGCTGGGTTGTTGACAAGAAGGACAATCATCCATCATCTACATCATCTACATCATCATCTACCTCTCTCCATCGAATACTTGACAAATAGACATCTATAGGAGTATCATCGAGGGTAGGATTAAGGTCAAAGTAGGTTCTCGGACCAGCAACCCGGTATCCCGGTCGATTTAGTACAAGAACTGATTCTTTCACGTTCACGACAGTTCAGCATCGATAGATCGATCAAAGGACCTATCAAGATCTCAAAAGATACCTATCGACAATTCACAAAGCCGACATCCTGCACAGCTCTCTCAGATCAAGTCGGAACAATCCTACAAGATGGCCGTCGCCTCATCTTCCAACCCGATCACCTCGGTCGCACCCTCTTCATCCCCCATCACCTCCGTCCCAGATTCCTACCCTCCCTCCTACCAACCATCTCAACAACAACTCCTTGCACGCCTCACCCTGGAGATGCGAGGAGAACGATTCGTCGTAGAAAGAGAGACCTTGTTGAACCTCCCGGAGAGCGTGCTTTTGGGCATGTTCCCGAATGGGTTGATTTTGAGTCGGCAGCAGTTGGGATGGCCGGATGAGGAGGATGATGGGGAGAATCAGGTTTATCCGATCGATGTGAGTCGAGGTCTGGGCTAGAAGTTCTTCTTTTCGAGTATGCGCATCGTGTGGGTGGCTGATACTTCGATCGTACCCTTCGTCTTGCTCGGTTCCGTCTCATCGCTCTGCCTTGACTACATCATCAACAATTTATCACCGTCGTCATCGCCATCAAATCACAACAACAACAACAATATCGAACCTCCCTTTGATCGAAAACAAAACCTATCCTCACCTCATTTCGTACTCGCAGTTCGATCCAGCCTCGTTCCGGTACATCCTTTCCTTCTGGTCCCAAGCCCATACCGACTTTTACGGGACCTCCACCTCTCCCGGTTACTTCCACAAACAACAACACCTCAACAACAACAATTCTTCTTCGTCAAACTCTTCGGCATACACGGGCAATCTGAACAACTCCGACTACCCAGCTGGACCGGGGGAGAACCCGTTGATCAGTAGACAGCCTATTATCGTCTTAAGGGAAGAATTGGAATACTTCTCCATCGTCCCTTCTACGGACCCTGCCGTCAACCCGAGTTCACCTAGCAACACCCTTCCTGCCTCACTCACCAACTTAGCCAAAGTGGGGGAAGACGGACAACCGACCCCAGAGCTCTTGAGGTTGAAGAGGGAAGCTGGGAAGGCGCTCGTCAAGAGGACAAAGGTGTTCACAGCCTTGCAGAGGAATGTGAGCAAGGAGGGGAATTTGGCGGAACAGCATTTGATCGATATGTTGTGCATGTCGTGAGTCGCGGTCTCTCTTCTCCCTTTGGTTGCTTTTCCGCACGCTGTCGTGCTGTTTTTCGTATGGATTTGAGCTGATCACACGGAATCGTGGCTCGGTCGACACGCAGTGGATTTGCCAGGGACGACGATTGGGGCTACAGGTCCCTCGAACCCACTCGGACCGTCATCTCCTCCATCGCCCTCGTCCTCCTCAAGACCGGTATCCACCACCCAGAATCTTCTTCGTCTTCGACGAACGCTAAATTAAAGGACGAGGATGATGGGAGCGACTCTGGGTCTGATTCGGCGAGCGAGATGGATACGGAAAAAGACCGCGTAGGGGACGCACAGGAGGATCTGGGTGCGAGAGGGGTGACGATCGATCAGGGGCAGATGAGTACCGCTCAGAAGTTGTTGCTGTTCTGGAGGAAACCGGCGGTGAGCCCCAACATGCGTTTTGTGCTGACACTGCGTGCTGCGTGAGCTGATGAGAATACGATTGTGGTCTTGATGGTTGTCAGCGCAAATGTTGGTGGGACGGCGTACAGGTCGATGTGCCCCTCCATGAAGGATCGGATGAGATGGTCAGCATGAAGGTCTGGGCGAGGAGGGTCTGGACGCTGGAGTTGAGCTTGGTGAGTCCATGTTCGCAACTCGGGGAATTTACACACGGGCTAACCGATGCGACTGGCCGTATTTGATCTTTTCGTAGCTGTAAATCACCCTACCTTGGCGCGTCATCGAACCTCTAGAAATCGACATCTTCTCTCTTCTGTCTTACGTTCCCATCATCTGTCAACCATCGGCCAGGATCCTTATACCACCTTTTCTTTCCACACGTTACGTTTTACTTTTCGACTCGTATCCTAGGCCTTTTGCATTGGTTCTCTGTTGTCTCCGTTTGTTCGCACATACACGGTTACCCAATACGTTGGGTGTTGTAATTCTTGCGATGACGCTTTTAGTAGATCATGATATACGTCTTCGCCAAAGCCCCGTTGAGTGCAGGACAGACTCGCCCGATCCATGTCAGGAAGAAATCTGTGCAGGGGCCGTGAGAGCCCATGACGATGTGAACAAAAAGGACGCATGTGCCTTGACTGTTTCCCAGAGGTTTTTTCCCACTGTGACTTAACGGTGTTCGACCTTGTCTGAGACCTGAGCGACCATAGCCTTGAGGTCTAGCTTTCTTGTGATCTCAAGCGACAGCGCGATGAAGAGGGTGGAATGTGATTTAACAAAAGCGTCATAATCGAAAGAAGAGCGGAATTATGGCGTACCGGCGTCAGACAAAGCATGGTTCATCAGTTGGGCACCAACGAAAGATGGTGAAGACGTTGAAACTTGCTCTCTCGTATGTATCGTTATCCATATAACGCAAGGCAAGAAGCGAAATTATCGCATTGATCTGCCGGAGTGCAATAGCCTTGTGGATTTCGATCTGTTCAATGACAGCCTTTGCTCTGGCTTTGACTGTACTCTGTATCCGTTCCAGGTACAGTGTTGTCAGGTCAGATATACGTAACTGTGGGAAGACCTGCAATGGTGAGAAGATTCGATGATGGACCTTGAAAGCAAGCGCTTGCTCTTCCATATCAATGTCTGCCACAGGCACGCAGTTTTCGGCGATTTGACACAGTTTTTCAACCAGCACAATGAGGGTCAGAAGCGAAGGTTGACCCGGAAGGTCGATAGCGCAGTTGACGGGGCGTCCTCTGACGAAGTCCCCTATATTACCTGTGATTGCCTTGTGTAGTTTGTACATACAAAGTGGGTGGGGCAGGACGGGGATTTCAAATGGCAGGTTTTGTCTTATGCAGAGTATTGTCCACTTCGAATCATCAAGATAGAACGGCTGGGACCAAGCAACCCTCTATGGCCTTGGCAAGCCTCTTGACTCGGTTGTGGCTCCCGCTAGCAGATGATCAGTTGTTAGCGGTAAACGCGAGAACACCAAGTGAGTAGGGACTCTTTGAGGTAAAGCGGTCAGCATTCTGAAGTCACATCTCAGGCGAATCATGCTTGGGGCTTTCCTTCAACCGATAATCAGGGTGGTCACCACCCACCCAGATTGCTGAATGTCCATAGGCAAGCATTGTGTATATCGATACATATCTATCTGGAAGTGATCTTTCCTGGTGAAACAAACAAAGCTCAAACCCTGACCCTCTTACGAGGGCTATCAGGCGCCGCTCCAGCATCGCTATCCATCGAGCCGGGCCTCGCACGTTTTTGTCGAGCGTCTGGTGTAGCACGCACCATTTCCAGCCAAGTAGGTGATTCTGGGACCGTGGGAGCCGGTGCAAGACCCAGCTTTTGTGTCAAGTCCAAACCGCTCGGCGAGGAAAAGGTCGTGTAGTCCGCGGGCGATCCAGCGATTCCCGCCATGTGACCGGGACGCGCAGGCGTGGCTAAAGCTCCTGGTCGATAGCCTTGGAATGGCGTCACACCCGAGCGCAAGGTCGACATTTTGGGCGTAGGGGTTGCCTTAGATACGGGCAGACCTGACGGAGGGGAAGACAGATCCGACTTGGCAATAACCGCTCTGTCACCTCCTCCATCCTTGCGTCCATAAGTAGGCGGTTTGCCACGTCGATAGGGCAAGATATCCGCAGCCGGCTGAAGCTCGGCAGGCGTGATGGGAGAATCCTCGTGACGCTTAGAGACGGAACTCGAGGGGTCATTGGACGTGGATTGTAATTCGGGTACCGCAAATTCGTCATCTGAAGGCGGCCTCTCGCCTGTTCGGGTCGATCGCATCGGAAGCTTGCGGAGGGGAGTGGCATTGTTTGCCGGTTTCCTGCGAGGGCCCGAAGGCCGGCTAGGTGTCTCGTTCATCGCGGCTGCTCGCGAGTCTGCCTCGAGGTCGTCCATCTCGATATCGCCATCGTTTTCGAGAACCAACTGCCGTCGGCCGATCATCATCCTGTCACCGGTCCGAGGGTCCATCGAGTTGCCGCCCATTGCAGTCCCAGTTCCTTGATCCATGGTGCCAATATCGTCGTCGACAGGCGTCTTGCGAAGATTCGGTGCTGGAGAGGCCGAGATTGCAAGCAAGATCTCGGCAGCCTCATTGTTGTCCGTACCGTTACGATCCGTGTTGGGCTTCTTACTAACTATGTTCGACGACCTGGATTTGCTGACGGGAGCTGGGGTCTTGAAGATCGGCGGCTGCAGTGGACCTGGTACCATAGTCTTGCCGGTCGTCGGCGTCATCGGCTGGGCTCGATCGAGCGTATCGGCTAGCAGGTCTAGCGAGCCCATAGACGACTGACCCGATCCAAACACATCGGCCTCGTTCGATCGAAGCAAAGCAGGGGGAGGTGCAGCACGTCGACTTTGCCCTGATCGGGTTGCAGACGATTTGATAGCCTCCTTCGAGTGCTGTATAAGCGGTTGGCGCAGCTGGCCTATAGGCGTCTTATGGGACGATGGCGGTACGGCCGATTCAGTGACAGTATCCGCCTGTGGTTGAAGCTGCTTCACATCGGACTCGTATGGTTGGTGGTGCCCATGTAGCACACGTTGCTCTTCCGCCGGCAAGAAGGCTGGGTGAATGCGAGGATCAATTGCGATGTCCTGCCGTTGTGACGTCTTGGTTGGCGTGGACTTGGGTTGTCGCGCTCCGACCCGCTGGTTCTGCGCATGGCCTCGAGGTACCTGAGGGGAGGGATCTACGACGATGTCGGTCTCCTGTATGGGCGCTTCGTCTTCTCCTTCGCCCTCGTCCTCTTCGCTCGAACCATCATCCTGCCAGTCAGGCTGAGCCTTCCTCAAACGAACACGTTCCATGGCTGCCAATCGCACCGCTTCTTGGGAGGTGATGCGTCGAGTGGGCTGAGGCGGGATAGACACGTCTCGCAGGCCCGATCCGCTCCTCCTCTTGGCGCGGCCACCTTTGACGGGTAGCGTGTTGGCGTGAGGCGACCCTGAGCGACTCGGAGTAGCCTTCGAGGTCGCAGTGTCCGTCACACTTTGCGCGATACTCCCGCTCTCGGACCGCATGTCATAGTCCTCTTCGTCGGACGATTCTGGCATAGGTAAACCGAGCTTCTCGGCACGTCTTCGGCGTCTGCAGGAGCATTACACCAATTCGGTCAGCGAGCTCGCTTTGAAAGCGCCCGTTCCATTTCGAGACTCACCTATCCTTAGCGGCCCAGCGTCTCTTGCTCTCCAAGGTCCGCCTGTGTTTTTCCTCCTCATTAGCCGGGCGGTTCGGATCTGCATGTACCTTCCGTTAGCACAGGCCAGACCGCTCGCTTACACCTCCCGTACTCACTGTTATCCCACCGACTCTTCTTGACCTGTACCTCGAGCTCGATTCCATGCTTGCTCATCTGATGCCTCCTACAAATACTCCTCGCGTGTTGCCCCCTGTACACCTTGTCACAGTAAGGACAACCATGCGCCTCTGGGTACTTGGGATCCGTCACGGTGTCCCCGGGCCTCAGATCAGGTCTCCAAGCGGGAGGCACCGCCGTCCCCCCGTCTGACTCCTTGTCCTGGTCGTCATCCCGGATCGAAGATGTGTTTGCTGAGACGGGTTTCTTCCCTTTCTTCGTGGAGGTCCCCACTTCTTTCACCTTCTTCTCCTTGTTCTTCCCCTTCTTCCCGTCTGAAGCTCCAGGAACCTTCAACGTATCTCCCATCTCCCCTCGCTTGGCTCCACTTCCACTCCCGCTCCCGCTCCCTCCGGTGGTGCCCATCCCCGCCAAGATCCTCGCCGTAAAAGCAGCGCTATTACTCGAATGGGAGTGAACGCTAGCGGTATCATCTTCCACTCCTTCACCACCTTCACCTCCTTCGGACCGACGATACCGCCCAGAACCAGGCCCGGCGCTTCGAGAGCTCGTCCGGGAGACGGAGAGCGACCTGTCTGGGATGACGAACCCGCGAGAATCTACCTGGGCATAATGTTGCTGGACAGGGTAGCCGGGCTGATAATACTGCACAGCTTGAGGGTGGGGAATAGATTGAGGATGAGGGTATCCCGCCGAATAGACCACCGGAGGTCCGACCACGTAGCCGTACTCTTGCACCCCAGGATCCTCGTAGTACTTTCCCGTCGCAGGGTCCATCCAGTACTGTGGTCTCGATCCAGAAGGCACTTGCTGCTGGTAATGTTGCGGCTGCTGTTCTGTTGACGGATAGACCATATACCCCTTCGGTGCTCTTACCGGCTGCGGCTGAAGAGGCTGCATTACCAGCTCTTGACCATGCGCTTGTCCATGGACGTGACCGGCTGTATGGGAAGCGTGCATCGGGACCGAATAAGTTTGCCCCATGATTTGTCCCTGTATCGCGGCATTCGAATTCGAATTCGAGTGCATCGAGCTCGAACCCGGGTTCATATGTTGCGGTTGAGGAGGAGCCACGTAGGCGTGACCAAGGGAAGATCCTTCTTCAGAGACCGACCTCGACCTTGTTGTTCCTCCGCTCGTGCTCCCACTCGCACTGCCGGCTCTAGATAGGGATACCTGCCCAGACCCGGACCTAGAGCCTGCAGCAGATCCTTCCAACGATGATTGGCCTGAAGAACCTCTTCGTACGACCTTGGGTACACGCAGGTTGGGATCTATGTCTCCCATCCTTGGTTGAGTATGGTGGTGGTGATGACTTCCCGGAGGAGGTAAGTGGGAAGCCGAGATGGACCTGGAGAAGCTCCTTGCCATCGTTCCTGATTGGTCCTGATTTGTCTTTGATGCCGAATTACTCGAGCTCGTCGAAGTGGGGTTCAATTTCGAATTGGAGTCCGTGTCCAGATCGAGCCCGGCCTGCTTCCCGCTCGAAGCCTCCATCTGTTCCTCCCTATTCGCTCCCGATCCTTCTTTCTGCGTCCCCATCCCGCCCGACCTCTTCCCTTTCCCCTTGATCGGCCGGCTCTTGATCGGTGTAGGCGGGATGACCGTGCTGGAGAACTGTTTCAATTTCACACAGAAATATGGTCGAATGGGAAACAAGTAGAAGCATCGTGTAAGATGAAGCAAGGCGATTAGCGTTAGTGTGCGTAGAGAGATCGAGAGACATAAGGAGATCAGAAGAGGTGGGATACTTACGCTCCCGCTTTCTTGCACCTGTAAAGGCATATCCTCTCCCCTCCTTTGTTCCCCATCGCCATTCCCATTCCCACCTGCATCTCGTTGATGCTCTCCCTGCCCTAGCTGGTTGTTGATGCTAAGCGAGTTGGAGTTGGGGTTGTGGGATGGGAGGAGGACTGATCTTGATCCACCTCCCGACGTAGAGGTAGAAGTAGATATCGAAGCGGACGTCGAAGTCGAGGTAGTTGCTTGAGGTTGAATGTCGGTAATGCTAATCCCAGCCCCGGTCGTAGGCTGTTGCTTCTGCGAACTGAGCCGGTCGTCGAGCTTTTTTACAAGATCGGTAGCTACCCCGGCATTCTTGTTCGTGTTGAGGTTCGTGATGCTGGTGCTAGCGTTGGGTGCGGACCTGATCGCGTTCCGTCTAGGAGAAGCCCTGAGAACCGGAGCCGGCAGCCCTGCGGCCCCGGGTTGTTTCTTCCCGTTTGGCATCCTCATCCAGCTTTCCTAGATTCCAGATGACTGATCCGTACTTTGAGAGTGGATAGCTGTATTGCTGAAGGGGACGTGAAAAGGGGAGAAGGTACGTGATGAGGCGAGGTTGGTAGCTTCTGTGCTGCGCGTCGATCGGATGACGTCCCTCTTCCGTATTTAACGTCTCATCGATCGAGACTTTCCAACTATCTCAAGGTGTGGTAATGTTGGCTAGATTGATGCTCTTGTTCTGAGGATGTTGCTAATAATGGTTGAAGCTGTTGATAGGCGATCGATAGGTCGAACACGTCCGAATCGGTGTGAAAGAGTAGATGATGGATGGATGGTTGAGTGATGATTCTCCCTTTCGTCAGAGCCGGGCCTAAGGGGCTGTGAAAGCGATCGGGGAACGCGTTCGGAGAGCTCGTTTCGATGGGATCGAAGCTGGCTACCTGCTTCTTGCTGGAGGATGAACTGATGTCGAGCTGGTTGTCAAGGATAACAATCGATCGTTCAGACCATATCGCCATCACCCATCCCAGGGATCTTGGTAGAATCTCACCCAACGCTTCCTGGTCACTTGCCCATGAAGTTACGTAATCAAAGTGACGCGCTTCCCGGGCTCGCGCGCTTTCTCACGGTCAACAAAGGGGAAGGTGATCACGACGTCATCGATGGCGATCGTGGTCAGCTGATCAAAGTTGGACAGGCTTATAACATCACCGCTTGTTGCAGTGTTTTACAAATAGCTCTCATTCGGATGTCTGCATTCGCCTCAGTGACATCGTCCGAAGATGGAAAACGGATCGCCAAACCTTATTTACGATCAGGCGCTTTGCACAAGCGCTATCCTCCTCGATGCATTCATCGTCATCGAGAATCAATTTGTAGCTACGAGACCAGAGCATGAAAGTACTCAGACATATGCTTGGGCTTTCTGTTCAGCCACGAAGGGTCAACTGACGGCAACGCTTCATCTTCTCACGTGCACGCTTCCTGCAACTCACGCCGCGCCTACTTTCTACACGCCCTGCCGTGCTTTCCATCATTAAACCTTGAATGAAGTTACAGAGATCGAGTACGGGGAGCGGCGCCATACGGCCTGCACGGCACATCGGAAGATCTCAATCCGCGATCAAACAAGTCATGTCTTGAAATTGTACCGCCATAGTCAGTGGCCCGAAACTTACAGATCTTGGTTGCATCAATAAGATTGATTATTCATGACATCATCTCTCGCTGCATTTGCGCCATATACGCGATCCGCGCGACATCGATAACATTCGAGAAAGGTGTGCATCTTGGCTCCAATCCTGCGCCTTGCGCTTCGATCACGAGATCAGGAGACTTTCAGCACGACGATACCATGTTTCGGGTCATCCTTTGTAATCACAGCTAAACCTATCAATGGCATAGGCTGTGGGCTCTCCGGTCTCCCTATATAAGCCGGGGCGATCACCTTGCTTACCAGGTTTGACTTCGTTAAGCTAGGTGCTTATCATTCAAAACGAACAACCCTCTTGACTATGCTTACCACCAGACTGGAAAATCGCCTCAAACGCCCCGGACCGTCCAGATACAAGGCAGCCTCTCAGGGGTCATCCGCAGACGACACAAGCGACACTGCTGCGACGTGTCCAACGATAAACTCTATTGGTTCCAATAACGTCGGAACGATCCCTCCTACTCCTCTTCCAAGGTATTTATCAGTCATTCACCGATCCGGGCGCACTCATCGATATCCGTGTTTTTTTTTGCCGTAGCTATATTGGGCCGATTGCGCAGGACTTTGCCAAAACGGACGGCCCCTTTGAGATGTACAGCAATGTGTCGTCTCAGGATCCTCTTTACAAATCTTTGTGGCGTCATTCTGCCTTGGATACTGCTGGAAGCAGCGTCCTCTCAATGGGCAGCCATCAGCTAAACAAGGATGAAACTTCAGTTAGCGTTCAAGGAGAATCACGCTCTGACGCCGAGTCTCTCGCTTTGCCACACTCTGGTAAACTGTCCAAACGTTCTCAGCGATATCTGGAGGATGTAGCAAGGGGTTCAGTCTTGGCAGTCTACAAGGAATCAAAAGAAAAAGGCAAACACGAGATATTACAGTGGTTCTCCCCAGCCGTAAGTATGACAGCTCGATGGACATGCGTTCAGACACTCATATGCTTTCGTTTTGTAGTACCGCCACGTGATTTTTCAGATGCAGATATGCATTTCTCTCGACCCACCGCGTGTAGAGAGTTGTAGGGACAAAGACGGAAACGAAGAATTCATCTCCACGTACTGCCACGATGTCTACATGTCGCCTGTGTCTCGGGAGGAAATGTACAAACCTCTTGCTCGGGATACTTGGGTTACGACGGCTGTATGCCCAGTGGAAGGAAAGGATGTCAAGGACCCCATTCCCCATGCCAGTTGGCAAGACGTTTGGATCAGCGATACATGCCCCCAACGTTCTTCGAGATTTCGACAATCACAGCAAGATGACAGCGCGTCTCGTCATCAAAAGGAGATGGTCATACATCTCCATCCTATTGAGCTCCGGCATTGGCTGTTGACTTTCTGTTTCGAGCTAGATTTCCTCGCCGGACCATATGATCTTAAACGCTCCAAGTCTGATGGAGATCTATTCGAGACATCGCCTCCCAGCCTGTCTGCCGAAGCTGCTGAGAATAGGGACGTGCGCTCCGGTGCCGACACCTCTTCCGTTCAATCCGATGAGTGGGTGACACTTCTCCTAAATCCTCCGATGGGCATCCTCTAACGCCACTACCTCACATTACCAGTAAGACACACATCTCCATCACCGAAGCCGGCTCAAATGCAGGAAGATATCGGGAACGATCGAGTGGTCACAGGCCTGACAGCCAACGTGATTCCTTGCTCGACGAGGCTGCATCTGTCTCTTCACAGCTTGTCGATACTGAGGAGCCCCCCACTAGGGACTTTGTCGAGTTGTTATGCAAGGTGATCCGTTCACTCTTCTTGTCGGCCAAGAAGACTGACGATTTACAGCGCGTTGCGCAATGGTTTTCACCAGCGGTAAGATATCGTTGCCTACCAGTGTCAGCATGAGGCTGATCTTGATCTTTATCTTTCGGCAGTCGGCCGGGACGGTGTTCAGGATGGATATACCCTACGCCGCGGAGGGTGACGAGTTCTACGAGATTCTGTTGGCTCCTGTGCCTGACGATGACAAGGATACGCCCCTCGGGCCAGATGACTACGTGGCCGAATTTAACCTGAAAAACACGCCGCTCCGTGCTTCGATACCCCACATCGGGTCATACTTGGTGAATAGACACGAAGATACAGCGGTACGACGCTTGCAGAACGGATTGATGATCATCTGGGAGACGCCTATCGAAGTGACTCAATGGCACATATCTTTTTGCTTCAAGCTAGATCACGAAGTGAACACGACATCAGACAAGCCGTCTTGAGATTATGAGGATTTCTATACGTATTTACGCAGCTTTATTGGTTTCACCTTGTAGTAGTATTGTGAATCTCGTTGTACAAAGCTTTAGTGGTGCTACCGGGCAGTCCTCATGATCTCTGGCCTCGTGGAATTCATTGTTGGGACTGGCAGCTGTCCTGGAGCTATCTATTTTAACGAAACTACACGACTAGCGGGACTGGTTGATCGACCTAGTGGAAGAGCAAATCTGGACCGCGGTTACTGTTGTGATAGTCGTAAGCCACAACCATACGGGAGAAAAGCTACTTATGATTCCACCAGGGAAGCGGTGTGCTAAGCGCGGCCTAGCACCTCAAGCAGTAGGGCACATAGTCCAGGAGCCACATGTGATGCACTGAGCATCGGTGAAAGAAAATGCAAGAAACAAATGCCAGTTTGAAGAGATTCTCTGAGTTTGATCGACGGTATATATCGGTCCGCTGATCATCGTATCATGCGTTGTCGTTCACTGTTTAAGTGCGTCGACAACTGATTTGGTGACATCCGAGATAACCTATTTCACGCAGCCAAGGTTGATTCTGCTTGGGAGATTCTGCAACGTCACTTACAATTGGGCTGCAGTTGCCAGTATCATCTTCATGTCCCTAGCGCTTGATCAGTGACGGAAGATACTGGCTGTAGCTGAATCTCATGTTTCACTTCTTCGATTCTCCCGCAGGTGGCCTCTAGCAAAGGCGCGCCGTCATTTGTCTCGCCCTTTGAAGTTAGCGATACGGACGTAGTGTGATATCTGGTTTACCTTGTTTGGACAGCTCTATCTACTGGCCATTGCATGTCGGCTTGAGGATTTCGTTTGAAAGGAGATCAGGAGATCGAGCCGCGATGTGCCGTTGGCTGCGGCGGACACGCGTGGTGGCGCGAAAACGGTGGCGTGATTCGGTCACGAGACGTCTTCACAACTGAGCTACTGAAAGACATCACGATGGAGCGTTCCTTTGTCGCAGAACGCAAGGAGCCAGAATGCGACCCATTTTCATATATATAAGGTCTAGGAGGGAAGCTGAAATGATTATCTACAGTCTAGCTGCTTTCAAGCTTGAGCTTTCTGATTTGTTACGATCTGTACCACAATGCAACGCTTCAGGAAAGGGATCAACAGGATAGTCCCGAAAAGTCGGAAGAAGGATTCGAAACAGGGCCATCCCGACTCTGAAGATCTTCAGGAACATTCCCCCGATACGGTGTCAGCAGTAACGCCTGCGTCATCTACCGATTTCACGGACTCAACCCTGACCGGAGCATCTACGTTCGAACTACCCGCATCGTCAACTTTGCCCCCCACCACGCAAGCGCCTCCAAATACAGAAGAGAGAAGCATGTACAGGCAGTAAGGCCATCGAAGCTGCAAAGATATTTGTACTGATCGTTCCTGTGTGTTCGGTGTAGGTACCCGTATACTCTGGACTCTGCCCTCGGCATTCTATCCATTGATGGGGCCACTGTACCTGATTCTGCCTACCAGGCTCTGGGGTACGCCCAAAATCCCGTTGGTCCTATTAGTGAACCGGACAAGGGCGATGATGTCCTTGAACCGGTCACCGAGACAACAACTTCCAAGCCGTTATCTCAAGGTATGGAGGACGTTTTGCTGAACACAATCCGTACACTTTACTCAGCACGGGATCGGGACGAGGGTCTACGAGACTGGATGTCGGTTGTAAGTCACTTTGCACAGCGGATACCTGTTGATTCTCGACTTTGATATCTGCTTATACACAGCCATCTGAGATTCCGCTTCAATTGGTGCTAAAGTTTCCAGCACAAGGACAGCCGGAAACTTTCGGTTACATTGGACAAGGACCCGCAGGAGATCCACCTGCTTACGTTCCACTTCCAATTTTGGTATACCAAGCGCACGAAAGCTCGCAGATGCATGAGGTGCTCGTGAAGGGAGACGCAGTGTACAAGCTATCAGAGGTGGGTTGTCATCTCCCTGACCAGGGAAACGGTCGCATGGCAGCGGTACTTGCAGGATCTTTGAGAGTCCGAGCTAGAATGCTGTCTTTCCCCTTCATAATCGGACAGCCTCCGGCGGAAACATCATAGTGCATGCTGTCAATCACAGAGCTATTTCGTGTAGAATCCTATTGTTCTTCCTACGCGCCTATTGTTCTCAGAACAATAGACCATTGCAAGGTCCGGGAGGAGGGATGTCCTTTTGTGTCCACCCTTTTGGCAAAGCCGCGAAGGAAGTCCTCATGTGATCTGCGATAAAAAACGCTTCAACTGGTGAACTAGATTATTGGTCCTGTCCAGGAGCCACCCTTGTTTTTGGTACATTCAAACCATCATCCAACTTCACGAGCACAACCGTCCCGTTTTGTGTACTCGTACGCATGATCACGTTCTATCAGCAAGGGAAGTTTTTGTATTTGCCGATCATAATGGGCGTTCCACTTGCTTCTCTGTGCTTCCATATAGGCCTGCGCCCCTGACACCGCCTTCTCCTTCTCCTTCCCCTGCGGCGCTTCGCTTCCGCTATAGCGCGTTTCACTCAATAGCGGAAATGTATGGAGTGTCCATCCTCATCTTATAGCATAGCATGATGGTGCGGCATAAGGGACTTTTGTTTTTTCATTTTCATTTTTTATAGCGGTATGTTTGTTTAACGAGTATGAACAGAGGCAAGGCGTCGTTTAGCGAAGAATCAAGGGCGAGTAAGACGTAGCCAGGAGAATGAATCCGGCTGCTTTGGCCAAACGAAAGCGCTGATTGACGGAAGCAGGAACGAGGAATCAGATGTTGGCGCGACAAGTAGTCGAACAGCAATCTTGGGCATAGGTCGTCATATCGGGTTTATCGTGTCAAGGAGGCATTTACATGTGAGACAAGTCCAGCGACAGATCGGATCGAGTCCGACCGCCTAGATGTGGTGAATGGCAAAGTCCGAGTTGAAGCTGTTTACGAGCGCTCAGGCGGGGTCAGCATTGCGTGGCGAGCTCTCAACAGCACTGATCCACTACGTACACATGCTGGAAGCTCTCCCTTGCCGTCCAGGTGGTCCAGAACGTTCGGACCTTTTCGCCGACCTTGAATCCGGTCCCGATCTGGGCCTCGAGCTCGTTGATCCCTGCCGAATCGGCCTTGCCGCCAGAGATCTCGACCAGGCGGGCCAAGAACGAGATGATGTGCAGGTCGGCCAGGGACTGCCAAGGAATGATCCGTCAGTCCAGGGTGCGAAATAATACCTGATCGCCAAGCAACTCACAATGTGATCTCCCAAGGCGTGAATACCCTTGATCCTGTTCTCCAACTCGGTCAGGACGTCCGGCAAGCTCTGTGTCCAGGCCTTCTTGGCGGCCTCGTAGAATCCATTTTCGGTATCCTCACCCGCGGTACCCTCGTAAATGTCCGACAAGAGCATGTTGGCGGCAAACTTTTCCTTCAAGAACTGGACCGTCTTTTGCTCGAACGCGTCGGCGCCCTGACCGGCGTTTTGCGATTTGGCCTGGGCGATCGACTCGGCCTCCTGGATGTACCGCTTCAAGGCGGACTGTCGGTCTCGGATGAACGCGCCGGCGGGGTTTTTACGCTTCTGGTCCAGCTCGTCGGACGTACGAGCCGAGAGGAACAAAAAGTTCGGGTCGACCGTGGGCATGTGAACGAGCGAGATGAGCGAGTCGGAGAGGGTCTTGGAGTCGATCGTGGCGGGTCGCAGTGACGGGGCGGGAAGGCTCGAGGTAGTGCTGTGGGTGTTGACGTTTCGTGCGCCGTCCAAAAAGTCGGCAATGGTCTGCAGCCGGGTCGAGTCATGTCAATGAGCATGCTATTCGAGGGATGAAATTCGCACGCAACCTACCATGGTATCCTTCAACGACCTGTACTTGGTAGTCACCTCGGGACCGGTGGTCTCCATCGTCGGGACGACGAGGGTCGGGATGGTACCTGCATAATCAATCGATTTGTAAACGCGTTTCAAACGTACTCTGACCAGCTTCAACTCGCGTTATTCACCATTGGCGTTGATCCTATGGTGGAAGATGACAAAGCGGGATCAACATCTTCTTCATCTCTCTCGCCATCGCATAGGCCACAACAGGTCGACTCACTTCAAGTAGGAAGGCGAAAAGTTTTCTCCCTTGGCTATCACATCGAAGAAAAAGACCAGATCAGTCAAGCTCCGATATTTTATGAAACAACGCGACGGCATCTTCAGCGGAACCGATGGAAAGAATCCTGTCTTCCCTTAGACGAGAAAATAATCCTTGACACCCTGACCCGCCTCGACGAACGTCTCTGGCTCTTTTGCTCCCCCTTAACTCCATAGCCTAAAACGAACGAGATACTAATATACGTTTTCGGGAATCCTGGCGCAGTCTAGTGACTGTCACCCTTGCGTGCGGTATGAAACCCAGATTCCGCCCCGCAGGCATACTCTTTTCGAACGTCCGTCCGTTCGACCCGTTGAGGGCAGAGATAATTCAGATCCGACCTGTCGAGGTCGTTTATCGTCCGGGAACTCGGACTGCGCACGACCAGCAACGAGGTCGAAATCGTGGCCTCCTTTTGGTTTTCCGATTTTTATTTTTTTTTTGCGAAGTGCGAAGTGCGACCGTATGCCTCGTCTGGACCTGAGCTTGAATCTCATAGCGAGCCTGCCTGATCGAGCTTGAGCTCTTCTCGAAAAGCAGCCAACTGTCCCGCTCTAGGCGTGGCTTACACTCGGTTGATCCGATCCGAGCACAACTCCACCACCATCACCACCACCACCACCTCCACCACCACCGCCGCCAGCCCAACTGAAACCCATCTCGCAGACCAACCCCAGCCCCGAAACCTCAACCACGACCATCACCCCGAACAGGGTCAAAAAAACCAAATCGAAGAAGAAGAGTGGCAACTCACTGATATCGACCTGCTTGACGATATACTCGTCCGCCGAGTACCCTTTTTCGTGTAGACAGAGGAGGGGGACGGTGGCCTATCGTTTTTGTTTCAAAGTCCCGAGTGTCCGATTTGACGAGGCGGCGTTCAATGCAGAGCGGAATATCGATCGGATCCAACCACAAATCGAAAACAAGATGAGGATGAGGGTAAGAATAAAAGAACAAAAGAACAAGGTCAGCGATCCAGTCTCTTTTCGCCAGCGGGGTTTCGGAGATGGGATTCGACTTCGGATGTCAATCAACGATGAGGACGGGGTTGGGGGTTGGGAGTCTCGAAGTCAGAATGAGGGTGTAATGTAATGTGAACACGAGCGAGGAAACAGGGATTAAGAGGTGACGGCAAGAGTAAGAGGGTATGGTGTAGGCAAAAGGATGTGGGTGATGTCGATCGAGCCGTAGTCATGCAACGTAGTGCAATGTAATGTGTTGCAATTGTGATTGTGATTGTGATGGCGATTGTGATGGCGATTGTGATGGCGATTGTGATGGCGATTGTGAGCGATCGCAGAGGATGTGTGAGATCGCAGAGGACGGAGTGGACGTAGTGGTCGTGGTTGGAGGTAGTAGGGGGAGAGGTAAAAAAGGGAAAAATAGGTGTCCCTTCGTAGGTCCAGCTAGTAGAGAACGGAGCTCGACCCCCCCCTCCCCCTCCCCCGGGCTTATATGCGTCTCCAGTTATAGCTGATTTTATAGTTATAGCCCGGATATCGAGCGATAGTATTTTTAATAGTTTGGTAGCTTTGGAGCTTGGTGAATTGATCCGGCTCCGGCGAAGAGCTTCATCCCGGCGGTAAAAGCGCAGACGAAGGGTAGGATACGAGTTGTCTTCCTCGGAGTTCGAGGGGACGAAGGCAAACAGGTGGGCCATAGTATAGTAGGCACGGTACTGTATGTGTGATTTGTGGTGAAGATGGGGATGGTACTCGGACGAGTGAGGTAGGAGGTAGGAGGTAGGAGCTGGGGAATGGCGGTACTGTAGGTGGTTTGGGAGGGGGATGGGTACCCCCCTTTGATCTTTTATAGGGATCCTTCCGAGCCTTCTTGACGAGTTCTTGTCCTGGTGACGGTGACCGTCGACCATCGACCCCAAACGTCGAATTTCGAACCTCCCAACTGGCTTGTAATGCAAGACCTCCCCCTCAAACGATTCCTCTCACCCGGCTCTCCAGCCGACCCTCCACTCCACCCCACACAATCGATGATAGTCAACCCTGGACTCACCCATACGGACGTCTGCCAGGAATAAAGGATGGCCTTGGGGACCTGAGGCTGTTGGTCCTGCTGTTCGGCGGCGTTGGGTACGGTGGTCATGCTTGAGGGGTGATGTGTTCGATGTAGCGTCTTTCGAAGGGTTGGTCTAGCGGGTGTGTGTGTGTGGTTGAAGATGGTCAGGGGGGAGAAGTGAGAGCTGATGTCCAGATCATATCTGCGACGACGACGATCACTTCCCCCACCTTCCCCCCTAGCTGGCAGCGGGACGAGAGATCAGCTTCCGCTCGCCCCGTGACCCCGCCCGCTACGTCATGCAAGGAGTTGGATTAGGTAAGCAACTCCCCCGGGGGTGAGGCGCATGTATGCGGTCACGTGATACTAGCGTGGCACCGCATCGGAAGCGGATTTAGCATCCGATAGCTGCCCTCCAGTTGTCGACAGCCTGACTTGTTGAAATCAATTGTCGGTGAATTGGTGTAACGTTTTCGCACTTCACCCGCCTGTCTCCGATAGCTGACAGCTGACAGCTTATCAGAACCTTGGTGCTTGGTGCGACGACATGAAGCCAGCCAGGAGGAGCACGCCGCCCATCCCGGGGTTGTACGTCTTCCCAGGGCTCTTACCGGAGGACGTTCAAGGTCGGTCCCCTCGTCTCTCGTCTCCTATTTGCTACTATTTGCTACTATATGCTGCTATGCTCGTCTTTCTGGGATATCTGCCTTGCGTCAAAATTCGAGATTTCTTGTATTATTTCGTAACGCTGACTTTTGTGGTTCGGTGTTGGGTGATATTGTAGGCGAGATACTGGGGGAGATTGCCCGTGCAGGGGTGTTTAGGGGTGGGAAGCGGGATCAGGTCATGTTCTTCCCTTCTACCTCTGCCTTTACCCCTGGCACTTGTACCTCTACCTCTACCTCTCGCTTCTCTGCCTCTTCTCCGACCTCGACAACGAATCCAACTCTAGCTTCGACGAACAAAGACAAAACTATCGAGAACAAAAATGACTCGTTTCCGGAATTCTTGAACAAGACGCTACGTATCGTGCAGGACCTCTTACAACCAAGGATCCCGGAAGAAGTTTTTCGGTTGCTCTTCGACGACCACCACCACCACCACCCCCAACACAATCCCCAACCACATACCCACCCACGTAGACAAACACACAGACAAAGACAATCCATCCTAAACCTCTACCCCCTCCCACAATCCCTCCCCCTCTCCCTCTCCCTCTCCCACTCCGACTCCCACGCGTCACCGTACAATAATGGGATCACCCCGCACGTAGACCTCCCAAACAGGTATACGGATGGGATTGTAGGTGTTTGTCTGGGGAGCGGGGTGGTGGTTGGGTTTGTGGAGGTTTGTTTGGGCGGGGATTATGGGGATGGAGATTATGGGGATGGGGTGGATGGGGAGGGGGGGTTGTGGGGCGAAGAGGAGGATGAGGAAGAGGGAGAGGTGGAGGAAGAGGGGGAGGAGGAGGAAGGAGAGGAGGAAGAGGGGGAGGAGGAGGAGGAAGATGGCGACGAGGAAGAAGATGGGGGAGAAGGTGCAGACGAACGCGCTCCACCGCACACAGAGTCTCGATTTCCTGCTCGCCCACCTTCCTCATCCGAATCATCCAAATCAACAAACCCACCGAACTTGTCAAAGAAGAAGAAGAAGATAAAGAAGAAGAAGAAGATAAAGAAGAAGAGAAAGAAAAGACCTACCTCGTACGAAGTCTACCTACCGAAAGGTACTATCTACATCTTGTCGGGGGAAGCTAGGTGGAGCTGGATGCATGGGATCGAGGCTAGGGGGGAGGATTGGGTCTGGGATGATGAGGGGGGTGTTGAGGAGGATGAGGGTGGTAGTGAGAGCGAGGGCGATGATGGTGAGAGTGCGTTTGATGGAGATAGTGGGGGTGTTGGTGGTAGTACGACCGAGGGTTGCGATCAAGATAGCGATAAACCCGACCGCCGACAAGCGGGCAAGTTGGAGGAGACGTTAGCTTTGGGCCCTGCTACCGAGAACAATCGGAGGAAGAGGAAAAGAACCCCAACAGCGACAAGAAGTAAGCGGACGAAACACAGGACGGCAACGAGGATTCTCAGGGATACGAGGGTGTCGATCACGTATAGGTGGTTGAAACCTCAACCTCTTCGCGAGCCAATGAAATCGAGGCAAGCTGGGGACGAGGATGAGGAGGCGGACGGAGGGTTTGGAGGGATCTTGTTGCAAGATCCGGCGGGGGAGGGAGATGATTGGAATGTTCGATAAAGGGGTCATTGCGCAGATTTTCGGCGTCATGGCGCGAAGAGTGCGAGAATGCTCTGGATAGATGGGCAGACCTGTTCTGGCTACAGTTGCAGTCTGGATTGAATGGAACCGAAAAGAAGCGTTGTGGGGCGAACGGCCGGTGCCTCTCCTGTCGCAGCATATTACGGACTTGGTCGAACCATCAAGATCGCGCAGGCGCAAGTGGTTAACAAAACGGTTGCCGAGAGCGAAAAGCACGGAGTCCGTCAAAGCATATCTGTCAAGCGCTTTGCAACAGGACCGCACGGAGTGACTCCAGGATCCAGAGGAACGAGCGTGGTGATGAAATCTAGGCTGAGTGATCATGCCCGGCGAGGTGGGTCGGCAAGGAGGGTCGGCAACAATGTCGGAGCCTTCGCTCGCGACACATACCAAGACTACTACTCCTATGGTGAAAGTCCACTGTCGTCGGCAGCTCGAATCATGGGTTCATCCCAACGGCGACGCATGAGAACCCGAACAAAATCATCCTACCTGGCCTCTAATGAAGGAGCAGTACGGCTGCCCGTTCTCAGCATCGGCATTACTGTTCACGCTCTGCAACGTCTGTTGCATGCTCGACGTATCGAGAAGAAAGCTTCTCGACCGATGAGGTGAGATGAGACCCACCTCCAACGTGACACAATAGGACGACAATATGAAAGTCTTGCGGTCGGTTGGTATAGGCGCATCACAACCACACAACCAGGTGCAATCTGCATACGTCGGGATTTAATATCGTTCCAAGAATCTAGGATCCCCAGCTGAAACGACTTCTTGTACCGATGACGAGCTAGCACAACAAAGAAACCATTCATCAGGGAACACCGCTCAACGAACGCTCTCACAAGGACCTCTGCCGTAGCAATAACTACATAGCTGTCAAGCTTGCTTACTGGAACGAATATTGGAAACGCTTGACCGCTTCATCTGCAAAGAGTTACGGGAAACTTCACGTTTTCCAGCGCTTAGGGACGACAATGCCATTCTAAGTTAACCCTCAGGAATCTCGTCGAGAGAGGGTACAATCAGGAGCTTTGCGGACTCAGGTCAACAGGGTCCTGGCGGTGTATCTCTTATCGATACGGACCACAAATGTTTCAGACAGCCCTTCCGACGATCCTGCTCCATCGTACGATCCAGAAAACGGGATGACCGCTGCGCAGGACGATTCCGCTGGTGATATTATGGCAGATCAACCCCGATACTCTCTGCAGCACGTCGATCCCAGCCTCTTACCGGGCCTTTCCGAAGCGCTACGACAAATGGCCGAGCTGACGAAACACCGTTTGTATTTCGAGGTCGTTGGTGGTTCTGCGAGTGCAGTAAAATTGTCAAAACAGAAAGCGATATCTAAATGACTTCGCTGTATTCCTTTCATGTGATAAAATCCACAGAGCTCAAGACGTTCGCATTGCAATGCCTCTGCCCAGGATTTCGGGAAGGCTTATCAGTCGCAACGGGCCTAATCCTCGTCCGTCTGGGTTGTGATTAATCGCCAACTTCAACTGGACATCTAGAGATTGGTATCTGTGCGACGAGCGTCATCTTCGACCCGCTCTTGAACGCATCATGGCCAGTCTTCCGGAATCTCCAGCATCGCAAGGCGGTGTATGGATTTGGACTATGATGGCCTGGAGCGGACTATCGTCCGTCACAGTCGACGCAAGAGAAAATGTGATGTTGATCAGGGGTTCAACGAGGAAAGAGTGACCGTCAAGCTTGTATCGTCAGAGCCTTATTTGCGTAAACTCCATATTTCAAACTACAAGTCTTGCTCTATAGATGATGATGCAATTTTCGTTTGACGTCATGCCGCCCTGTTAGCATCTGGCTGCCCAAACTTGCATGACTGGAAGTACATACCAAAGCCGGACAAGTGGATGCCTCTAGAGCCGACAATGATGCCGAGGTTCTCGCGGTTATCTGGGTAGGATAGTAGCGACGTCGCGGCACGCGCCGTCCAGAGTTTACACGTTGAAACAAAGGAGCTCGACTTCCGATTCGTTCTCAGTGCAGAGCTCGCCCTCCCGCAGGGATCAATATAAATCCTCTTACAGAACCACCAAGCAATTTCCGTTATTTATTGAGTATGGAAGCCCGATTTCTGCCATATCCGCCTCAACAGGGTCGATACTGCCGGATCGCCATGCCAAACGACAAGTGGAATCCTGAAATGTGGAACCGCATGATGGGAGAGACAGATTCACGCGGTTCAGGGGAAGTCCTCCTGCCGCCTTTGGTATCTCTGGATCTGCGGTCTCCAGGTCGCCACATACGATCATGACCGATCCGATGTTTATATTGGAAGTCCAGCCCCCCAGCTATGGTCGATTTACACCATCGAACTCCACAAGCAGCGCTCGTTTGTCCACCTTGTCTAGATCGGGACATCACGATCGATCGGGCCGACCTTCAGGCAATCTTCAGGAAGAATCAGGGTCGCGCAGTATGTCCGGTATAGGAGATCAGAGTTCTCGTCAGACCGGGGATACCCTTCCTGAGACATCAAGCGTGGGAACGAGACCTGTCCTAACGGGCTGTCCGACAAAGGCGCATATGATCGAAGTATTATGGCCTTGGGTCAGATAGATCGAACCGGGAACAGACCAGACGCACTTCGTGTGTAAAGCCCTTCTTGAAAGCTACGCAGAACGCTTTCAAGCCCTGAGAGAGGCGCGGGGTAGAGCTCTGAAGAACTGGCAACCTAGCTTGATGACTGCAGCTCATTATTGGCCTTCTCTCGGAGCGGTCGAAGAGAGCTCAGGCGCTCCTGTAGAGACCTGGCACGTGCGCTATAATGCTCGGCTCACATCCACGAGAACGCATTCAAATTCGTCGATAAAGATGGGGAGAAACCACCTGCCTACGAGTTGATGGACCGGGACAAGAATGTCATCAACAAGTTGCACAGCCTGATGGAGAGTCTGGTGCATGGTCGCGCTCGCGCCTCGGTCGACTGCGAGACGGTCTGGACGCTCCCCTTTGGCCCTTATCACAGATGCAAGGTCGTCCGTCCCTTAGGAAGAAGTGAGGGGTTTATGATGCATTTCTTCCGTTCCTGAGTAAATGTACGAGTATACTGCTGTACTTGGGACAATGCCCTAAACACATGACCCGTTGATCGCTTTACATCCATCGAGATTCGTAGTGAAGACATGTTGATGGTCTCAGTACCAGATTACAGAAACCGATTCCTTTGGACACTACTGTAAGAGTGAAACAAAGCGCTTAAGAGGTAGAAGAACGACCACGCTTGCAACGCAGGCGCCCTGCTAGTGGACTTCTTCACCAGTACGTGCTTCTTTCTGCCTCATGATACGGATCTCGGTAGCTTGCCGAAATTGACTCCAAGGTGGTGCAACGCTACAAGGAGCGCGTGGCCTGGTGATGATGGATCAAAGGAGGTCCGACAACGTGTTATCTTACTATGTGAGGCACAGAGGTATTGCTGCCGTTGCCGCGATCGACCTTGGTCGCGCGCACGATGAAACGGCAGGGAGACGCCCCAGAATTGGCACAAAGGAGGCGAGTTGTCGACTTTGCTCGGTTTCTCCACGCGACTTTTTGATGATTAGGGTCAACCACTTGCACCTTCCCCACAGTATGAATCCTTGAATGATACGTCGCCTTTAGATAGGGAGATTGGTATCACAGAATGTAGGTATCATAGCGATTCATGTCAATTCATTCGGAGCTACTGGTACCGTTCGTGTGATCTTGACGTAAGCCAGGCTGCTATCCTGCGGAATCTCTGGTACGGACAAGATGCCTCCCCTCCGCAATCGTCGATTCAGTGGTCTGATTGACGACAAAGGAACGTCTGAAGATCATCTTGTTGTCATCCTCCATGTCTCCGGAGCGGTGGCGGGGCAAACGCATTCATGTGGCACCAGGTAGAGAGTTGTGAACAGCCGCCTAGCCAGTTGACATCTATTGGATAGGACAAAGGAGAGTCGCCTTTCTAGTCTGGCATCGACTTTCATGTCGGCCATATAGTCTCGCCCAGTAAGGCTCTTTTCGCGCATAGCAGGAACGCCTGGATATTCGGTGATCTGTCCAATCACTCAGATCACCAAAGTTTCATGCGCTCATCGTGACGTCATGCCTGAAAGAATCAACAGTCACGAGCAACGCATCGGGAGGATGCATCAACAGCATGCAGAACGAGTGGAGTCTATCAGACGACAACTCAGGGCACCCCGCGAATCGGCCCATCCTATTACTGAAAGCGGTGTCTCGAGCTTGTCTGGACTGCTTTCTACCACTACGGCAATGATGTCTACATCAGAGAGAAGGTCAGGAGAGCCCGAAACAACCCAAGAGGGATTGGATTCCGAGCCCGAAACATCCCAAGAGAGGTCAGATTCCGAGCCCCCAAAGCCATCACCTCAACCCGACCTGGATAGGACCGAGTTGTGGTTCATGGGCATTGACGTGGATGTTCCCCACTTCCGTTGTGTCCAGCACAATCATCCCGGCTACAGGGAATTCTTGAGACGGACAGGAAGCAAAGTGGTGCATTACGAAGCCCAGGATGTACTTCGAGGAATATCAGAAGCGTTTGTAGCGCTGCGAGAGGCAAGAAGCGACCTTGACCCGGGCTGGCACAGCGGAGATGCAGGAGTGAGTGTGTGGAATCTTCGTCTCTCTCGATGCATGGGCTTATCGCAGATTGCCTTCGATCTCATGATCGCAGAGCGATCACTGGTTTATACAACGCTGCGAAAACGGAAACATCGTTTTGCTTGAACAGGAAAGTTCTATTTCTCCTCTGTATGGGAATCTGGAGTATGATCATCCTCTCAGATCGGCACTGCGTGATCTCCTGACGCAGCTTGACAGGACTTTGGTAGGTGCAGCCGATTTTAACACATACGTGAGCCTCGATTGGTACGCCACTACGCTCGATGTTGGGAGCCTGCCTTATCAACGTTGCATCTATATGCCATACCGCGTGGGGGCTACACGTCGTTGCCGCCTGTTGTGCGACTATCATTACGAAAACTTATGAAGGGTGGTCTGATGCAACCGATCATCTTTATATCTAGACTGGTCACGCGGCAGACGAGGATTGTAGTACTCGTATGGTATTCACATTTGTAAGAACGCTAGCGCCTGGAGGGCAGCTTCCAGATGCGCAGGTCTTATCATGAAGTGAAATATGAGTAAAGCCCATACTGCTGTTGTATATTGAATGTTGTGTCCTGTATTCAGGCTGTCCTTGACCTTCTGCCCAGTAAGATATGTAGTCAGCCTGTTCTTGGTATCCTATATATTGGCCTGCTTCTTGGAGGCAAGCGCTGCCTGTTTCTCTGCATTACGTTGATCTGCAACGATTCGTCCCAGTCCTCGGTATCCACTACCGCTTCCAACGACTATTGCGGCCCATGCCATCTGCTCAGCGGTCGGGAATATCGTGACACCGACCTCAGAAGATATATCATGGCGTGCCGTAAGCGGATGTTGACAATATATAGTAGACAGCTACAACTTGACAGACCTTGCAAAGTGCAGCGCTTCCACGGAAGACCTTTCCATCGATAAAGTTTTGGTAGTACAGGGACATTACGTCAAGGTTATTGCCACGCTCAGACCTTAATCGTGTCAAATTCGGGACAGGCGTAAGAGGATACAGACATCCATTCCCATAAAACAAAACCGCTTAGACGGACCAGTATTACGGGCATCACCTATAAATTTACAGGGTAAGACTTTGCGAACACGAGTAGACGTACCGATCAGACTTGTCCATCATTAAAGTGAAGTTCACGTCAGACATAGGCTTGCGGATGTCCTCGTTCGTCTGGTTTGCAATCTCGGAACCTCTTTTGTTGTTTGCAGCCTCAAGATAACGCTTAGAACGCGTGAATTGCTCTTTGACTAAGGTAAGGTCGGCAGACTGCACCGATCCTAACCGCTGACCTCTATCCACTGACTTGACTCACTTACAGTCGAAGATCCAATCCTTCCCGGACCTGAAGAGAGATTCCGGCAAAGTCAATTCTCTGACAAGTCAGCTCAAAACACGCGCGCCAACACACCCTTAGACAAATAGACCTTCCCACATGCACATTCTAGCCGGAGTTCCTCTCGATGTTTGATGATCTTATAGTTGAAGCTCGGTATGTTTAGGAATTCTGCTGCAATATATCTGTGTTTCTTCTCCATCTCTGCTTTCGTCTGAGTGGGATTGCACCTATACATCTGCTGGAGCTCGAAGCGCACTCGCCGACATACCTATACAACGTGTTGTTTCTTCCTGTTTGCAGCCTTGAGATAACGCTTAGATCGAGTCCATGGCTCTTTGACTAGCCAAATGATAAGGGACATACGCCTGCGGCTGAGCATAAGGCGCAGACAGTCGAACACAGGCCAAGGATTGAGCGGGAGGCTATCGGGGGCGTGGTCATGTCATAGGCAGCTCTGTGAAGGGATAAAGAGTCGGTGCAAGGGTCTTTGGTCGGCGAGACAAGAGGAGTGAAGATCGAGCGGTACTCACGTCTTCGACGTTTTTGTGTGTTGTCTTCGTCGAGTGAATCGTGGTGTTGCCTTGACAGAGCGTCCTTCGCGGTACTATGGGCGTCAGAAGCTAGGTTACCGTTCAAATCGGATAGCCGGTCAAATGGGTCCGAGATCATACCCTTCTAATCTGTTGCTAAATTGCTAAGACTTATCTCCATCTGTTGCATGTTGAAGCGTCCAGCTCGAATCCGAGCAATCGATGTGAAACGCCGGCGCGCGTCCTTCAGTGAACGTTATGGGAGGATTTGTGTATCCGCGGTACGCGTCTCGCAGCGCTGCTTAGCTGCTTGAGCTTGAATGACGAAGCGTCCTCTCGACTCATCATCACCTTCGACCTCATCTTCAACTATCGGTATGCTTGTCAAATCGACCTCGCCATCAACCTAGCTGTACCCCAATCACTCAACATAGATCCAAAACCCACAAGACAAACCACAATGGAATCCCTCGTCGCCTCCCTAAACTCCCGCCCGCCTCACCTCCTGCACGACAACGCTGAGGAGAACGAATATGAAGGGGACGCTTCGTTGGCCCAGTGGGGTAGTTCAGGAGGATTCGGGAACTTGATGGGAAATGGGGTTGTTAGGGGGATGGAGATGCCTAGGGTACCTGATGTGAGTCTCAGACGAGAGGAATGCTAGCGTGGCGGAGGGTGTTGCGGGCTTTCGAGGTTTCGAGATTTCGAGGTTGCTGATTCAAATTCGCTTGCGTATCATCTCTCATATCGGGTCCTTTGTCCTTTGATCTCTTACCTCTACCTCACCTCCAATTGCCCCTTCTCACCTTCTACTTCCATACTACCCCCATACCTCTCATACCACCTCGACCGACGGGGGAAAAAACAGCCCACAGCCTTCCTATCCCACCACACAGACTCCATCTCATCCAACTCGCAAGCCAAGATAAAGCTCGCACACGGTACCACTACGTTGGCGTTCAGGTTTAGAGGAGGGATTATCGTCAGTGTGGATTCTAGGGCTAGTGCGGGGAGTTATATTGGTAAGCACTTTTCCTTCTACTTTCAACGTGCTTGGGGAATGCGATGAGGAGATGATACTCGAGCTGACTATGTATTCCATACCTCTTCCTGATTACCTCATTCCTCCTTACCGAAATCTTTGGTACGCCGTGCTCGTTCTCGTCAACCTTCACGATCATGAACAACCTCCTTGCCATCCTCCACTACATCCCGATTTTCCCTTCCCCCACCATCAACCTCAACCTTAACCACACCACACCTCACCTCCTCATACCCAACCCCATACACAAACTCGAACTCGACCATCCGCTTCATTTTATCGCATTACGTTGCGTGGCATTGCTTGGCGGGAAAATAGCATCGGGAACCGTAAAGAAGGTCATCGAGATCAACAAGTACCTCTTGGGGACTATGGCGGGTGGGGCGGCGGATTGTCAATATTGGTCAGTTCCCGGTCTTGCGTTTTGCAATGCGAAGGTTGTGTCGCTGATTGTAATCATATCTTCTGAATTACGTTTTGACTTCGGTTGGGTTGGCGGATCTTGTTTTTTTTTGGGTGTTGGTTATCATCTTGACTCTGATTGATCTGGGTCTCAATCCCGACTTCGATCCTATCAATTCGAACTCTTCACCTATACCCCACCATCCTCGCCACTCCCGACAACCCGAAACCTCCACTTCCACCTCTATCAATCCACACTACCACCGCATGGCAAAACATGACCTTTACGGCAATACATCACCTCTGATCGTACCGCAGGGAGACCTACCTAGGAATGCAATGCCGCATGCACGAACTGAGGAACAAGGAGAGGATCTCGGTCGCTGCTGCTAGCAAGATCTTGGCGAACATCGTTTACGAGTACAAGGGGCGGGGGTTGAGTATGGTGAGTGTCGGCGTGGAGCTTGCGGATCGGCAGGGGTCGGTTACAGGAAGGCTGATGGTCGGTCAATCGGTGTGTGTGTTTAGGGCACGATGATCTGTGGTTGGGACAAGACCGTAAGTCGACCCCCATCTTCATCGTTTGCGCTCGCAGACTTGAGGAACCAGGCAATTGACCTTTACCTTTACCGTCGTTCTCGTTCGTCATATCGTTACAGGGCCCGGCGTTATTCTACGTCGACTCGGATGGGACCCGGTTGAAGGGAGACATCTTCTCGGTCGGTTCGGGTAGTACTTTCGCTTATGGTGTTTTGGACCAGGTGAGCCGGGGCGATTCTTGATTAAATCCCAACGAGAGAGGTGCATCGTGTTCAGTTGTACTCTTGCTGACCACTTCGCTGATCGCGCTCAGGGCTACCACTGGGACCTGACCGACGAAGAAGCTCAGGAACTCGGTCGACGTTCGATCGTCGCCGCCGGACATCGGGACGGGTACTCGGGTAACACGAACAACCTATACCACGTCAGGGAGAACGGGTGGGAGTTCTTGGGCAACCTGGATATCAGCGATCTGTGGTACAAATACGAGGAGGAGAAGAAGACTGCGAGGAAGGAAAAGTCGGAAGCGGCGGGTACGGGCGGGGTGGAGAGTATGCAGGTCGAGTAGGGTCGAGAGGTGGTTGGGATGGGAGATGTGTAATATTCTTTTCCGAGACGATATCATGAATCATTTACGTTGTTCTGCCTAGGTCAGGTGGATTGACGAGGATAAAGGTAGTTGATTACGTCAGCCTCGTCTTGGTCCACGTGGCGTCACCCTCGCCGTCGGCTTGCGCTTCGAATCGAAATCACACAGATTCGATAGATAGGATTTCCCTCTGGCTGCTCTGCCATCCTACTTTAGATCTCTCGCGTGGCCCTAGATGAAAGGAGACGCTGTAATTCACGATGTTTCATCCCTTTGAGAAGCCAAGCTGCCGGGGTATATATGGATGTATGAACACCAGGTGCTTGATGACGAGAAGTTCGGATGGTGGGGGAATAAAAGTCATTTGCAAGCTACGGTAGACCTGGCACCATCATTGCCTTGGACTACCTCGCAACCAATGACTGACCACAGCTTCACAACCGCAACAATAAACCCGTCATTACTGACATTGGGGTCCTCTAGCAATGAGAACCAGAACTCTGTATCGGATGTTACCTCTCAAACTTCGCAAGACACTTCCCGACGGTGGAAGATTGAGTTTGATTTCTCCAAGACTGCTTTCATTGATCCGTCAGTGACACTCTGGGTGATCGTGTGACTGACTCTGCCTACTTGCTCACATCATTGTTTCGACATACAGAAACCAATTCAAAGACTCAGAGCAGGTGAAGTATGTACAGGCTGAGGCCGTATACACCGACAGTCAATTGCACAGTCTCTTACGAACACGGGAATGTGACAATGGGTTATACTGGCATATTTTGCCACCACCGGCTATCAGACAAAGAAACAGGTGTGGATACAACATTGTGTCCAAGCTCAACCACAGTATCAGCGCTGCTACAACAGCTCTCAAAGCGTTCCATGTTGACAGCTACCTTAAAGTACCATTGTACAAGCTGGTTTGCTTGTTTCCCTGTAGCAAGAACTTGCAAGATGACTACCCGGAGTGGATGCGATCATCAATCTCCGCGGCGGTCAGAACAAAAGCCACGACCCACCCTATGGACTTTCGATGGCAGTTCTACCAGGCATTAACACTTCATCGAAAGAGACGGGTCAGAGACTCGAAAAAGATACCAGATGACTCTGGCAAGGCATCGCGCGAGAGCAAAAATGCATCTCTGGTAAGTTGATTAGGAAAAGAGGCTGGCTAAGGCGAATACATGCTTATGAATGGTGACAGATGGCACACGAACAGAACTGGACAGAATGCTCGCTAGAGTATACTCTGTATGACTCTGGAGAAGGGAATATGTCCATTGACGGCGAACTGCAGTGTCCTGTGGCATCAATCTTCATTGATGTGTAGGTCAGAGAAATCACATCAGCGGTAAGGGTCAGGGAGCTGAAGGTATCCAGTTTATCAGGGAAAGAGAGAGATATGAGAGGCCCTCTGTAGAGCACATCTGTGACACACCAAAGCAGACGGAGATCAACTGGCTTAGAGGCCTGCTGGAGAATGCAACATTCTACGGGGAACAAGGAGAGGTTGTCTTCCGGTGGAAGGTGTACAGACCTCACAAGTATAGTCAGAAGCGGATGTGTGGTTACCTTTTTGTTCCCATATATCAGCGTTCCGCAGACAAATTTTTGCCATACTCTGGGCTCACACTCAAAGCTATCGCCAGACTCTTCTCGTCCCACAAGGGGGACAATGCACTACCAAGACTTCCCGATTGGATACGGACCGAAATTACAGGTGCAGGGAGGAAGCCGGGTTCTGAGGAATCCAAGCTGTCGGCGTCGATGCGAAAGGCCGTTTCAAGATTTGCCCAGGATCAAAAAGTGCCAAATCCAAATGACGTAGGTACCAGAGAGATGATTGCTTTGTGTGTGTAAGTACTGTAAGTTGACCTTTTTACAATATTTTGCTGGTGGTAGGTAGGCACACCCTTATCAGGTTCTCACTGGTCTAGCTCAGACATGCAGGACGCCCTTCAACTAACTCGCGTCAGTGGTTCAACGCTTGGTAACTCAACCATTGACCACAATGCACTGGCCAATCAGGAAGACACGTTGTCTCTCAGCTTCTCTTCGGACAGTCAATTTGTGTACGGTATGCCAGAATGATCTTGTCAAAGATCCTGCTCGTATTGATGAGTTTGGCTATCGTACGTGGATACTGTCAGACCCATGAGCTAGACAAAAGCCTGGGTAAAGTACGAGTACACGTAAAGCTGTGCTAGATAGGGTCTTGCTTCAAGCAAACATTCCGTGATGTGGTTGTTCATGCAAGTGTACATAAAATGTATGTACATCAACTTCTTAGCTGCGACCTATGACCAATGTACATGTGTGGTTGCTGATCTCAATACATCTACACGCGACCTATAAGTCGGGGAACCTAATAGTACCTGTCCTCAAGCATGTGCACCAGCAGATCGCCGGTAGCAGCGCTAAGATTATCAGTTGCTTTTGATGAGGAGAAAGGATAAGAGGAGGACGGAGGGATCTAGTGTCGAGATCAAGTCAGGATGGCTCGCCGAAAGCACAGGTCGAGAGGTCCTATGTTGCTGTATAAGGCAGTCTCGATAGTCACGGTCGTTGCCTTTCCTCGGACTGGTCTTGGAATTACGTTACTTTGTGACATGACAAAGGAGCCATCGTGATCCAGCTGGTCATATGGCTAGCCGTGGCCCCCACACGTGAGCTGTTAGTGGCTACAAGCAGATCAGCCAGGTGGCGAACGAGCAGTGCTGCGCTCGTGGTGTGCTCGCAAATCAAAGGAGCGATCGGATGGAGCCGTAGCTGGGAAGCTGTACCGTAAGACAGGTTCTTATATATATCTGGAGACCGATAGACGAAAGGGGTGGCGAGGGGCAATCAAAGCTGTATTATTAATTTCCTGCCTCTGCAACGTTGATTCACTGCTACACGTTATCCTTTATCGGCTCAATTTCAGAAACAAGCTGCACGATGTCAAGAACACCTACGAGCAAGAAAGTGTCTTTTCGAGACCCTGAACAATCGCCTGAATCCGATCCCGACAGAACCGGTCGGAGTGATACTGGTAGTACTCAAACTGGTGGTTTTGGTGGACCGATGGCCTAAAATCTGTCAAGCGGACTCTATCCCCACCACCCTCAGTTGGGCGGAATATTTCTGCGGCCTTTGAATATTTGGGCCTATCGAATGTCAATACTGCTTCAACTGATGTCCCAAACGCGGCTTCTGCTTCGCATCCGGCCAACTCTAAGTCGAGTGAATCGGACTCGCAAATCAAGCCAGAACCTGAAGCTCTAGCCCTGAGTGTGATGCGTATTCTACAAGATTCCTGGTCGAAGACCGACGAAGATTCTCAGAAACTGTTCAACGACAACATGCCAGGTTTTCTATCGGACGGCAGGTCGCCTCCTAAGTGTTTCTGGTTGTGGGATCTGCAGGGAACCCACAGCGTCGCTGGATGGGAAGACTTAGACAACGATGGCCGGTTGGTGAATGTATTCCTTTCGAAAGAAAATTCGGGGCCTCCTGAAAAATTCGGCCATCCTGGCTTTACAAGCATACAGACGGTTATAGGGTGCATGGGTGGGCCGATCGGCAGTCATGTCCGGGCTAGGCTCGACATGGCACAGCCGTTGAAGCTTGGAAGTCGTCACTTTGTTATTGGATCCTGCGAAATGGGTTCCATGCTCGTGAACGACGCGAAGCAGTTGGTACTATTCGTCGGTTTCAGGCCAGCATCGGCAGCAGAGGTAGAGAACTGTCTGATAGCGTAATCGACGTTGATCGGATCGGATTAGTTTGATTGGTACGCTTAGAAGAATGTTGTCCCGTCCCCGACCTTGTAACCCTTGTATGTAGAGCTCTTGAAGGTATGAAACTGCCATATACGTGCTTCTCGTGGATTGAGGCAATGGTGACTGGTACAAGGGTACATAGGGTGGCAAGTGAACAGACTTATCGACTCTGTTCTCAGACAAGCCACCATCTGCAGTCGGTGGCTTGTGATTTGCTTCCCTCATCGGAAGTATTTCAGGTTGTCCGGAAGCATATATTACATCGATGAACGGATGATTCAACTTTGGTACACCTCTCGATCAATATCAATTGATCGTTCGACGGGCATATTGCTATATTAAGCCAGCCAGACACATCATGAGCAACGATCACGCTGCGTTGTGGATACAAAGCTTGTCGGGCGTCCCCCTGGATCAATTCGCCCCGGCGGATGCCCTGCCGCCCCGTCCAAGCTCTTGCGGTCCCTCCGACGCTGACACCTCCCGCTCTGGCGATTGTCGTCCATCTATAGTGTCGGCCGGAGGCTCTGCCTCCCGATATGTCGAGCAACTACTTATGAATGGGGTCATGGAAATTTCGAATGAGTCCTTCTTCGTCTCCGCAGCGAGAATTGGAAACCGGCTCCCGTTCGACCCCGAATCTTTTTCCGAAGAGGTGTGAGCCAATTTGGTATCGGCGTTCATGGCTTGGCGGTGCTGACACCTATTCTCGTGACCATAGGCTTTAGATTCAATCGCCAAAGCTCATCAAGAACGATATTTAGAATCCTTCGAAGACAGTTTGGCTCGCCTGAAAGCGATTAATCTGGACCTGACCGAAGGAATCGTCAAGGAGACAAAGACCTTTCATACTGCTATGAACGTAGTATTTAACGAGACGATCGATCCAGGAACAGCCACCCTGGCGAAGCGTCGATGCAACAACATCGACTTACAACGCTCGATGCTATGGAATTATGGGCCGAAATGCTTGCTAGAAGCTGGATATCACGATCTCTCGGTGCCCAAAGTCGATTCGACCCACCTCATCGGCCAATGGCCCGACCATCTACAGGAAGGTAGCTCATTCTACAATGTCTGTCATCGTGTCTATGAAGCAGAAGACACACGTCGGACGTATGGGAACCGTGGGAACTGGTCCGACAAGCCGCCTGTCGAAAAAGCTGTCTCGTTGCTATCGCGTGCAGCTTTGCGGGAAATGCACCGGTACCGCGAGATAGCCGAGGTATGCTTCAACCTCGATCTCACTCGGAAAGATTATTCATCTTGCCGATAGCAATCTACCCACAGGTTTCGTTCTGCCCGACCACAACCGTCGGAGAGCACGGGAATTATCCCGTCCTCTTCTGTCAATACGAATTGCAGCCCGAGTTGAAGGAAAGATGCAAGAACCGAGTCATCAATGCCGGGGTATTCCAAGTGAGCAGGATTGAATCAGTAGCTAAGCTGACAGAATAAGCCGGAGCTCACCTGCCATGAAAGTGTGGGAAGCAGCTCGACCTGGTCCGACTTGCAAAATCGAAGCAGAAAAGCTTCTCGCTCGACCCTTTCAGTATCGGCATTTCGGTCACTGGGTGCGAGTGGCAGGTCATGCTTGTCGTATTCAACAAAGCTACTTTGCGTAGGAAGCCAGAGATGGTATGTCGAGTATCAAACGTCTCTGTGGCAATCTGAGACGTTGATGAGCAGTGTATCGTGTGATAGTACGCCATCGAGCTTGCAGCTGGTGATTGGTCGAAGAACCCGAGGCGGTTCATCGGAGCTATCCTGACTGTGTATGAGATCATGCTAGAACACACGGTCAGGTTGCTGGTCAAGTGCTTTGACATCTTGCTGCAGCACACTCAGGTGAGTATGTATCGGTTGGACGGTCGATGCGATATAGTCGTCGACGAGCTTGGTTTTCGTTGCAGAGTTACGAGCAGCGCGACGTCGAGCTTTGGGATACCCTAACAGAGCGGTCTTTATGGAGAACGCCGGTGCAACAAGCGAGTTGATCATAAATATAATAGTAAGAAAATGTCGATACATGACCTATACCGAAGGATTCTGGTAGTATCGACCGAGGCCGGGGCGAGGTATCGTGACCGCAATCCGGTCTTACCAATCCGGGATATCTGTTACACTGACGATCTACTGGAAGTACGGATCCTGTAACAATTCGCTTGCGGTGGGGCGCAAAGCCGGATCGAGCACGAAACATTTCTCAAGGAATCTGGCCAACTCGTCCCGCTCGGCGGCTTCCATGCGACCTTCAGTCCTGCGCTCTAATTCATCACTGTAGGTTTCGGTATCGATCTGAGCCCAGGGGAGTTGCCCTGATCAATGAACAAGGGAGACTTTGAGCGAACCGTGAAGGTCAGCCTTCATCGACTGCTTACCTTCATCGTCCAGATATTCGTCCCAGTCCTGACTTTTCTCCTTCATCGAGAGAGGAAAATTTGGCCCGGCAAAGCTCGCATATAGATAGAGCTGGTAACCCCAGTCGTCCAAAGGGTTCGGATGCAAAGCTCCACCTGTCGCCATCTCGTAGAGCTGATATGAAGGAACCTTGAGTTCAGGACGTATTCAAAGACGCGGCCGCTCTCCGGCTTCTTACCAAACATCCAAACGCCCAGATATCGACGGCGCTGCCCCAAGGGTGGCCGAGGATGACCTCTGGGCTTCGGTAGGCCGTAGTCTGCACCTTTTCGTTGTGTTCGAGGTCACGAGAGCGGACTATGAAAAGCAATATCACCCAATCTGCAACGCTGATCCGGCTTAGCAACTGCGACGAACCTTTTCCAAGATCGATCAGGACGGCGGTGATATCATCCTGATCGACTTCGTCCGCTTCACCCAACCAAGCGGGAAGCGATTGAGAGAGATAAGGAACTACCCCGACGGGTAATATAAGCTCGTCACCAAACATATCACAGCCCATCTCGGCCACCATAGGAGGACTCGCTACCATCTCTTGGCGGATGACTGCGTCCATATGGTTCGTCCGTATGCAGACATTGTCAGGCTTCAAATCTACCACGACCGGTATGATGGATCGATTCAGACAATGGTTGGATCTTTAACGACCCTAAATTGGGGACTTACCGACATAAATCAGATTCCATTCCTCATGCAGGAATTGGAGCGCCTGTAATACTTGACGAGCCAACTTCTTGTATACGTGAGCTGGCAGTCCATTTTTCGCGCGACTGATCCAATGCTGAAGACAAGAAAGCGGCTCCATAACAAAACAAGCGTGCGGACTTCTGGTGTGCCAGTCCGCTTGCTCAAAGATCTCGAAATACCGCGGCAAATTCAGATGCGTTCCAGGGTCGCGGATAAGCCGTCGCACGAGCGCGAGCTCTTCGGTAGCAACAGACTGCAATTGCTTGACGGTTTCTTTGGCGGACAAGATCTTGATGGCGACGAATCGGTTGTGTCTATAGTCGTGTCAAATTCAGCTGTCTTTCACGCGACAGGTCGATATCCCCCCCTTACTTTTGATCACAGGCCAGCCAGACCGTCCCGTACGCCCCGGCACCTAGTTTTCTCACAACGAGGTACCGCATGTCTCGAAGATCTTGTCCGATCACAACCTTGAGATGGGACCATTCTTCCACGTCTTTAAGGTGGAGAAATTCCCATTCTTCGTAGGGGGCCAGTTGGACATTAGCAGTCATGCCGAAGTTCCAATCACTGGTTGTCGATCGAGTCGACAGTGCTGAAGTTGATCTCGCGACTGATACGGGCTGATCCATTTCACTCATTCTGACGCGAGAATCTGTCCAGATCGGGTCGTCGAGTTGAGTTTTGGCTACGAACAGGGGATGAGATATCAGTCGAGTGGGTCTGTTATTGCAAGGTTTTGTTTGATTCAGCCTAGCTTATTTGTAGCTATCCGATGAAGGACGTGGCCACGAAATCGGGACTACGTGTCCACTGACTTGAAAAATGTTGCGGTGTAGTCATCAAACCTGATATTAGGTTCCGTGTCCGCTCCTGTCCCATGCTTCACAGCTTGTTGTGGAGCCAACGGTTGCCACAACAGCGGGCCTTAAGCCTGGCTCCATCCCGCGAGAAATGATGTTAGACTCCCTAGGAGTTGAAAAGGCGGAAGAGGTCCGATAATGGACCGATTTCTAACGTGAAAACATGTCGTCTAGATCAACGAAGAAGGGGAATCCCTGAGCCAAGGAGCAGCGTCCCGGCGATAGCTTGTCGTCATATAGATGCGGATCATCGACGCCGCACAATGTTACGGCTTGGTCAACCATCTTCTTGGCAAGGTAAAATGATTTAGCTGTACTGGTACAGCAAAGCAACGCAATGCGAGAGAGTCCACCCGCAGGGAGGAGAAAAATCCGTCTGGCCAGGAAACAAAGGAGAAAACCTCGTGGAATCGAAAGGCAGACTGGCTTGCGAGACAAAGCAAGACGTCTGCACCCAAAAACAGATGTCACAACGAGGACCGACCCACAAACAGTACTGTAGCCGTAACCCACTATATAAAAGGCCGCTCCGCAGACACGGAAGATTTTACTGTATCACATCCTAGTTTCTGCTTGATACATATCCTTTGGCTTTGGATGAGGCAGATCGGCATCGATAGCTTGTTGTCTTGGCACCAAGAAGCTTAATGAGCCAGCCAAACGTAGGATTAGCAAGAACTAAGTGGGGAAAAGCGAGAACCTGATTACGCTCGATGATCAGGTGCCGAGGTGCGAACAAGGGAAGTTCATGATGCCATCTCATGGCGCGCGTTTCGGGGCGCGATGTCGAAAAGGATATTGCGTGCTTTGAAAGGTTTGTGGGAAATGGAGAATCATGATTTTAGCTTCTCGAGCCTGTACTCGTCGCGCGCAAAAGTCCGCGGGCACGCGCGTAATTGAGGGTGATCCCTGCACCTATGTAGAGTGAAATATAGGTCGCATTTTCGAGTCCTTAATCACACAGCTGTCGAATCATGGACTCAAGGTCCTATACATCATGGCTATTAGATCTAGCTTTCAGAACCGAGTTATCTCACCCCTAGCTTGACATACAGCCTTCACCCTCTCAGGCATACCATCAATGATCTTGTTGATGTATCCTTGGTCTATATCCGCCCAGCAGGCCTGCACTTGCTCCCAAAGCATGTCTAGGTTAGTGGCCTGAGTGGATAATTGCAGTACCCTGGTTTAAAGCAGGTGCCAGACGTTCTCAATGGGGCTGAGGTCAGGAGAGGAGGGAGGATGGATGAGAGAGGAAATCCCTAATTCCGTTCTGACCTCCCTTGCCAGCTTACAACTATGGCAAGGAGCTCCATCTTCTACCACCAGGATGTCCTACCACCTGGCTGTCCTGAACTGTTTTGCAGGTCGCTTGAGTGGACCGTTGAGGATCATCCTGACATGATTTCCCTCATACATCCCTTTCCCCTTTTTTTGTGCCTCACGTGGCGGGAAGCTCAGTCTCTCCAGATTCCATTCCTTGCCCTGAGCCATTGCTCACACTACCATAAGGCTCTTATTAGATCCTGAACATGCTTTGCAAGCAAGTGCAGGCCTGCTGAGCGGATATAGACCAAGGATACATCAACAAGATCATTGATGGTATGCCTGAGAGGGTGAAGGCTGTACGTCAAGCTAGGGGTAAGGTAACTCGGTTCTGAAAGTTGGATCTAGTAGCCATGATGTATAGAATCTTATGTCCTGGATTCGCCTGCTGTCATGTACACGTAGCTTGAGTTATCAAAATTCGACTGCTGAATACATGTCAAAAAATAGGTTCTTGACATTGCGCGCCCGCGGACTTTCGCGCGCGACGAGTAGAGGCCATACACTCCTCGGGACGGCTTGAGAGACAAAGGTAAGCCAACGGCATCCACCGACCTCCTGTCCTCAAGATCGTTGTGGCGCTTCCTGCACCGATTGCCAAGCAGCAAGACTGTTTGTGTAATCGCGTCGTTGGCACATCGATCGCGAGCGATGACGACTGGTATCAAAGGAAAGTCATCCATGGAGAAGCTTAAATCGTGATCGGCAAGACTCTGGGCTGGTATAAATGGTTTCTGTCCGTTGCGAATTGGCGGCATGCTAAAGAGGAATAGCGATGTTTTATCGAATACAAGCGGTCTCACCTTCTCACTCAATCTACTACGCACTCGGAGACGATCTCAATGCCGTTTGAATTGTCAGTCCTTGCGAAAGACGCTAGCAGTGGAACTTTCAACGAATCTGTGTGGGCGCTTACGACGTATACTCCGGATTGGGAATCTACGATGGGGACTCATGAAGTGTTGGTCCCAAAATCTCTGACCGTATTTGATCCGCCCTCAAGTTCAGCTGCAGGGAACGAGCACGACATCGCTTCGCCGGGTGAGGAGACGATCGTCCTGGACCTCATCAAGCTGTATTTGAGAGGTGTGCCGGTTCAGCATAGTCATGTCATGCTCGATAACCCGGTAAGCTATAAGCTAGCAAAGAACCAGTAATCGCGCTCCCCGGCTCACTGACAGACGTCACGTGATGTGCAGACCAACCGCAGGTGGAGGATTTGGTGGCATATCCCTGAAGACGAGGTCATCGCCAAATGGGCTGGACAAGTTCGTGCGGACGGTGTCGCACATACCCACGAGCCTAAGCCGGAGAACTATGACGAGTGTCTCACCATTGTTGGCAGGCTGTTTCCGAAAGATAAAGATTGGAGCCAGATGAACTCCAACTACGTAACCACTTTCCCAACCGAAGTGCCCTGGATGCAGTGCACGACAGCCATATTCCAGGGGAGGGAGTGGTTCTTCCAGATTCGACCGATCAATGCTAGAGCCCAGACCCACCAGGTAGAAGGGTCCTCTGCTATGCACTGTTTCTCAATTGAGTTCGAAGGCCGTGCTGTTCCGAAAGAGAGCGGAGACGACCAGAATCATTCAGCCAGCGAGCCAGTCAGCGAGTTCGAAAGCGAAGACGGAGATATCACAGATTCAGATTAGTCATTCCGTTGAGTTTAATCCTGATTGTATCTGCCCTGCATAGTACGAGTATTTGAAGAAGATGTGTTCTGTATGGTTGTAGCCCGCGAAGAAAGTGTGCACGGAGATCGCCATTCGATCGGCCAAGATTGGCCGTGTGTTTGCGGTAACGTTAAAATTTCAAAGGCATTATCATTTCGCGCTGTACAATCCGTCTGTTTAGAGCCAAATTGTAACTTGTATTCTGTCTGACTCTCTTGCGGTACAATGCGTTCCTTCCGGCCAATACAGACATATTTACCGGGAGTACACGATATTCTGAGTCCAGTCATCAATATCGCTTCCATCCAGTTCACTGCACTCTTGATTGCTCAACCTCTCTTCAAGTCGCATCAGGCCGAGTAACAAAAATCTCGCCACTACAGATGATGGACACGCGATCCCTGACAAAGGAAAGCCTCGTGGCCGATTAGTAGTAGTTCACTTCTCGAGATATGCCGTCAGAAAAGACGTCATGATCATGTCATTATATTTACCTCATTTGGCGAATGATCAATCAGCAGATCGATGACGTTTTCAGGATGAAAGGAAGTCGACCATCACGTCCACAAAGCACGATTGGTCGAAAGAGCCAAGGAGAGGTTCTCATATAAAGCCATGAAAGTGAACAAGGGGGATGGGTCAGAAGGAACATGCATGATGAAGCTATCTGATTGACAGCAAACGCTTTCCCCTTACACCTCTGCGAAACATCTCTCCAGACACAGCGACGAAGGAAATGGATCAAGAGACGATCGCAGCGTTCTACTATCATATTGGCGATAGCGTCAGTCCCGATGGACTGCCATACACGTTGACATTCTTGCCCCGGAGCGTCACTTTGTGCAGCAATTCGACCCGGACGGGAAGATCGACCACGAACAGGCGATGTAAATTCCATCTTTCGGGGTAGAAAGTGACAATCGATTATCATCTAGGGTGCCGAAAGGATCGGGTCACAACATAGCATAATGTCGTACAAGCATAATGTTGTAAAATTTCGTAAAGTCCAGCATGGACACGACCGTATATATAACCTTGGCGAAGATAACCGAACGATTCCGCTGCGACCGCTACCAGGGTTCGGGTGTCGGGTAGTAGCTTTTTCTGCGTGCTTTGCTGGCGCGTGCGGGGTTCGCTAGCCTTCGACTGAGCGGTGCATCCTCCGTTTCGGCATGGTCTGACTCCTCCGCTGACTCCTCCGAGTCCGGTGGAACAACCCTTCACGGATCTCTGCGTGGTGCCGGACAAAAGCAATCGGACACGAGCAAGATGATGATCTTCAACGAGTTTGACCGCCAACTCTTCTGAGGCTTGCGTGAGGGAGATGAAACAGGTGTTTCCCGGCGAAGGGTTGAAAGCGTCGGGACCCCATAGTGGTCCGTTCCCAGAACTGGGTGAGGATCATATGGTGAGCGTGGCAGATGCCAACATGAAGGTTGTGATGGTGGCCGTCGAGAAGCACGATAGGTACCAGTACTTTACAGTCGAGATTGTTTGCGGGAGGGGTGTTTAGCGATCGCAGGAGTCTGCCCGCCGGGTTTCTGTACGAGCTTGCGTACACACCGAGATCGTATTTGATGGCTGAAACGCGTGGGTGTTCGATCCCGCACTTGAACAAGCGCAGATCGCGCCTCTATGTGGCATTCACCTCGGCTTCCTTAACTTTCGTGTGCTTGTGACGCGTGAGAAAGCGATCGAATCTTTTCCACTAAGAAAAGTTGATCTCGCCCCCAATTTTCCTCCCTCGCGCGCGCGAACCTCCACCCCACTCAGCCAGCTCCCAGCCTGGCCAGCGACCTCTGCCACCACCACCACCCCACCTGATCATATCGATCATCGCCACATCACGATCGTCCTCTCACCCCCGCCCTCTGCTTGCTTTTCTCTCTCAAGGTCTCCTTCATTCAAAAGGTAAGCCCTACCATCCTCGTCTGTCCACACGCCACCACCTGCTGACACGACTCTTTCCCACTCGTGTTCTCCGTAGACCCTACTCTCTTTAAACTCCCTCCCTTTTACTCCCCCCCAAAAATCTCTTATCGGTAATTCCGACCCCCTACCAACCCTACCTACTACTCTATATCCGAATAAAAAAAGACTTTCAAGATGGTTAAGTGAGTGCGATCGCCGCCGTCGAGTTGCGGGTTGCGGGTGGAGAAAGGATGGGGGAGGCTGATGTATCATGTTCGATTTTTCACTACTTTTCTGGCCTTGGTTCCGTCTGTCTTCGCCTTGATCCTTTTTTCCTGATCATTACCGACACTTCAATATCGCCTTCTCTCTCCACCCCACTCATCCGTGTTCGATTTGATCGCAACATGAACATTCTTCCCACCCTGGTCAACATGTGATGTTCGCAGCTTCACCGTCGATGAGATGCACTCGCTCATGAGCAAGCCGACTAACATCCGGTAAGCCTCCGGTCCCTTTTCGCCTTCTGGGCATCTTTCCACTAGGAACATCGTACTTACATCCTCTCGCCTGCAATACGTTCGCTACGCTCGCTCGCTCCAACGTAGAAACATGTCGGTCATCGCCCACGTCGACCACGGGAAATCCACCTTGACCGACTCGTTGGTCTCCAAGGCTGGGATTATCGCCGGTGCGAAGGCGGGTGATATGAGGTTTACTGATACTCGGTTAGTCAACCCGCTCTCTCATTGACATGTCACCCCGTCACCCAAAAATAAAAAGCAGGCATGCTAACGCGGTTAAAAATCGCTTATGATCACGCAGTCAGGACGAGATCGACCGAGGTATCACCATCAAGTCCACCGCCATCTCGATGTACTTTGAGCTGGAAAAGGACGACGTCGCCGATATCGCCCAGAAGACCGAGGGTAATGAGTTCTTGATCAACTTGATCGACTCGCCCGGTCACGTCGATTTCTCGAGTGAGGTTACCGCTGCTTTGCGTGTTACCGATGGGTGAGTGCGGGTTGGGGCGTTGTCGGAACAGGAAGAAGTGGCCGAGGTGCTGATGGACATGTCGTGTCGTCTCGCTTTCGCTCGACGATAGTGCCTTGGTCGTCGTCGACACCATCGAGGGAGTCTGTGTCCAGACCGAGACTGTGCTCCGACAGTCGTTGACCGAGCGAGTCAAGCCCGTCTTGGTCGTCAACAAGGTCGACCGAGCCTTGCTCGAGTTGCAGATCTCCAAGGAGGACTTGTACCAGACCTTCTGCCGAACCATCGAGTCGGTCAACGTCGTCATCTCGACCTACGCCGACGAGACCCTCGGTGACGTCCAGGTCTTCCCCGAGAAGGGTACCGTCGCTTTCGGTTCCGGTCTCCACGGATGGGCCTTCACCTTGAGGCAGTTTGCCACCCGATACGCCAAGAAGTTTGGTGTCGACAAGAACAAGTTGATGCCCAAGCTCTGGGGAGACAACTACTTTAACCCCAAGACCAAGAAGTGGTCGACCAAGCCCACCGACGCTGATGGCAAGCCCCTCGAGCGAGCCTTCAACTCGTTCGTCTTGGACCCCATCTACCGAATCTTCTCGGCCGTCATGGACTTCAAGAAGGAGGAGATCACCACCTTGCTCGAGAAGCTCGAGGTCAAGCTCTTGCCCGAGGAGAAGGACCTCGAGGGCAAGCCCCTGTTGAAGACGATCATGCGAAAGTTCTTGCCCGCCGGTGACTCGTTGCTGGAGATGATTGTCATCAACTTGCCCTCGCCCGCCACCGCTCAGCGATACCGAGTCGAGACCCTGTACGAGGGTCCCATGGACGACGAGTCGGCCATCGCCATCCGAGACTGTGACCCCAACGGTCCCTTGATGTGCTACGTCTCCAAGATGGTGCCCACCTCGGACAAGGGTCGATTCTACGCTTTCGGTCGAGTCTTTTCCGGTACCGCCAAGGCCGGTCCCAAGGTCCGAATCCAGGGACCCAACTTTGTCCCCGGAAAGAAGGACGACTCGTTCATCAAGCCCATCCAGAGGACCGTCTTGATGATGGGTCGATACGTCGAGGCCATCGAGGACGTTCCCGCCGGTAACATTGTCGGTCTCGTCGGTGTCGACCAGTTCTTGCTCAAGAGCGGTACCTTGACCACCTCGGAGACCGCCCACAACATGAAGGTCATGAAGTTTTCGGTCTCGCCCGTCGTCCAGGTCGCCGTCGAGTGCAAGAACCCGGCCGATCTGCCCAAGTTGGTCGAGGGTCTCAAGCGATTGTCCAAGTCGGACCCTTGTGTCAAGTCGTACATGGCCGAGACTGGTGAGATGATCGTCGCCGGTGCCGGTGAGCTCCACTTGGAGATTTGTCTCAACGTGAGTCAGCGTGGGGCGTGGGGCTTGTGTCTTTAACGCAAAGGTGGACTCGGTTGGCTGACTTTCCCCGCGCGCATTCGTGTTCACGCTGTTGTAGGACTTGGAGAATGACCACGCTGGTATCCCCTTGAAAAAGTCCGACCCCGTCGTCGGATACAAGGAGACCGTCCAGGCCGAGTCCTCCATGGTCGCCCTTTCCAAGTCGCAGAACAAGCACAACCGAATCTACATGACCGCCGCCCCTCTCGACGAGGAGCTCTCCAAGGCCATCGAGACCGGCAAGGTCGCTCCCCGTGACGACTTCAAGATCCGAGCTCGTCTCATGGCCGACGAGTTCGGTTGGGACGTTACCGAGGCCAGGAAGATTTGGTGTTTCGGTCCCGAGGGTACCGGTCCCAACTTGTTGGTCGACACCACCAAGGCCGTCCAGTACTTGAACGAGATCAAGGACTCGTGTGTCGCCGGTTTCCAGTGGGCCTCCAAGGAGGGTGCCTGTGCCGAGGAGAACTTGCGAGGTGTCCGATTCAACATTATGGACGTCACCTTGCACTCGGACTCTATCCACCGAGGTACCGGTCAGATCATGCCCACCACCCGACGAGTCATGCTCGCCTCGCAGCTCTTGTCGACCCCCGGTCTCCAGGAGCCCATGTTCTTGGTCGAGATTCAGGTTCCCGAGTCGGCTCAGGGAGGTGTCTACTCGTGTTTGAACGTCCGACGAGGACACGTCTTCCACTCGGAGCAGCGAGTAGGAACCCCCATGTACACCATGAGGGCTTACCTCCCCGTCTCCGAGTCGTTCGGATTCAACGCCGACCTTCGTCAGGCCACCGGTGGACAGGCCTTCCCCCAGTCCGTGTTCGACCACTGGTCGCTCATGAACGGAACCCCGAGTATGTTGCGCTAGCTTTTCTTTCCTTTGCGCGTGACACGAGCTGATTTGATATGTTCCCTCTTGTAGTCGAGAAGGACTCGAAGCTGCAGGCTTTGACGGTTTCGATTCGAACGAGGAGTTTGTGTCTGACAGCGTTTCTGGGCGACATGGCGTACAGAGCTGACCTCTTTTCTCGTCTTGGCGTTGCCTGTTTTGTTCTACAGAGGGTCTCAAGCCCGAGGTTCCCACCTACGACCAGTACTACGACAAGCTTTAAGCCGGCGAGCATGCGAGAATTCTTTGTACTGTCCCCTGCTTATATCTCATATAACATGGCTATGACGCTTTTTGGCATCTTTGATGACGTTGAGTCTAGATCTTTGGACGAAACGAACATTGAAAGGTCCAGGTCGCTGGCAGTCGTATTCGCGGACATCAGATACGGACTGATCTCCAGGATTCCGGAAACGCCAAACGTTTCCGGAATCCTGGACATAGCAAACAGCTCGATGTCCAAGGCCGCAATGACGTAACGCGAGTAGCTAGCTAATAAGCGCAGTATGTCACATAGAAGCGCATGAACGACATGGGCAGGACTTTGAAGTAGCCACGTCGACCTACCACGTATCTATCAACCTGTCTTTGCCGATGTTCAGCACGAGCAAGCCGGCTATGCTATTGTGACGCTGTATTAGGAAAGTGCTCGAGAGTCTCCTTCTCTCTAGAAGCCACCTACGCGCAATGCATTGTCGGTTAGCAATGTCGCCGCGACGCTGTATTAGGAAAGTGATTCGAACCCCCTACGCACGGCGACATTGCTACTTCGCGACATTACCACTTTGATATTAGAAAACTTGACACTAGATTGAGATCCGCTATACCAGGAGACGGTCGATGCCGGCTGTGCAAACAGCAAACTCTGGAGTCGGTGCAAGAAACAAGCGAAGCGTGAGCGTTTTTTTTCTTCTTTCTCTCAGCGTGTACCGCCATGGCTGACGATCCTTATCTGTTCCACTTGCGTCTATAGTTTCCATGCAGACGCAACAAGGAATTGTCGGTAGCGTTCCGTTGCAGTCGTACTACCGCCCACCCGTCCAGCTGTCCGGCGATACTTCCTCACTCGAGTCATATGCAAGCAAGTCGGGACAATTCGTTTCGAAAGGGCGGCTATGCGATACCATACCAGTCAGATCGGGAAAGGGCGGCTATGCGATACCATACCAGTCCGATCGGGAAAGCGATACACGTCTCTGAAGGTCAATGAAACCATATTGGTTGCGAGGTGCGCCTATGTGGCGCTCTCGACGCTGTACTCTCTACGTCGACATGTCAAAGTCGACACTCCTGCTCGGGAACACCGGCCAGGCTGAGGAGCAATCAGTAACCGACGCACATTGTAGATACCTAGAAGACATGGCGATATGCGTCCATTGCAAGACGTTAGCTATCGAATTTGGCAGGGAAACAGAGGGCGATTAGTCGCGAATTACCGAGTTTTCTGATCTGATTGGCAATTCGCGCGCGAGTTGGTTTGTATCCCTCTTGCGGTTCCCAGTACTGGATGCCATGAACTCTGTGGCAAACGGATGGTGCGAGACGATGAAGCTCCAGTTTAGTTCGAATTTCGTGCCCCTGGAAGCCACGAAGAGGACATCACTAGTTGATCTGGCTGCTCATTTATCGTAGTAGAAGAATCACCCTGCAAGAGATCGACAGACCGTTTCGAATGCGCGTTGGCTGAAACCCTGTCTTCCTGTCTGCCTCCAATTGTCTAACACGCAGGGTCTCAAGATCACGATTCCATAACATTTACAGCAGCGAAACTCGTTATACACAACGATGAAAGAAGAGAAACCCCGTATCGAGAAGTGCACGAATTACCTGATGCCGATCTCGTGAGCGAAGCGTGGTTCCTTGCGCTCATGATGCATGGGGCGAGTCATCTTCGTTCCCCTCGTTGCTCGGGCCGTTTCCATTCGTCAGAACTTCGAAGGCATCGAGACTCGTCTCGCCAAGCCAACCCTGTTTCCGAAAGTTCCAATCCAGCATGATCGCAAGGCCCAATCCCTTGATCATGACCTGGTGAGACCAACCGGGATTTGACCGTCCGCTGGTCGTCGATGCAATCGCACCAAATGGGTTCGGGGCGACGATGACGCAAGGACCTGTTATCGGCTCTGACGCCCGGCCGGAGAGAGGATTGTATCGTGCCAGCGCTTGCTCCGTACCGTAAGAGATTCGGACCTCCTGGGAACGAAGACGTGCTCCAACGGTAGCACATAACCTCCCAGAAAGCCAAAAATGTCGCTCGGTAACCCCGGTCGTGGCGGCACTCCCGTCCGCTTGTTTCCTCGAGAAGCCGTTCATATCATTTGCGTGCGCCGGAGCCGCAGGCTTCACCTCTGCGATTTTGCATTCCGGCCGACCCGAGTTGTCTGCTCAAAGAGAACGATATCGACCCGTACAGGCCAGGCCGGCTCTGTCCTCGCCGACGAGCCCGGCATGTATGGCGGAAGGTCACGACCGGGCGAGCGGTCCTCCAGGAGGAACCGTATGTGTGGTAGACCCCTTATGTCGTCTGCGAGTAGCAACGGAATCCTCCATCAAGTAATTGATGGAACGATGCAGTGTGTGATAGTCTGCGAGGGCTAACAGGCCCTGTTTCGGCGAACCGTTCTGTGTGCTTGCCAGGTTTAGTGCATATGGTTGTCCTGTCGTTTCCGGATCTAGAAGGATCACGGTAACATGCAGGTCCGACCGGAAAGAGCAGGTGTTCGCCTTGACGACGTAATAGCGAACATGGTGAAAAGAAGCTCGTCGGATCCACGACCCTCCGTATCATGAGGTCGAGCGTTGGAGTGTAGATTGAGGTGACCATGTGCGTCCAGTGGCCAGAAGAGCCGATCCTGCTCCTCGCGACGATCGTTTCTTTTCAGATCATTGAGCGGCTCAATGCTTTTCGTGCCGAACCATAGTGTTACTTATTGTCGAGATGGTCCTGTTGGCATGCTTGTCGGCAGGCGGCATCATGTCACCTTGCTGGCAAGGCTACCGAATGATCGACGAGTCATTCCGTATATGAATTCGACTTCTGCCACCACTCCAGCCTTCCCCTACTGGCGTTGTCATTGTCTTCGGCCGCTGACTGGTCCTCCCCTCATTTCAGCGTCGAATGAGGTTGGTTCGAGGCGCATCCGACCGAGCGGTCACGTTGATCGTGCGAATCGGACGACCTGCCCCGTTCGCCAACAACGTTGCGCCAAATCTTCTCGTTCATCATCGGGGACAACTTTCAGATCCGGCGACGCGGTCGGGTAGGGTCGGCCGAGCGTCTAGATCGGCATTTCAACTCTGACGCTGGAGCTCAACGCGTGATAGCGAAATTTTGATCGTGGAAGGGAGACCTGGGTCCTGACTGGCTTGTCGGGTCCGTCGATCCAAAATCTGATACAGCGAACGTGTTGGAAACTGATGGTCAAAGGAAGCTTTGGCGGGTGGCAGGAACGGTCGAAGTTGGTGATAGATAAAGGTTGATCCGATGGCGTGAATTGTGACAGAATTGCTGATCCCGTCAATCAAGGCGAGAGCGAGTCTTTCTGGGTAGCCATCGAGGCGTCCTTCGACCGGATCGAAGGTTTCGTCGAGCCCAAAACCAGAACCTGCTCGACCTTTTCCGCAGACTTCGATGCCGGTATACCCAGGCTTAAATTACTGTCGATCTTTCCTGCAGAGTCCGACTCTGGGATACCCGAATGCACACTTCCGTCGACCCTCTCCGCGGAGCGTGACTCTGGAATGCCCGGCTCGCCTCCTAGACTCTTGTCGACCTTTTCCGCCGAGTCCGACTCGGGGATGCCAAGAAGAAATGCCCAGCCACCGACCTCCTATTGTAGATGATCAAGGCCGGATCAGCGCGTCTCATCAAAAAGGCCTGGGCGGTGACCTCGATATAGCACAACGAACCAGAGACGCTCGCTACTCACTCTTCTGTATCGCGAAGCGACGTCGAGACCGAGATCAGAGCGATCGGCGTACTTGACCAGACGTTGATCGTGTGGCAATCTTTTTCGCCACCATGCAAAGACTTTGGGCTCGGTGCCGTAAGGTTGGTACGGTTGAAACTCCTGCACGAGAGCTCTGATCAGTCCAGCGGCCGCCGTCGCCGACCTCGCCGTCAAGCGGTCGGAGAGGATATCCTTGCCATCCAGCATGTGATTTAGACGCTCGAACAGTTTGCAAGGGAATTCGTCCAGTCCAGCTAAATCATCGCCAGAGTCACGTTTGTGGAAGGTGTAGGCCAAACGATCCGGTATTGACTCGCTCGACGACCAGCCTTCTCTGGGTGGGCATCCTACCCTTTCAAAGTGATGAAGGTACACGAGGTGATCGTCGAGTCGTTCTGTGGTTATGCAATCGTGGTGTCCAGTCATCAGCAGTCGGGTAAAGACAAGAGGAGAGATCGTCGCGACCGGAGGGGCACTGACCGAATTCTTCTCGAGCCTGGAACGTTCGCGGTCACATGACAAGGAGGTCCATCAGAATCGTCGAACCCTGGTAACGCTCGATCGTGCCGACGCAGACTCACCGCCATAGCCCAATCGTGCAAGAATGCCCGGACCTCCGGATCCGGCGCGGTCCATTCGATGGGATAGTCGTTCTGGCGCACGATCTCGGCCAAGCAGGTCCGGGTCAAGGCCACTTGGCGCAAGACTTCCCAGGCGGTCATGAGGTCCCACCGGAAAATTGTCTTCCACTGGTAGGAAAGCAAGGTCTTAGTAACCCCTGAGCAGCGAGATGGCCCGTTCGATCGGAGCTCTACTCACTTGATCGTTCCCTCCGTCGACAGGATAATGAAGGGCGATATACTGGACCGACTGCCATGGAGGTTCAGGTCGATCGAAATCCCTCAAGCCAGGATAGTTACGGGTTGCCCTACGTAGATCCCAGTTCCGCATGACCTCTCGAGGGAAGTAATCGGCGTACTTGGCCAAAGTGATCTGTCCGAGCTCTGGTGGGGCGGTCCGTATGAAATCATTATATCCACGCCAGAGACTCGGATCATTGAGGCGATCTCGAGCTAGAACGGTCCGTATCGCTCGATGACCTGGCGGGTCTGACGATTCGAGTCGATGATAGCCATTGTTGTTCTGAATAATGGGAGACAGAACCGTCCACGCCGAATCGAAAAGGGACGTCATGATCCGAGGAGGCACTGTGAGGGATGAGCGATCGATCTTTATCGATTCCTTTCGGCAGCGGCAAGTCGCGCAAGTCGAGGTGTTGATTATCGTCGTTGGCGGTGGCGTCGGTGTGGATGGTGTGGTTGTTGTGTGTTTGTGGTTGTGTGTGTGTGTGTGTGTATGTGTGTGTGTGAGATCGAGCATGTACTGATGTACGTTGATGTACTGACGTACTGATGTACCTACGTACCTACCCGTTTACTACAGATCATGACGATGACGATGGGATGGTCAAAGTACCAAGGTGAACGTCGAGTCTCAGCTCTGAGCGAACTAGACTAGGAAGCGAAGGAAGATCCAGTCGACGACCTCGACGCTCGAAATCGTCGTCGACGACGACGAAGGTTAGTAGTAATCAGTAAATCAGTAATTCAGTAAACATATCGTTCATATCGCCATCATAGCCATCATCGTCGTCGTCATCATCATCATCATCATCGCCATCCTCATCATCTCCTTCGTTCTCGAGGACCCCACGCCGCCGCAGCCGCCACGATCCGACCGACCTCACGACCCGTCTTCGCGACCCAATACCTCTCCCTTTCAACTGCAACTATCCAATAATGTCAGATCTGTCATCGCTTCAAGCGGAGGCAAAACTGCTTGTTCAACAGATGAAGAAAGAGGAGTTGGAGCTGTTCATCAAGAGACAGAGCGCAGTGGGACAGAAAGGCAGGAGTTGGTACCGGGTAGGGGTCATTGTGCTGTTGGCTTGTTACATGCTGGTGTGTGGATTACTGTGTGGTTATAGGTGAGTCTATGAGACCTAATCCTTACATCACATCATACTGACTAGTAAATCTATAGAATCTATGACTACAAGGAGGGTTGGAGGCACAGGGTTCCTCCGGTTGTGGTGTTAATCCTTACCACAGCTATGATGTTTTGGAGTTGGGCTTATCTGAAAGGGAGAGGAGAGGAGTTTGAGAAGGTGGTTCTGGGTGACATGGTTATCCTGGTGGTGGTTGGGATTGCTATGTGGAAGGGGGATTTGAGCATAATAGCAGGGCTCGGGTGAGTCTCGCGGCGAAGATGGTACGGGTCACGTCGACTGATCGACTGATCAACGCTCGCGATCGCAGCTGAGTCCCCGACGTCATCGATTGAAGCGTAACGATCAAGCGTTGAAGGTATCCAGCAACTGAGTGAAATGTACAGTCACACGGCGTGAAGATCACACAGGCGTCGACTAGATCGCGGCATGTTATTTAATAAGATGAGACGGACGATCGAAAATACAGTCCCGGACGGAGATTACGACCGAATTCCTCCTTGAGGGTTCGCCGGTGGTTGCGATTTGCGATTGACCTCCAGAGTTGCGGGAGAGATTTCCACATCAGTCTGTCTCTCATCCTCCTGCTCCAGAGAGAGTCCGAGACGTGGTGAAGGTGCTGATCAACATACGGGTACACTCATGAATCGAAACAAAACAGTGAAAACTGGTACGCCTCGAGAAAGAAGACCTTGGACACGCTCGAGGGACTGGCCGAGTGCTTGGAAGCGGATACCTGTACGGATGGACAAGGGGATATCGTACTGGCCGGGTCGATGCATTTCGGGAACTCGTTAGGTGGGGGAGTGTCGGGGGAAGACATCTGGTGAGTCGTCTGCTTTGACCTCTTGCAGGTCATGCTACTTGTACCAAGTTACAGAGTCAAAGCAGCTCACACCTCTCGTCTTGTTTGTTCGGTCCAGGGCTCGGTCGTCCATCGACGCCTTCCGCGAACTAGGCCGTACGGTCCTCATCTCCTACACCCTCCTAGAGACGCTCGACATCTATCAAGCCATACCCAAACTCATCTCACGGGTCATCATCGATCGGATCGAGGTGGACCAATGCGTGGGGTATGGAAGACCGGCAAAGCTTAGGCTGGAGGATTTCGCCAAGGGACGAGCTAGGAACATGACCGACGAAGAGATGCTGCGATGGGAGTTGCAGAGCGAGGCGGCAGAGGAGGGGTCGAGCTGGGGGTTCAAGGTGCTCGAGAATCAAGACGCGTTCGAGAGAGGAGGATGTATCAGGAGGGAAGGGTATCCGCAGGGGATCCCGTTGTGGAAGATCTTCTCGTGAGTTCATGGCGATATGACCTTGACGACTAGCACGCAGGGGCTGATCGATATGTGCGTCTGTAGATTTCACTTTTGGCAAGGTCCAGGGCATCCGGTAAGTGATCCGGTTCCTCTACCGCCGGCCCAGGTGATGCCTCTGCTCAATTCCTTTTCCGGATCCCAATCCCCCTGCGGTAGCTCGGTCGGAATTGGACCTTGTCGCCCGAAGATTACAAAAAACATCCTTGCCAGAACGGGTCTCCTGGCAACTTTTACCTCGGTCCGTCATTCATCTCGGACGCCCAGCCGTCATATAGACGCTAACGACAACGACTTCTCTCGCCTCGCAGGCTACTCGGTCGAAAAGTACTGCCAGCGATTCGTCGACCCGCCCGAACAACGACTCCACCGGGCCTACATCCTCGCCAAATACGTCCACATTCTCGATTCCGACGAATTCGCCTGGGATTCGCCCAACAAGACGTTGTTTGCCGACCTGAGCGAAAAGTACAACATCTCCTTTGTCGCCGGGGCGGATCACCAGGGCGACGTCAGCATCCAAAAGGGGATCGCGAACATGGGCAGGATGCCCGAGGACGAGTTTTACAAAGAGTTGGCTTTGGGGAGACTCGTCGTCGGGGTGGGGATGCCGATGATCAGTCCGACGCCGTATGACGCGTTGTGTCGTGAGTACGAGGTAGATGTCGAGGGCCTCTAGGTCATGGCTGATGTCGATTCGGCCGGTCCTGCAGTCGGGGTACCGTTTCTGAATCCCTTGTGGCGATGGGACGAAAAGAATCCGGCAGACAGCTCGGCTTGGTGTTGTGAGTACGGGCAGCCTTGATTCGGACCAGCATACGATGAGCTCAAGTCGACCTGATCCCGACAGCGCAACACGAGTGAGGATCAGGCGTTTCCGGGCGGAACGAACCAGTCTACTGATCCGGCTTTTCCCTCTTCCGACTAATCACAGCGGTCTGCTCGAAGTTGGCGCACCGTATGTCTACCACGTCGTGAGTCGATTCAAATTTCCTTGCAACTCGGCGACCTCTACTGATTCCGTCAAACGTTATAGCGAAAACGCGACCTGGCACACTTCGAAGAGGCCGTGGCGGCTGCGATGGAGAGGACGATCGATCCGTATATACGTGGGTCTATCATGCCAGGCTCGGAACCTTGACGTTTCAGCTCATCTGCGTATCTGGGACAGCACCGCATATGACGGCGGACGCCAACAGGAAACGTCATCAGGAGTTGTTGGAACGGGATTGGGAGTCAGAGTCTGTGCCGTTCATGGCGGCGCTACAGGATGATCGTTTTCAAATGGTTCGTTGCGTGGTATTATGACTCCGAGACAATTTACAGCTTGGACTGATTCAGTATGTGCTATCAGGGAATCTACTAAGGATGATTGGGTCGGTACTGGCTCAAAGGGCTACGCTGGGTTTTGGGTTGTATCGGTGAACAAGGCGCGTATGATCTATCCATCGAATCTAGAATGATTGGGGGCGTCCGCTCTTTCCGTGGCTTCTTTCCTAGGCCTCAAAGCTAACGGCTTGCCGCTTAAGCGATCGAGCGATGATGATGATGAATGGGCTGATATAGAAGACGACCAATCGAAACTTCACGTTTGCCGCTTGATTGTTGGGAAGCTGAATCACCTTTCCGCGTATTCGACGAGCGACATCTTGAACCCATGATTGCCCATCGACGACATTGACACCCGCCCTAATCGCCATGACCATGCCTCGCCTGGCCACTGCGTTGATAACGGGGTAGAGTATAATGGATTACATCTATGGAGCGGCTGCGGAAATCGTCTATACCCTCCAGCACCGACTGGTCCGAGAAAAAGAACAACCGAAACTGACAGCTTCGGCTGCAGCTTCTTGTCCCAGTCTGGATCAAGATCCCTTAGCAAACCCCAGGTGCTGGCCCGGTTACCTCACGTTCGTCTCGTCTACTCCCTACGATGACGAACCGATACAGCGCACGACCATGTTCGACTGGTGGGTCGAAGATCATGTCCTGCGTTCGGAAATGCGACTCGCAGAGTCGAGACGAAATTTCTACCAGATTCCGCGATTCGACCTGACCAAATTCAACAAGTCACGTTACTGCGTGGCCTACCACTACCCGGTCGACACTTCTGCCGGACGAGAACAGGCAAGTAATCGCATGTGCTGCTCGAGAGGATCGAGATGCCTCCAAACTGACGGTTCGGGCTGACCCGCGTACCGATTGCGTTTTCACGAATCAGACCGAGACGATCTACCGGTGGGAGCTCGGACTAGCATGGGAGATCGTGAGACAGATAGCGTTGACGAGGAACTTCTTGTTCCTCGTTGCACAAAGTGAACCGTCGTCGCAGGGATGGATCCGACCTGACGCAGACGCCCTCGTAGCGCTCGGGGAATGGGCATCAGTGGTGAGTTCTCGTCTCGTCAGGATCGTCGTCTCGCTTCGGTAGACGACATCATGTCCGTCGTGTAAACTGACGTTTGACAAACTTTTCCGCCCTCTTACCCCCACTCACAAAAGGCCAGGGAAGAGTTCGGTAAGCCTCACCGCCTACGGCCGATACGCTCTTCCGTTTTCTTCTCCGCCCGGATCACTGACCCCTTCGCTCTTTCCGCCGTCTCCTTTTCTTTCCACCTCTACCGTAGAGCGGCTGGACAACTACCTCGACTACCTAGGCAGGCGCGAAGGCTCCCCAAGGTGGACCATCACGGAATGGTCACACGAAGATCCTATCCCCGACCGACTATACAACAAGAAATGGAAGGGGTGCGAAAAGACCAGGACCACTATCCTCGCCATGGACTTTCCCTACAAGTTCTTCCCTCATTGCAAGCGCATCATCAGGGGAGAAAACGTCATCCCTTCCTGCAAGGCTAAACTTCCCGTCGGGCTGATCAGGGCTCTGATGCACAAACATCAGCCGTATCAGCCTATCGGTACCGAATCGCCACCGATACCTTGGTGGCGAAAGAGACTGGATGAGGACCCTCGGAACTGTTGGTGGACGTATCGCTCCAGGTCCGACTTTCGTCTAGACCTTCAGACGCCGTATAAAAAGGTGAGATTACCCTACAGTACCCTACAGCGATCGTCCGCCTGTCCGAGAAGATAGAGAGTGACGGGGCGCCTTCAGAAGAAGAAAAATTCGGCTTGGAAGCTAAACTCCTGTCTGTCCGTGATATCCATAGGAGATCGATCGGTGGCTGCTTCCACCGGCCTTGAGGGACGAGCCTGATACCCCCTCACATATACAGTGTGATACCGCCAAAGAGGTCGACAATGCACTCGGCGAGACACCGTAGAAGATTGTCACACTTCTGGGAAGTTCTTCATCGCCAAAATGAATCGCCGGACGAGGACTGTCGGGTTCAGAAGAACGGGGTCTCATAAGGGTTACGTTTCGCGCCGCCTGCTGTACGAGACGATACTGTAAGATACTATACGTTCTGGTCGGACATCGACCTCACCTGAACTGGCGGCAGACCCAGCTTTGAAACAACCAGATGTTCTCGCTCGGGCTACTTTTTGTATATTCGCAACCTTCTATCTTAGTATCAGGGCATGACTATCATCATTATTGTCGTTGTCGTCAAGCAATCAAGCACGACCAGGGTTGAATGTCCGACTCCGCCCCGCCTTAATCGCAATTGCGCCTTTTTTCGATTGATTCCATAGTCTATAATAAAGCGTGCTTTAAGCCCTGTTTGGCAACTGTATCCCTAAGGCGATCGATACAACCACTCCTCGATCGAAGGTTTCGTCTCAATGCGTTTCCGCCTGCAGGAAAAGTAGGCGATAGGCTCTGGAGGCGAGACTACACCAGACCAAGACGGACGAGAGGCAGCAACAAGAGGTTGTGGGGACAAAACTACAACAGGCCGAGACGGGACTACGGCAGGCTGAGACAAAGCTGAACCGGACCGAAAGGAAGCAAGAGGAAGAAACTGGAAAGAGACAGTCAGCGGGAAGGAAGCCTACACAATCAAGGGCTTTCCGGACTGGAAGACATCGTGGGCCATGACAGGTACAGGTACAGGTACAACCTTGCCTCCCGACCTGGCATGAAGCTTTGGTATCGAATGGCAACGCCTGTTGATAAGTCGTTCGAGGTCTCTCCAGTTGTATCCCACTGGAGTGGTCCTCGAAGGTACAGAATCAAGGACAGAGGTCATGGACGGCGAGGCAAGGCAAGGGCAACGATGAAACGATTAGACATTGAAACGATAGCAATGTGAAACACGGACATTTCCCCCTGCTCAGTTAGGGGACATCACGTGACATGATCCTTACGTCATCATCAAGATCGTTCGTTCACTTCATCATCTTCCTCTCTAGCCTCTCTACATCTTATGAGATCTCGACATGCACCACTGGCCACTAGCTACTTCGAAGCTCGAGGTGCAAGCAACCAGTAATACATAGACCGAGGTCGGCTTCGTTCATAATAACATGAATACCTCGCCGACTTTCCGTCGAAACGTCGCACTCGCCGCCGCGCTGGTCGTGGTCTTCTGCTTGGGAGCCATCTCGGGCAGCCAGAGCCAGAGGAGTTTAGGTTTAGGTTCGGGTTTAGGTTTGAACGAGAGGTGAGTCTTATCATCTCTACCTTGGTTAAATACGACACGGCCGCTGACGATACGAAGATATCATATCGCACTCTCCGGCTCTCTCCGAATCGAATTGAAAGGCTACAAGCCCACACCCCGACCTACCTCCATCCCTACCTTACCAATAACGCTGGCGTCAACTCTACTACAACCAGGCTTCAACCGAACATCTCAATCTCATCCTCAAACCCCTGCCCAGTAGGATGTCCTGAAGATCCCTACGCAAGGGCGGGTATGATCATCTTCCCCCCCTCTTCCCCCTTCTCCGACTTTCCTGATCATGATGATGATAATAGGGATGGGGATCGGGAGTATGATCCGGCGTGGACGAGATGGGCCCCTTTCCCGCCTCTGGAGCGTGAACGAGATCGTGCAGAGCAGGATGGCATGACGGGGATGGGGACGGTAAAGGGGATGAGGACGAAAGCGGTCGATAAGGCTATCGATGAGAGGGCTCGTGCTCGGGTTCGGGGCGGAGGTAGAGATAGAAATCTCGCTGGAGCTGGGACGAGCATGGGGAAGAAGCTCACGGATTCGGAGAAGGAAGAGGAGGAGTCCGGAGCTGGAGCTGGAGTTTATGGCTGGGGCTGGGGATGGGATCGGGTCAAGGACCAGGACCAGCGCAGAAGGATAGACCGACGAGAACAGCGGAGAGATCGATCACGCCCACAACCCTCAAGAAGACTGGAAGACGGACCGACTCTCAGTCTAACCTCTCCATACACGGTCGCTTTATCTAACAAGGACGAAGAGTTGATCGGGTTCGCTAAAGGGCGAGTGGGGTTGTTCGTCGGTACGTCCCCTTCCTCTCGTCTCTCATTTCTCAGTTCTCAAGTGGGGCCGTTCGATCGTTTCCCTTCTTAATAACCCGGATTTTGCGGAGTGCTCTTCTTCTTCTCGAGTCTTTTCTGATCAAACTGCAGAGTCCAAGATAAAATGTCTCTCACGGATGGTGGTGGTGGTGGTGGTGGTGATGACAACGAGTCGAGGTGCACAAGATGAGACGAAACGAAAGGAGACGAGATCTCGAGATTGGAGAAGTCGAAACTCGAAAGGGTTTGCAAGATGGGAAGGATGAGACTTGAACTTGAACTGGCAGCGGCGAGATCAAGAAGGCGACGGGGGAGGGCCAGGTACGCGGGTCCTCCTTGTCGGATCTCGATGGCGATGGACAAGCTGCGGATGATGGTCGGTACCCAGAGAACAAGCAAGGAGGGAGACGCAGGAGGTCAAGAGACGGGTGACGGTTGAGGTTGAGGTTGAGGTTGAGGCCGAGGCTGAAGTCGAAGCGTCGCTATATGAACGATCGAGATCGAGCGCGAAAACAGACGACAGGATTCCCACGTCAAGATGACCAAGGCCTCGGGCTCCAGTATCGAGGCTGAAGAAAGCAGGCCAGTAATCGAAGTGCGATGTTCGGGTCCGAGCCGAGGTTATTGAAAGTCGAGTCTGTTCGAGAAGCGAAGCCGCATGAAAGCAGATTGGCAACACAAGGGAGAGGACTCGGATTCGGGACTTTATCATACGTGACCATGATGAGACTCCCGGTGGGAAGGTGGCGTCCAAAGTTCGGAGATCGAGGTCGAGGTCGAGGCCACGGGAGGCGCCACGGAAGGAGCCGCATTGAATCAAAAGCCGAGGTCGTGAACAAAGGCTGTTCCAGACTCGGGAACATACCCTGCCACAGGCGACAATGACTCTGCACGAGATGGGCAAAAGGCGTAGAAAGGACCGTTGATCTCAATGCGAGGGGGTCAAGATGATCGTCCTGATAGCAGACGGCCGAGATCGCGTTGAATAATCGAAAGGCAAATACTAATTCTGTTGCCTGGTCTTCTCGGAAATTGCTCTTGCTTCTCTTTTGATCGATCCGGTCCTGCCGCCCCGGTGCCTGTCGCTTGCTGTCGGTCGTCAAACCTCTTTCCTTGCAACCAATCACAAAAGGGTCGAGGTGAGTCTTGCAATCTCGATCGATCGATGCGAATCGACTGGGTGACACAGGACTGACCGCTCGAATCCATTATTCTGCACGCTCTTGCTGTCCTATACCATTGACACATCGGAATATCCTTCCGCATCGGCGGCCCATGACATCAACTCTTTGCATGGATAGCCGTAAGTCCGGCTCGAACATGACGGGGTGCTTCACGATGTCGATTTCGGCTCAAGAGGCACAGACAAGCTGACGATTGTCGCGTTTCTCGTCTTTTTGTGCTTTTGCCCGTCACCAATTACGAATCCCGGTTCGGCGATCTGTGACCATGACCTGCAATCAATTCGAATTTCGGGCGATAGATGATCGAAACAACGTGAGTCTATTTTGCTCGCCGAGGATGCGCTGTTAGAATAGCAAGGCTGACGGCCTTCATTCCATGTACTTTCGCCGAAACGTTGCCAGGTCGTCAACTTCTGCAAGGCGATTGGCGGGAGGACGCAGACGTGGGGATTTCATATCGGTACCATCTGCCACCTCGACTGGCTCGATTTCAAGATCGTCAGCTGGTTCTTGTGAGTCGCGGCGTCGAAGACAGAAACGATCTTTCTCATCAACTTTGATACTCATCGCAGGGTCGGCATGGTCGACGACGACTCATACGACTGGTTCCGCGGGTCGGAACAACGGCCGGTCATGTTTGAGCATCGGATTCCAGAAATCATGCTGCCCATCATGGAAGAGGTCGGACTGAAGGATATCATCCCGGATCTCATCACTATCGGGTCATTGTTCTGGGACGAGGCGTTCCTGACATCGGTGGGTCTGTGTTTCCATCTTGGTTCTCGGACGCGGGGCTGAGGCGATGTCTTGATTCCTGCTAGCATCGTCTCATCCGAGGCTACGGGGACAAGGAGGGCACGTACGGGTTTTACCCAGAGGAATTGCGATGGCATCGGACCCGGGTGGCCGAGCTCATCCAATTCTTCCGGGGCATGTACGGCGAGGAGGTCCCGATGATGTTGCGCACGAGACAGCATCGAGGGATGGACGAGCACGGCGGCAAGTTGAAGATCGCTCAGCTGGATCAGAGCCTGAGATCAATCGCCAAGGAGATGGACGTCAAGTTGTTCACCTGGGGTGACAAGTTGGAGGGCTGGTTAAAGTGCGATCCTTTCGGCATACTACCGTTGGAACAGCATGAGCTGATCTCTGCCATCTCACCAGGTACGAGGACCACGATCAACACTTTGGGTTCGGCCCCAGCACCTATCTGTTTGGCGAGTGAGTTCGCTGACTCGGCTTTTACAGGAAACCAGAGTCCTTAGCTGACGTTTCCTGGCATACTGTAGCATGTTCATGTTCTACCTTCGACAGGCTACCATACCCCGCTGCTGGGTGTGTCGAGAATCGCCAGTGGCGTAAAGATTAACGACTTTCATGACATAGATGCGAATATGAAGCTTGTTACACGGCCAGAGGCCCCCCCGATACCCAGAATGACAACATGCATATGATTGTACCAGGTCGTCGAATCCACTCGGATCGGTTATCGTCCATGAGATCGGTGAGAAAAAGCAAACACAAACATAAGACGCGGATCTCCTTTCTCCCTTCAGTCGTGGTACCATCACCCATCTATTCTATTCGGTCGGGTATTTCGTAAAGCTCGTCAAGGCGGTCGAATGCAGGGCGTAAAAGAGCGGTCCTTTCTGGTAGGGTTGATCGGCAAAGTCGTCGTCGAGCGGGTAGATAAAGGCGTCTCTGACGAGCATCAGGTTGGCTTGAAGATCGGCGACCTGTTCCCAAGTGTAGCTAAGCAGAATCTCTTCGAGTCGATCCATCTGACTTTCGAGAATGGTGACGCTGAATTTCGACCAGTCGAGGACGTCCCAGAAGGCGAGATGGGCTTGGTCACCGAACAGTACCGGGATGCAGCCGCTAAGGGGGCAAAGTCTCAACGTCAGTCAAATGGCGACTTTTTATGTGGAGTGGCCGGCACTCACGCGTAGATGCTATCAACCGTTCGGCTCGCCCACCCGGTAGTCCCCCGAACCAGTGGACAGAACACGGTATCGGCTAGCAACGTCAGGTAGTCGCCATAGTCGCCGTAGCCATTCCATATGGTTTGCAATTCGTTTCCGCCCTCGAGACTTGGTGACTTGCTATGGTCGAAAGGCCTTGCGCACGTCATCTTGTGCCGAGCCTGCGAGCCGGTTCCCATATAGGTGGCCTTGAAGGTCGCCAAAGTCTTGCGTTGTCGAGAGGGGCGGACGTCAGCGATTGTTGCAAAGTGTTTCACAAGTTTAGGCATTAGGCAAGCGCGCGGCGGGATTCTGATGGACGGAAATGAGCGTTCCAATACAACCTCCCCCAGGGCGGAGTACGTCCAGGGACTCACACAACGTCCATGTCGTAACGGTAGCCTACACGAGAAAAGCTGAGTCGTAAGCGAAACACGCCACGATACTGGAACCCGAACACCTACTCACAGTCGCTGTTCAGATCCCCCATGACGGACCAGGCGGTACCCTGCCTAACGACAGGGATTGCCGTATCCTTGCGGTGCCGGATCGAAAAGACGTCAAACGTAAACGTGTTACAGACTCCCCAATCGTGCGTAAAAGGTACGATCCACTTGGTCTCGTCGAACGACCAGGGAAGATGGTGCTGCAGGGCATTTTGACGCCAGCCCTCCACGTTGGGGTACTGCGAGTCAGGGTGTCAGCTTGATCGATACAATCGCCGTAAGGAGAATCGGATACTCACCCAGATGCTTCCCTGAAAGTAGGGCAAGAAAACAAAGCCGTCCTCGGCGTACGACGTATTCATCGACGCCAACCCGCGCTCCAAGATCGAATCCGCGCTGAAACATCCGGGCTTGCCGGGCAAGAAACGGTCGTACTTCCACCACTCGGCCTTTCGATTTTCGACCACGTCGGGAGGAAGCTGTGTAACGTGGACTGGAGGAAACTTGGGGTCCCGAGCGAGGTACCGGCTAGCAGCGGGACGGAGGACGTTTAGCCAGGATTTGTGTTCGACCAAGTTGATCAGGGACTGGTTGTCCTTCGGGTCGATGTTATTGCTGATGGGAGGATAAGAGAATTGATCCAAGTTGGCGGACGAGGCAAAGGGGAACCGGGCGATGGATGTGCAGGAGGACAATACGCAAGCGCAATCGCCAGTATCCAGGCAGGTCGTCGGATGATCGCAGAGGTTCGTGCACGTCTTCATGTGACGATGCTTCCATTGTCCCGGGTTTCCAGCCGGCAGCTCGGCCTCTTCTATATGCAACGGGAACGGGTACGCCTCCAATCGGTCCAGATGATCCTTGACGATATCGAGCGCGCGCGACATGCGATGACACAGCGTTTCATGCTGAGACCCGCGAAAAGGCGCCGTCCGCTCATACTTCATGTCGTTGATGGCAGAAGCGAGGGGGTCTTCGTCCATGAACGGCCAGGGAGCTGCTTTCTCACAGCAGATCGGGATGATCCTAAAGTACGGCTCGGCGAGCTTGTCAGGCGAGACCCGGGTGGTGACGTTCTGAGAGGCAGGTGGCAGAAAGTAGCCTCCGCCGTTGGCGAGACCGAGGTGGACGTATCCCGTCGTTTCATCCAGGTCGACCTCAAAGTCCGTATAAGTGGTACCGGCCGAAGTGACGTTGACCGTCTCGTACGATCCCTTTTCGTCGTAACCCAGTCTAAATCCGAGCTTCCCATCCACCCGTTCGGTTAGATTAAAGTCGTAAGTCCGAGGGTTGTAAGACCAGGCCCAGCGCCACTTGTCGTTCGTATCCAGAGTCTTGTGGTCGAGGTCGAGGTAGCTAATCTCGCCGCGATGGTTGCCGACGACGTTGACCGTACACCCAGAAAGGGCCAAGAGGTCCGCACGGGAGTAACTTCGGGTTCGGCATTCCTTGTCCCGTTTCCTCTCCAGATATCCCCGGCTCTGCTGATAATAGGCCTTGGCCAACCTCCACAACCCCTCGTCGATCCCGACCTTGGCCGTGAAACCGAGCACGCTCGTGGCCAGCTCGGTGCTTCCCTCGTACCTTGCCGGGAACCTCGCATCGGAAGGGATCGTCTGGATGGGCGACTTGCTCCGCGTCAGGTGCAAGATCTTGCGGACGAGCTCGATGGCCGAGACGGCACGTCCAGCGGCGACGTTGAACTGCTCAAAGGTGGCGGGGAGACGATGAGGGAAAAGACCGAAACGACGGGAGTGCGAGCGGGTCGAGAGTCGCTGGATGGAGAGGATGATGGCGTCCACCACGTCGTCGATGTGAACCATGTCGAGCTGCAAAATCGAGAATGGCATATCAATAACGAAGGCATACGCAACAATAGATTAGCCTCCAACGTTCTTTGCTCCTGCGCTTCATGTTATCCGACGCCGCCGTGACTCACAAATTGATCCCCGCCCACCATCTGGATCGTCCTATGCGCGATCGCCTGGGTCATCATGGCCGGTACCAGTCTCTCGCGATGATCAAACTCTCCCCCATAGACGTTGCTCAACCTGAGCGCGATCGCCTGCAACGTCCCCTTCGCAGCCGTCCTCTCCTTTTCCCGGTCGATAAAGGCCTGTATAGCGTGTTCCGCCGAGAGTTTCGATTGACCGTAAACATTGGAAGGAACGGTAGCCGAAGATTCGGTGATATGTTCCCCGGGTTTCGTATCCCCATACACTTCTCTGGAGGAAGCTTGGATGAACCAAGGCAACCTCCCTCCATCCGCGTTCTTGCCGCCTTCTCCCTGAGTCCGTTCCACCCAAGCTGAAGACCCAGGAAGCGCATCCAACAACCCAGCTACGGCGTCCACGTTGACGGCCGTACAATCCGCTTGGTTCTCCAGACACCAAAGCACGCGGGAGACGGCGGCGAGGTTGATCACTCCCGAGATCTTGCGTGTCGGATGAGAAAAGATCTCGTTCAAGAGGGTGGTGTTTCGGATGTCTCCCCGGTAGTAGGTGAACAACCCGTCGTCGTCGTCGTTGTCATTCTCGTTGAGAGCGTAATCGTCCTTGTTCGACTGATCGGTGAGATGGCCAGACAACGATCGACGAGTGAAAGCCCGTAATTCCTCTTCGTGAAAGATCGGATCCACGACGACCAACGGGACCGAAGGCGAAGTCGCTTGAAGCCGCTTGATTAGTTGTTTGCCTGTGAGACATCGACCGAGTTTTCGAAGGCGAGAGAGGTGAGAGCGAGAGAGATCAGCGTGAGAGAGATTCGATTGATCAGCGACCTGACCTATAATCTTCTTCATCGCTCGGGCTATCACGTCAACCCAGATCACACTGCCACACCGCGCTCTTTCGTTCCTTCTTTCTCTTCGCCTCGCTGTTATCAAATCACGTCACATCGCCCCGGTTCACCCTCCTGTACTATGAGTACAACCTCGTCTTCATCACTCTCTCGCCCCGTCCTGGACACAAACATCACACCACCACCGCCATGTCACACCATCCGGATTGAAAAACCTACCGATATTCCCTCCACCACCGGTGATCAACAACCCTCCACCCGCACCTCCATCCAGCTGGACTTCCTCCTTGCCTCTGTACCTGGAAAGGACGCCCCAACGTGAAACTGAAGCCTTTTTCGGTTCCGAGTATTCGTAAGACGAGGCGTAGGAAGCGTTTGAGTGAAAGTGGTCGGAGTGCGGATGATTTTGATGGTGTTGGAGATATTGTGATTGTCGGTGCGGGTGTAGGTGGGGTGGGATCGGTTCGGCCTAAAGTTGAAAAAATCGATGAAACTAGATGTCAGCGTCTGGCTTTCAAAGTAAGAGTAGTACTATAGCAACTCGGATCGATCCGATCGCCTTCGAAGACGTTCACGTTACGTTAGAAATTAAATTCGACTCACCAACCTGCCCCCACCGACGAGCAGGACCACGACCCCTAAGAACAACCCCAAAACAGCCAATCTCGCTTTGAGCGGGTAGAGGTGGAAGTAGAGGGAGAGGCGGGTCCGGAGGATCATCTCTGTTGTTTCCCGTTTTCCGTTCTTCTTTCGTGGGTTTTGGGTTCGATGGTGTTCTCGTCGATGGTTGTTGGTTCGTCTTGCTCCGTACTGCTCCTCTTTTTTCGAGGGGCTTCTTGCGTCGTCCGTCGTCCGTCGTCCGCGGGTGATCTGTTCAAGATGCGGGGTGAGAAGATTGTAGGTCAGCCGAGCAATACCATAGTATCAGTGAAGGTTTCCAAACGTGTACGAGTACTTACTATCGTGCCGAGATGAGGTGAAGAGAGGGTCCTTTGGGATCTCTCAGTCCGTAGTCTGCTGAACGATCGATCTTGGTTTTTTGGCAGGGAGAGTGTAGTGTGTGATGTGAATACGAGACCCCAAAGGCCGAGGTTTCGAGGTATAGGAAGAGTTTTTGTTTTATGGATGTCTATGTGATGCAGTGTCACCCGCTTGAGAGGGGTGGCGAGGCAGCTCCGCCGCCCCCATCGTCCCCTTCACTCCCTTCCCCTTATATATTATATCTTTTCATGCTTACTCATCGCCCTATGACCTACTGTAGCCTGTGTGATCGAGCCGAGCCAGAGGCTGTGTTGCGTGTTGTTGTCAAGATCCACCTCGTCAGTTCCCTTTTCCGAGGAGTTCATGGCGACGAAGAAAAAATTCACTCAGCCGGAACCTTGTTTCGATAAGCTCGGATCATGGAAAGAAAGTGGGAACCGAGAACCGAATAGAAAAGGAAAAAGTCTGGTCGTCTTCTTATCTCGGTGGAAGCGGAGGGGAGGGAACCCAGAAGGCGGGGGGGCGGGTGGATCAAATTGATCAGAAAGAAGGGTCGATCAACAACCATCAACGATCAACGCACGGGCCCGAATCGAACGATCCGTAGAGTTTGTTTTGTTTCCTTTTACGGGTTTCTTCCTTTTCTTATCGTTGTCGCTGATCGCTGATCGCTGATCGCCCTTCATCACCACCCGACGCCGACAGAGCGACGAAGCATGGAAGGAACTCAAAGCTGAAACTCAACTAGAAGCCGGAAGCACCTCGGTTATCGACCATGTATACATGTACAACGTTTCCCCCTTCTCTATCGGGAGGTGAGGCATGAGACACGGCCGCTCCGGTTGTTGTTGCGCTGTTGTCATCCTGATCAAAGGTCAAAGGGGTCCTTTGAACTTGAACCCCGGAAGCTATTATTGTAGGGTCCTTTCGATCTTGAAACTGAAACTCTATCAACACCGTCGGGGCGAGCCTGAGTCTTCTCGCACGTGAGCGCTCGTTGACGTAATTAACGTACTTAGCTTACGTGATTCTTGCTGTGCTCTGACAGGTCACGTGATCTGAATGCGATCGACCGATGCATGCAACATGCAACATGCAACATGCAACATGCACCAACTAAATGCCTATACAACACAACATACCGCAACGAAAGACAAGATCAAATGACCAGTGGCACAAAATAGTACATCTCTGGATCTAGGAAGCTTCCCCAGAGGTTAATCATAGCCGGGCGTAATCGCATATCATCTCGACCGACACCGAAGAGAAGCTAGATCTCGAGGCCGAGGAACAATCATCTCAGCCTATACCTCAACCACAGTCACAATCACAACTTCAATCTAGATCCACACATACTACATTTAATAGCGTCGAGAGGAAAGAATAACAAAGGCAAGAGGAAAGAATAACAAAGGCAAGATCCATACCCACAACTAGAACTAGATCTAGATCTAGATCTAGATCTAGAGCGAAGACAGAGACATGTCGATCTCGAGGAACCCACCGGAATATATCCCGCTCTCCCAAAACGATCCGCACGATCATGATCACGATCCGATACGAGACCATCATCTCGACGTACCGTTCAACCCGGGTCACGATCATCCCGGGTTGAACTCCAACAACTCTTCACGCCGCTCGTCCGCCTCGTTCAACTCGACATCCAGCTTGACAGGCAGGAGATGGCGAACACGGCAGTTAGTCGTTGTTTTGCTCGTCGGGGCGATCGTGGTCGGGGTCTGGGTATCTTCTTCTTCATCAGGTCGGATGACCAACAGGAACGGTGATGGTGACGGGAATTCCGACGATACCATGGATATGAATCGAGGCGGGAGCGCTTACAAACCAGGGAGGTTGGGGAAAGAGCTCGTCAGGCGCCGAAGGATGATGCTAGGAGAGTCTAGTACGGAGAATTGGGAGGAGATCCTGGGGTCCAGCTCTAGCTCTGGCTCTGGCTCAAGGTCCTCGTCCTCGGGGTCTTCAGCCTCGAATTCCGAATCCCACAATTCAAAAGATCTCTTCTCCCTCTCAACATACCTGGACGAAGAACCATGCGCCGGATACACTTCCGGGGCCGAAAAGGCCTACTCTGAGAAGTGTTGGAGGGCTAGGTGGATTGAACAGATTGACGGATGGGGGATGGAAGATTCCGAGTGAGTCCCCGAGGGATTTTGTTTTTCGGTGTTTCGTGTTTTCGAACCCAGCTTCTTGGGTTCGAGTGCGTGAGGGTTGGGTTGAGGGCGGAGATGGGGATCATCATGCAGATGGGGTTCTGTGAAATTCAGAATAGATGAACGAGAAAGCTGATCCGGCTCGACTTTTCTTTCTCTTCTTCTGTTCTGCCTCTTTTCGTTTTCGCAAACAATGTTCGACTTTCATCTTTACCGCATCCGACTACGCACTGCGGAATACACCTTTGGGAAAAATCCTACCACACCGAAACCCCGCATGCCGTCCGGACCCCCCGAACCTGAAACGTCCCCGCCACACAGCTTCTGGCCGTCCCTATCGTCGCTAAATAAACAATCCCTAGCACGTCTCCGAAGATGCCTCCTCGACCCGGAAACCACGCTCGCCACCGACTATCCCCGGTATACGGACGAGGAACCGCATATACCCCTGAACTTGACCGACGTGCAGGACGAGGTCGGAGTGGATACCAGGCCGTGTAGTCTGACGAGCACCAAGGTGATCTTGGGGAACTGGTGAGAATGGGTTCCGAAACGGGGCGTCAGGTTCTGCGGAGGATGAGAGGGCTGATGAGGATGAATCCCGGCATGTCAGGTGGTACTTTACGATGGCCTATGGCGACTGGTCGCAGAGCCCGGGAGAATGTGAGTGTCCGATGACGGTGGTGTCTGCCAGAATGATAGCTGACTTTGCATGCTAAAATCGACTAACAGCCGTCTGGCTACGGAACCAGGCAAGTCGAAATTCTCTTTACTTCATGCATCTATGATCCCGAGCTGACAAGACTCGCCTTGGCTCGCAGATGCGAGCGCTGTACGAGCTCGGGTATACGATACTCGCCACAAACACGTACAAGGGCATGATCGAAGCGCACAAAGCCATGCCCGATGTCATGTAGGTTCGGCCCCCTTCGATACAAGATCTGACCCCCACAAACTGACGACCCCGACCTCGACCCCGACCTCGACCTCGACGACAGCTCCCAGATCTGGACCGAAGACAAGCACACGTTGACGTGCCAGGACGACCCGTACTGTGCCGACTATACCACGTTCAAGCCGACGAACGAAAAGTACCCCGGGACGGGAGTGGACGAAAAGACCCACCTGCCGGACTTTTGGGACGACATCAGGTCGGACCCGGGGGATACGCCGCAGAGGTGGGCTTGGTTGAACCACGAGCTGAGCGCTATTCCGGAGGAGGAGAGGGGGACGATCCCGACGTGGAAGCTGTTTACCACGACATACGTAGGTTGAGGGGTCCTTTTGCTGAATTCTTCGCTGGGAAACACTGAACTTGGTCTTCTGTGCTTGTAGTGGGGAGCTCGACCAGAAGACCCGGCTTGGGATTTCACGTCCGAAGACTTTCCGTGGAACGCCCTCGGCCAACAATGGACCTTGACGTAGGTCGGCCGGTCCACCTAGATGAATAGCGAGGATGACTGAATCGCCCAGCTGACCATGGCATCTCTACCTCGAAACCTCACAACTTCGACCCATAGCCCGTTCGCCTACCCGCTCCACCTATACATCCCTTACTCGATCGAACAGACCTGCGCCTCGGCCCCCCAAATCACCCCGCTAGAAAAATCCCCCAAACTCTTCGTCCTCGCCAAACAGTCCGACTATTTCCAAGACCCCTGGTCCAGCGTCCCTTCCACCTTTTGGTCCAAAGCGCAAAACTTGACAGGGTTGGAAGTGGAGAGCGTGGCTACGGGAGAGGTACCTCTGCCGGACGGGGTGAAGAGTACGGGACACGTGACGAGGGAAGAGTTTGAGGTGATGGTCTCCAAGAGCAAGTTGATGTTGGGTATAGGAAGGCCGTTGATCAGTCCGTCGGTGTATAGCGCTCTGTGAGTCCCCCAAGGTCCCGGATCTCTTGCGAGGCCACGGTCGAGTTCGGGGATCGACAAGGCGCTGACCTGACCCATCTTGTTGCCCACGATGATCGCAGATGTCAAGGAACCCCAGTAGTGATCCCTTACTTCAAGGACGAACCCGTCCCCAAGGGTTGGGACCTCTTCAACGGCGCGTACGCTCAGCACGGACCCGCTGCGGCTATTGGGGAGCCGTATGTGTATAGTTACAAGAGTGGGGACGAGGCGGATCTGGTGGATAAGATTAGGAAGGCTGCGGAGAGGCCTATTGAGAGGTAGTAAGTCTCAGCTCCAAACCCAGTTCGGTCTTCGCTCGGTGGAGGAGACTTTAGTACTGACACGTCCGATTGTTCGATTTTTCCGTAGCATCCCACCTGACATGACCTACCAAGCCGAACTACGGAACATGGACGACCTGCTCCGGTTCGATTGGAAGGGGTACGGAGAGCTCGTCCAAGAGGTCGGAGGGGAACATGCGACGAGGCTGAGGAGGCACGTCGTAGCCCGGTGTTTCAAGATCGGGCGGTGTCAGCCGTTACACGGGGGGTTGTAGATGCGGTCATAGATGTTGGTTGTACTTGTACTTTCTCCCCTGTATGCGGTGCATGTAGAGAGTTAAAGGAGCGGGATGGGGAGTCATCTGAGATGGATAGACGGGAAGATTGATCATAAGTAGAGAATACATGCTATATGCCGAACCGCTCGAAAGCATCTTGATTGTCGCTTGTCGATCGGTCTTGTTCCCGTTCCCGGATGTCTCTCTCTCGGACTCAATTCCCGGTTGAAACCCACGCGCCAGGTCCAGGAAGATCGCCGCAAGCGGGTCGTGGCGAGAGGCGGGAGGCGGGAGAATGTCTCTGATCCCCTGTGTGATCAACAAGTGATCCCGAGATCACACAGTGCCATCCCATCATCATTTTCTGATCCGGCGGTGGCTGGCGAGACGAGACGAGAATGATCGGGATTGTAAACTTTCACACGATCCGATCACCGAAGACGAACCAAGAACAAGAACACCATGCGATGAGCAGAGAGAGAACAGGAGTTCGAAGAGACGAATCGGAGCGAGAACGACCATGAAACCCCGAGGGTCTACGAGTGGCCGACAGGGAGTTACATGGTATTGACGATGGCGATGATGATGATATCTACAACTTTCAACTTGCAACTGGTCAGAGGTCACAGGGTCAGAGAGCCGTCCCAGACGCAACAAACCGCTAGTCATCCCGCTCCGACCTTCTCCTCACGAAGATGGCCGACCTGTTTAGGAACATCTTCCAACAACGGTAAGTCGTCATACGGTGGTGTGCCCGACAACGTCTTGTTCGAGCGTATATCCTGATACGACTATCCATTCATCAACTGTCATCCTCGTTGTGTTCCCATTCATGAACCCGTGATCCAACTCAGAGCGCGGAGAAGGGCCATCCTCGGCCTCTCATTCCTCCTCCTCACTTCCCTTGTACTCCTCTTCCGAAGATCGGATTCCAGTTCCAATGAACACTCAACATCTTCATCGCCCTCCAATTCCTCGCCTTCGACGGGTTTCCACCCGAGGAATGGAGAGGCCCAGACCGAATTCGAAGCGAAAGGACGCGGAAACGGAAGAGGGACACATATAGATCTGGAAGATCCGATTTTGGAGAAGATTGTCAGGTTACGGGTATTAAGAGCTCAGTTGGGGGAACGGTTCGAGAACCAGTAAGTATATAAGTATAGTCCTCGACCACTTCACAGATGGCCCTGAGTGGTCGACCTTTCATATCGCTTTGATCTGCGTTACTGAAACCCTGCGTCATCCTTCTGTCATCCTCTCCGTACGAAAATAAAATAAAAAACGAAACTTCGACCTGCAGCAACCCGCACCCAGGTCTAATTCAAGCCCGCCGTTGGAACGCCGAACGTATAGACCTCCTCATTCGATGTCTAGCCACAGACAGCTGTGAGAGGAATCAAGAGAAGGTGGTCGTACTGGCCAGTCATCATTTTGGACTGGCGCATTTCGATGACCGGAGTGGGGAGGGGATCTGGTCAGTCCGCGGGTCGAGGCTTTGCGATGGCAGTAGCATATGTTCGGAAAGCTGACGCTTAGCTCACCCATGTACCTTGAACACCGGACAGGGCCCTGGCGCTGGACGAATCTATACAATCCCTCGGATACACCGCCCTATATTCTTTCGGCTATACCGAAGCACTTACCATCTACCTCGCCGTCCCCGAAATGGTCACCAGGATCTTGATGGAATACTCGGCTTTGGAGGATTGCATGAAACGAGGGGAAGACGCCGAGGGGGACTTGTTATGGACCGCAGTGGATTACGGCGGGTGGCAAGCGGGACGGGTTGGGTGTATCAAGAGGGAAGGGTTCGAAGAGGGGATCCCGGCTTGGTTGGTGAGTCCCTTTCGAGACGTGTCGTGTCTCCTTTTTCCGGGAGAGAGAGAAAGACTTGTCACTCATCACTCATCGTTTGTGTGTAATGAACACAGATTCATACGTTCCATGGATGGGCGGGACCGGCTCATCCGTTAGGTGCGAATTTCATCGTCTCGTTGGAACCTTTCCGGGAACTCGGATTAGGGTCAAATTATTACATCGGTCAGTTCAGCGTTCAGAAGGGTTGCGCAGCAGCGGCCGCTGAAACAGAATCTCTCTTTTCCCCCCTATTTCCTTTCCCGACGTCCGCCAGGCTACTCGATCGAGAAACGTTGCCGAGCCATCCCTACAGCCGAACAACGTCACCACCAAGCGATCGTCCTAGGCAAACAGGCCGAATACTTTGAAGAAGACCTGAACATGTTCTTTGGGATGCTCAAGACGGCGGGGGACAAGGTCCCTCCGGCATCGGGTGTTGGAGGCGAGGTGGGATTCGATATAGTTGCCGTGGCAGGGGAAGGGCAGGAACTGGCAGAAGCGGGGTTGGTCAACAAGGGAGCTATGAAGCAGGAGGCGTGGTATGCCGAGGTAGCACAGTCGAGACTTATGGTCAGTCGAATCTCGTGGGGCGGTTCAGCCAGAGGAATATCATGACTGACGAGCAACGATCGGGATGCGATCCGCAGATCGGAATTGGAAGCCCGCCACAATCGCCTTCTCGTAAGTACCTAGCTCGGAAACAACCTGCGAAACAATATGAAACACTCACCAACGCTTTTGGCTATGTTACTCAGCTTATGACGCCATGTGCCTAGGTGAGTCGCCGGAACAAATCAAGCAAATGGGTGCATTGGAGCTGACTACGCTGTACTGGCTTCATGTATCAAGGCGTCCCTTTTATTAACCCGTGAGTACTGAAGCCCGGGGACGCTGATCGAATTTAGGATGACTGATACAGCATCCGACCGAACCTCATGCAGTATCCTGGACTGGGATAGGGATCACCCCGAGGACAAATCGAAATGGGTTTTACAGCAGCCTGCTTTGATCGACATCGAACCTCCTTTTGTGTATACCGTTGTGAGTCGATTCGAACCAGTTGCGCTGACGCCTGGAAGAAACGTACGCTGATCCTGACGGGTTCTTCCTTTACTATACAGCGCAAAGGCGACCGAGCCGGCCTCGAAGCGGCCATCTTGAGCGCTGTAAAAACGTCCATCGATCGATATATCCGTAAGTACAAGCTTCACCAGCGATCGCACACCCAGCTGACATGTACGACTGACGGGAACCCGACAGCCCCGCGAATGACGATAGAAGCCATGCGTGATCGTATGAGGATCTTCTTGGATGTCAATTGGCACTGGCAAGCGCGCAACCTGGTAGAGGATATGCCCGAGGTGAGCAGTAGGAGATGTAGTCGTCCTGTATGCTGCAACTGATGGAACTCGATTATCCGATAGTTTGAGTATCTGTTGTAATCCCTTTCCCAAAAGGTGTAGGCAGGGTTGTATCGCTAGAATGTATCATTCAGGATTACCATAGAAGAGTCGTTCCTTGTTTGCCTACGACATTATCGCCAACCCGGCCCAGCTATAAGCATATTTGCTTCAACCCTCGGAAACTCCTGAAGAGAGACTCTCGAAAACTGTCGAGCTTCCAGTCACAGTCAGCGAACAACGCCATCCCTTGGAGCACGGTCTGCTAGATATCTTCACCCGCGCTCTCCGACCATGCTGCAGCGTAAATCAGTCCGATGTGCTCGTGTCCAATTATCATGTCTCGCTTGACTCTTTGGTCATGCGGCTGTCAGGGACATACCCTTGGACTAGCGACTTTGCGCAGAAAAACAGATCCGCATGCGCTCAGATCGACGATAAGCGACAAATAATTCGAGATAGGGAGACAGCAATGGCTACCACACAAACCTTTTCCTATCCTGGAGCCCTGGTAATCACCTTGTCATAGTAGGCCATTTGGCTAGCCAGCGGATCAGGTCCATTCTCCTTTCCCAACATCCCTGCCATCGCGCTACCTACATACGATAAAATCTTGATGTTCCCGGTTACACCCTGCAGTGTCACCATATGGGCATAGACACCTACGTGGTTGGCTACAGTTGGACCCTGAGGTTCCCCCACCTGCCAACCATGGGCGGGTAGCTCAGGCTCTTGGCGAGCAAATCCCAACGAGCTTTTCCAGGCAGCGCAAGTCTGAGTACATGGACGATGGCCGCTATTGCTGAGCCACAGCCCGATGCGTCGCAGATCGACTGTCAAACAGGGGAGTCTGTGCGGCCGGTCAAATACCCCACAGAAACCTAACTCGAGAGAAAGTCGTGTGAGCTGGAAAAGGGGATGCCCGCGATACCGAAAGGGCGTCCTACGCTCGTGAGGGCCAGCTACGATGAGATGGATGTTTCGATGGTGTTGTGGTGACAGATAGCCTTTACATGCACATTAACACCGGGCGCAAAAAACCATTCGTCGATTAACGCAAGCAGCCAAACTTTATACTAGTACAGCAACGTCAGGGGGATACACGCAGCTCTCTCTCGAAGGCGTCACATTTCCAATCGCATCGACGTGGGTCTTGCAGCTTCGATGCAGTGTCCAAGTGGATACTTGCAATTGTCGATTCTCGACGCGCGTGCGTGACTGCTCAAACTTGCGCAACGAATCATCTTGATATGATCTCGAAGCACGAAGTACAAATACAGCATACAGCATACAGATCGTCTCGACCGAGAGCGATACTCTACCTGTAAAGCCCGAACACGTGCTATTTCCCTGCCGGAGACAAACCTACTCTGACTGGATCGGGTCGGGCAATTATCTGGTCCAGTAAACTGTTTGTTTTTGTTGTTTTAGTTTAGAAAACGCGATATTTCCACGAAGTCTCGCTGGTAAACGCTAGAATCCAAATTAGGCTCCGAGACTATTATCTTTGTTACCTCGTCCATTATACTTTCTATTCTCGTTTGTATTCCCCCCAACTAGCGTCGCATCCTTCAGCAAGCTTGCATCCATGCAGGGTGTACCAGACATCTAGACTGACTGTCCCTGCGCCATGTTGACGAACGCCCGCTGGAACCGACCATCGTCCCGGGTCGTCGGATGCGGCGTACTAGCGGCAGTCTGCGTATCACTGGTGTATCTCGGCCAAGTCCAGGACCCGTACTGGACAGCCGGACGGACGAGCCAGATCGACCCGGACTCGCTAGGAGCAGAGGATCACGGTTCTGCAGGATCATGGTTAGAAGGCCTCGAAGTACTTCCTGCCAAACCGGAAGATGTAGATGAAAGCTCAGCCGGGATAGATACGGAGCCGGACCCATGGGAACTGGTTCCAACGGTCGATTTCAGTACTGCACCGGACAGAGAATATAAAGAGGAGACCGAAGCAAGGCTCAGGAGCTTGGCAGAATGTATGGATTCTGGACGATGTCCGAAGAACAGGCAATCGGTAAGTCACTCTCATCTTGCCTTGACGGCTCTGGACCAAGATCAAGACGACTGATTCCACCTTATGACCCTTCCAACGCGGACATGACCGATCTTACCTTTTACCTCGAATTACAGGTGGCTATATTAGCAAGTCTACCCTGTTACATGACAGTATATCACGATTACATGGGAGGCGAAGGAATCTGGTACGTACTTTGTCATTGCCTTGCAAGCAATCTATCCGAATAGCTCATCAACTGTATCTCGGACCTGCCTTCTCCTCATTCTCTACCCCTATCTCTAATTTACGATCTTTCGAATCAAACCATACCGGATCGGAACTCGATTCAGGTGTAGAGCGATGGTCGGTCCCTATCTTTTGGATATCTCCACACATATATTATCAAGACTCATCTTATCGCATTTCCCCTCCCCCTCCTGCCCCGCCCTGCCTTGCCTCCCCCGCTACTGGTCGTGAAACAGATCAAATCCCTAGAAAGACAAGGATATACGGTCCTGTACGCTCGGGATGATTGGAGTGAGTCTACTATCCTACAGATCCCATCGTCGTCTTCCCTTGCCCGAGTTATCTGCCTAGTCCGTACCGTATGCTCATGAGTACGTGGGTCGTCCTGGAATGATTGGTAGGTTATGTGGACGAGGTCTATCGTCGGATACCTGATCAGGTCAAAGTAAGCACATCCGGCTATGCAAACAATGTCAAATTAGGATTTACAGCTGACGCTGGATCCTGCTGGCCATCGTGATCGGGTCGTAGGTGGTCATCGGGGACGACATGGTCCGGGCCGACAAGATCTTCAGGACGCCCGAAGACCCGGCAGCTCTACCAGCTTGGAAGGTCAGCCTCCAGTTCAAAGCTATTTCGTTCCCCCTTATATCCAGGCTTTGTTCCTTCTCGCTGAATTGTCTTCTTTCCATTCTCAACTTCAGACGATCGTCATGTGGTTCTTCCCCGTCGTCGGCAGGTCTCCCGTGGGGAACCCATGGCACATCTCGGCGGAACCTGGGCCGGAACATTGGAGTGAGTAGAAGGTCGATCGCGAGGTGATCCGTTCCAACGCCAAGGTCAAGAGGCTAATGTCAAACGAGCTCGCATCAATTTTGCTCTTCGACTGAGCAGACGCGACGTTCATCGGGTACGTCTTGAACGAGAAAAACACGCATTTCTTGGATCTCAGGCAACGAATGGCTGATCTCCTCCTGCTGTAATTCTCTCTGACAGCTACGACATGACATGCCCCGGAACCCCCATCCCCACCTCGGACCGCAACAACCAAGTCTACATCCTCGCCAAACGTCTCAAATACTTTTACGACATCTCCCCCGCGTGGAACGTCACCTTCTTCCCCCGAGCCGCCCTCGAGCTCTCAGCCGATTTCCCTGGGTTCGAGTTCGTCGCCGGGTACAAGGACGAGGATGAGCCGACCAAGATGGGTTTCCCCGGGGGGATGGCTTATCCAGAGGGGGTGAGGAATCTGGGAAGGTTGTCACCGGAGGAATTTGCTAGGCATGTCAAGGAGAGCAAGGCCTTGCTTGGGATCGGATCGCCGCCGCAGAGTCCGAGTCCTTATCATGCGCTCTGTCAGGGAGTGCCGTTTATCAACCCGGTACGTCGGCGATCCCCTTGATAAACGATCTGATGGCCATGTCGAGCCATAACTCGAACGCCCTCCATTCTTGTTTCGCCAGGGTCTAGACGGATAGTTTCACTGACCTTGAAGTTCTCCATCGGGCATCAGGTGGTATTATCACACGAAGATAGGGATGCTATGGACCCCGCCAACTGGAAATCAGCTCAACACTCTACCGTCGCTCGATTGCCTGAACCGTAAGTCCAGGTCGAGCGCTTCACAAGGATCGATTAAAGCGATCAGCAACAATGAGACCAAATTCGAGTTCAACGCTTCCTCAGCCTCGACGGCGGCTCCTGGGAAATATGTTAAGCAAGAAAGCTGATTCTCGAAACGATACATCATGATATGATCTGTTTGAACAAATAGGTACAACTACGCTGCGGTCGCTTGGGATTACGATTCGTTCGTCCGAGCGATCCGCTCGGCTTTGACCCATTCGACGCCTAGGTAAGACAGACACCAATTCCTATCCCGACACCGTATCTTGAGATCCCCGCGCGGGGTTTGCTCAATATTCCGTCCCACCACAACTGCGATAGGTATCGGTTCGACCACATGGCCTCAGAATCGCTCGACGCCAGGATGGACGAGTTGATGAACCGGGATTGGTTCGGGATGGCCCAGGAGGTCAAGCGTCTGAGGGATCTCGGCGAGGACAAGTCGTTCAGCAAGGACAAGGTCGGTTTCCTTTTCGTTGGCGCTTCTGCGGACACACTGCGCAAGGTCAAAAGGAGATCATCGTCCACCGTACTAACCGCATTGGTTCCCATGTTTCGCTAGATTTTCCACTTGTAGAAGGGTTGTTTTTCTTTTGCGCGGATTTTTTCCTAGAGGGTTTATTCGAGCATTTGTACTGTTTTTCTCTGTTTGTTTTTTGGGTCCGAAGGTCGATTCCCGCGCGTTGCTCGCGTGCCATGCTGTCTCGCTTCTCCGCGACCCATCGTGTTCCTTCGCTTCGATTCTGCCTGTTCCTGATTTTCGCGCCGCTTCCGATCAGATCTCGACCTCTTGATCATGTTGATGATACGCGTCGCCCCCCGTGGTAGCCCGGATGGTTCTGTTCTTCCTCCTCCTCTATGCTGCCTCCGGACGTTCACGATTGATTCAATTTCAGTACATACTTGCGTCGAAACCTGCATGTACGTGGACAAAATTCGCTTTTAATTGTTTGCCTGTTCACAGACGATACAAACGTAGAGAGCCTTTAAGCACCTGCCTAGTCGGATTGATAACGCAAGAATATGGCGACCAGCGTCAGGAGGAAGAACCTGGCCGTCCTCGGTGGGATATGTGTGGGTTTCATCGCCGGTATCATGCTGCACGACAGGTAAGCCGAAGGGACCCTAGGACTTGGTCGTGTCGTCCTCCCGTATGTTCACGTCTTCTGAACGCTACGTCTTCCCCTTCAAACTTGCACTGGCGATATATCAGCGGCAAGATGTTAGCCGGTATCCCCCCTTCCTCCCAATCCCAATCCCACTCCAACCACCCCACCTGCCCCTCTCAATGCCTCGACGATCCGTACGCTAAACCGGGTATGGTCCTCTGGGGTAAAGACCAGTTCGGCAAAGAGACCCGTTATGTGCCCTTCCCCTCCGTCTTCTCCTCGACCTCCTCACAACAAGAGAAGTTGCCAATGAGGACCAAAGACTTGGACGTCGGGGGGACGGCTTATTGGAGTAATACTACCGAGGCTCTCGAGTTGGCCGTACCCGCTTACACGCAGGCTATCAAGAATAAAGAGGAGGAGACGGTCGCGTTCGCCAGGAACAAGCTGGCGCTGTTTATCGGTGAGTAACGTATCATGGCAATGATGGAGGATCTCTTCATCCTGTCTGTTCCTCGTCTCGTCTAGCCGCGTGTGGGGACGTTTCGTTTTGACGAGTCGGACTTCACTGACTCGTCTTTACATTTTCTCCTTGTTCTGTTGTGCGTCGCGTTGATGCTATGCTATCCGCTTTGCCTTGTCAACCTACGTCCAGGTTCAAGGTGAGTCTCTCCTTCCAGCTAGAAGCTCGGCTGTGAAACAGGGTACGACTACCACGAGCGCTAATCTCTATCGAACTCTCATGCATCTCTTCTTTACTCTCAGCCGTAAGTCTGACGTTGTCGACCGAATGATATCGGTACGATGTAGTAAAAGTTGGGAGAGCTGACTTAGCGTCACTGTCGCTATCGAAACAATAATGGAAATCGAAATCACATCCGACTATATGGCATTACAACCACAGACGATCGTGCCAACGTAGGTACAGAAGATTCGTCTGATCCGCTTACCGACCCTACCATAACATACCACACCTTGTCATATAATCCCAATCGATCATCGCAACATGCTGACCTCGACCGTATCGTTTTTTTTTTCGCTTCATTATGCAGGTGGAAACCTTTTGTCTGGCCGTCGGTGGGAAATCTCAGAGTTGGGGGTCACACATCGCCGCGGTGTGTCACGTAGATTGGCTCAACCTGACGCTGGCCAGTTGGTTCTTGTGAGTCATGTCGTCACTCGCCCATCTTACGCTTTCTGGATTCGGTCCGGCGATCCCGCAAGCCTTATCTTCGAGGAGACATAAAGAAACCGCCGGTCGGGATCGAGAAAGCTGACTCGCCATCTTTTTCTCGTGCACCCCCACTTGTTCTTACTCTCACCTCTACCACTGTGTACGACTATGACTGCAGGGTCGGCATGGTAGACGACGAAACCGCCGACTGGTTCGTCTCCACCGAAAAGCGCCCGATCACCTTTGAACGACGGATACCCGAGATCATGTTGCCCTGCATGAAAGAAGCCGGGTTGGAGGATATGAAGCCGGACTTGGTCGTCTTTAGTAGCTTGTTCTGGGATGAGAGCTTTATCTGGAGGGTGAGTCCCGCCGTGTTCGAGGTTGGGAGGGCGATGGGGATAGAAGGGGGGGCTGGCGTTTCATGGCTGACCGATGTGACTTTACCCGCCTTGCTTACGAATCGCAATACATATCGTAGCACGGCATGCAAGTCGGACACTACAGCACCGACCCTACCGACGGCCTGCACGGCTTCTTCTACGAAGAGCTCAAATGGCACCGATCTCGGGTACACGAACTGATCGTCTACCTCCGGTCGATGTTTGGCGAAGACGTACCTCTCATGTTCAGGACCCGCCAACATAGGGCCAAGAACAGGTGGGGTGGGGTGCTCAAGATCTTCCAACTAGATCAGAGTTTGAAGTCTCTAGCGAGGGAGACTGGGGTGAGGTATTTCAGCTGGGGGAGCAAGCTCGAAGGTTGGCTCAAGTGAGTCCGTTGTGCTCGTCCCGTCTCCGTCACCGTCACCGTCTCGTCCCTCTAGGTTCTCTCCCGTTCTCGATGTCGTCGTTATCATTGCGATCGCTCATCTCGTCTGATCTGCTTCGTTTTGTACCCGATAGTTTCCAGGACGAGGATCAACACTACAGCTTTGGCCCTACGACTTATCTTTTCGGCGAGTGAGTCGAGTGCACCACGACCTGCATAAGTCATCTGCTGCTTCCCCGACCTGCAGCTGACGCCCCCGCTTCATGTTTGCTCCTCGACTCAGCATGTTCCTGTTTTACCTGCACCAAGCCTCTGTTCCGGGTTGTTGGGCATGTCAGTTACATCTGGATACAGGTTCAGAGACGTAGCGTCGTTTGTATCTTGCTCGGCAGCAAAGCAAGCACGATTCGTTCAGGAGATCACAGAAGGATCAGGACCGCTTTCGCGTTAAAGTTTATAGACGTTTCCGGGCTTGTCTCCGGATGATAATGATGATCTCGCTCTCGTCTATCCGGAAAGTACAGTAGCTACCGAGGATTTGGCTTTTGGCTTGTGAAAGCCAGCAGCTCTCTCTCCCTCTCTCTCTTGAGAAGATGAAAACGCGGAGCCTGTCGCCACCGTCGGAGGCTGTACAAAGTCTCAGGTCCACGTGGTCCGCTTGCTTTCCCTCGCCTCGCCTGTCGCGCCTCGTCTCAAACAAACTGCCCGCGCCGGGGTCGAGTCCTCCCAAAACCTTAAACTCGCGCGGGTATGATGATCTGATCCCACATGGGATGTGCCGGAGTCGGAGGTCTCAGAGGCGCCAAAAAAGATTCTTAGCTCCCGTCCTCGAGATATATTCGTCTTCAAAGGACATGGTTGCCAGCCGTCCGATACTTGTACGCCGGGGCTGATCTCTTTATCGTCCTCATCAACCTCATTGCTCCATTCGATCCCTTCAAAACGACCATACAGCCAACCCGCTGTCCAACAATCCGATCGCAAATCACGCAGACTTGGTGAAACGATGATCTTGCCCATTATTGCGAGGATCCGCCCCCGGAACCTGTTTACCGGCTCGGTACTGGTCTTTCTAGCCGTCACTTTCTACACCTATCCCGGTGGACAACTTGCGCCCAGCACAAGTCTATCAGATCACCAGGGAGCCGCAGAGATCAACGACTTGGACGGACGAAATTGGTGTAGCGTCGATGATATCGTCAACGGGCACTGGGTTGAATCACCCCCCGTCGAGTCGATCGAGCAGTTGCAACAAAAGTTCTTCCACCACGTAAGCTTCGTTCGATCTTCATTACGCTCCTGCTCAATCTCCGCAACTGGGTCTTTTGAATTCTGATCTTGCCACTCGACAAACCCCTATCACAGTTCAACCGTCGGATGCGATGCGATCCCATCACAGTGAACCCGGGCCAGACCGACAAGGAAGCCATGGAACAACGAGCTATGCAGATCGGTAGTCCCACTTTCGTGCCGAGAGGAGAAGGCTGTCTCGTCAGGCAGACGCCATGGCGGGATATGATCAAGATGATTCTGAGGATGCCTGCTGGGGTGACGTGAGTCCGCTTGGGGGAAGCACGGTTGCATTTCTGCCGCATGCCATATGCTGACACCGGGACCGCGGTGTACCCTTTTACGGAAACACTTTTAGTGTGATCGGAGGTTGGTACCATATAGTCGGACGGCTCGTCTGGAGACTTTTTTGACGCATATTGGCTGACAGAAACACCTCTCCTCAACCAGATTCCATTGGCCAGCAATTGATCGGGACCTTTGAAAACATGCTATTACAAGCCGACGGACTCGTCAAGGATCACTCCAACTCGGTCTGGGATAGGACCATCTACATGGACCCGTCCAAGCCAGAAACATTACAACTGTTGGAAGAAGCCGGCGTCTCCATAAAACGCCTCGAGGTCCCCCTGGTCACGCACTGGAGGACGCATCATCTCGGGAACAAGACGGACCTCGATGTCGGGTTCGCCTCGATCGAGAAATACGAGCGGGCGCCGTATGAACCCGTCGAGTGGTTCGAAATGTTCCACGAGAACCTTCGCAAGATGTACGGCCTGCTGGACGACCAGGATCAGGATCAAGGTGGAGAGGGTCTGTTCACGAGGGACGACGTGCGACCGGAAGATTCGGTCATCATCATGCAGACGGGTCCTCATTGGACGGAGCACGAGTTGGGACACGACATGTCCAACGAAGATGCCTTGTCTGGGTTCAAGAACATGGTCAGTCCGCGGGCGTGCGAATCCGGTCAGACGACCCGAGCGATTGGCTGAAGTAGACCTGCGACTGATTGGGATTCCAGGTGGACATGACCGAGAGTCGGTTACGGGCACTGCCTTATCCCGTCAACATCTTGTGGCAAACGATCGCATCACCGCATATCGATTGTCAAGCCGCGACTCGATGTACGTACCGTACAGTTTCTCCCTCTCTCGCTCACGAATGACGGCTTATGCGTGTTATACCCTGACCTCGGGCCACCCTCAGTCGAGAACCAGCGTGATGATATCTCCTCACCGTTGGACGTGAACAAAGCCGCCCCTCACAATCAGTCCGTTAGAAATTTCCCCTTCTACTTCGCTCCCCAAGTGATCTAGCGCTCAAGGCATCGTACCACCCCCCTCTTTGTTCGTACACACAGTGATCGGATGGCTTTGATGAACGAATACTTGCGATCGAAATTCTCCGCCGATCGTCAACGTCCTTCTTCTTGGCTGTCCAACCTACTACTACCGGGATCTTGGAGGACTGCATCGGTATCACATACCGTCCGCCTCACCGACGTCTGGCCGCTCTCGGTCAAACGTCCCGAAGCCCACACTGTTCCTCACAAGGGAGACTGCTTGCATTACTGCGAGACTGGGGTACCGGACGAGTGGTTCAAGGTGAGCTTTCAAGGAGGGGATCGCTGTGGTGAAAAGATGATCAGCCGGGTTCTGATTCTTTTCCTGCCGATATTCTATATATATACGATACCATAGCTCTGTTGGCATATGATCATGGAGGACGAGAAGAACCGGGATTACGAATACAGAGGGGTACCTGCTTCGAACTCATAAGCCGATCCGGGGAACGGCCGCTTCGAAGGGTCATCGATTTTGTATGGGGTTTCTAGGATGACGACCCAGTAATGGATATGCCTGATGCGAATCAGAGGTTGACGACGGATTACATATACCATATACCATATACCATAGGATAGAGTTTCAGACGATTGTAAACGGATATCTTCGTGATCTAGATAGAGGACCATGTCATCTTGTAACAGGGAACGTATAGCACAAACGTGTATATCAATGCCGATTTTCCCGCAGGTCATTGCGCCCCACCTTCGGACTCACAACATCGAATAGTAATAATCCTTTCATTCTTGGTCGGGAACAACAAGATCACTCGAGCCACAAACAAACAGACCTAGGTCCAAGCTCCTCAAATCTACCGCCATAGGCCTAAGCCTCATCGTCTCTATGGGGTCTGATAGAATACTGATCTTGACAAAACTGATCTTGACAAAACCAACCCTATACGCGAATTGAATCACGGCATTGCTGCTCGTAAACAGCGCTAGGTCCAATCTTCCCAAGATTGCTGCGGAGCGCTGCGGTAGGCATATACCTCAGCGTATTCATGGGGTCTGTTAGAATACCAATCTTTGAATCAGTGTGATCCAGCAAACAACCTGCATGGCTTTTCAGAGGTTTTATGAAGAGCCTCCATCCAGTTGAATGCATATGCCCAGCGAATCCCGAGACGTGTATCAGCATAGTTGCTGCAATGAATGATGGCACTGACTGGCCGCGATCGCTGCCTCAATCGGCACTGAAATTGGCCTGGACCCCGAGTATTACCATCAGGGTCAGTAAAAGGGCTAACGAAACCAACCACTTGATCCTGGCACCCCCGTATGTTCATATCTCTTGCTATCTATTCGTTGACTCTGCGACTTTTAGGTTTCTTTTTAGCGGTTTTCCTTTTTTTCCATTCTCCCGGACGCGAAAATCGATTAATTGAACCAAAAACAAGAAATGGTTCCGATGACGGTTGTTGGGGCATATTTACCTTGAACGTTCTGCGAGATTAATTGTTATTATTAATTAGTATTGTCACAACTTGCAACTAGTCTAGCTAATCTCGACAACCTCGTCCCATCTTGGAAGGGCTTGGACGCATCAACGTAGATATCCCAGCCGGGAGCATCCATCCCCTCTCTTCCCCGTCGATCGGGGTTCAGCTACACGCCCACCTGCACACTCGCACCATGTTCGCAGGACTGAGAGTCTCGTCAAGATGGAGACTCCTAAGCCGACAAGCCCGCATCGCGTTCATCGCCATAGCTCTCCTAGCTACCTGGGCGTTTGTATCGGACGTCCGCTCGAAGTCTTCCTGGACGCACGGACTGGGTGGTTCAGGGTCTTCTTCAAGTTTGAACACATCGAGTTCTAGTTCTAGTTTGCCGGGGGATGATACGCTGTGTTACGGATGGACACCGCCTTCATCCCCAGGATCAGCAGCGGATGGGATGGAAGAGGATCCTTTCATCTCAAGAGGATGTTGGAGGGCGGAATGGTATCAGCAGTTACGGTCGTTCGATCACGAGCCGTTTGACGTCAGGTGAGCTTCGAAATGTGAACGACCCCCCTGTCATCGCTTTTTTCCCGAAATCCTATACTATAGCTATCCTTGCATTCCTCCCTCTCCCTCTGTTTTCGTCTCATAAGCTCGTGCTGATCTTGTTCTTCATCTCTCCTCTTGAACTTCTCCTGACCTCGACTGCAACCACGCCCCGGCTCATTTTTCCCTCTTATCACCACGGCAACGTCACCTCACCTCACCTCACTTCACTTTACCTGCTCCACACCTCATTCTCACCTCATCTCACCTCATTCTCACCATGAACCGGAATCAGCATGAACTTTCAACACGTCAAAGACCGTAACCAAGCCGCCCTCGCCCGGTTAGAGCGTTGTCTCGTCTCCACCGCCCCTACGCTCTCTGGGGTACCCCTACGACCATCATCTCATAAACAACATCGACAATCTAAGTCTAATCGAAATCGAGAAGCAGGTGGACAAGATGGAATAAGAATTGAAGCCGACGGAGATGACGAGTGTACGGACGAAGCCTTCAAAGTCGTCGTCGGTACGTATGCGTACTTTACGTTTGCGTTTATCGATCAGGGGGAGAGCGGGGAGACGGTCTGGTTGAGGAGTCAGGTGAGTGTTGCTTTTGTTGAGATCGTGAATTGGTTGTGGGCTTCGAAGTCTTGAAGCCTCGAAGCCTTGGGTCAGTCCAAGGCTTCGCCGGGAGAGTTGTTCGAGAGCTGACTTGTCTTGTGTTTTGCTGTTGATTCCATGTGGTGGGGGGTGATGTGATGCGATGTGGTGAGGTTGTGTAGATCGAGATGATGAGGGAGATGGGAGTCACCGTCCTGTGTTCGACATCGTTACCGGGGACGATCAGGATGCACAGGACCATGCCCGATGTAATGTAAGTCGTCCGTTTTCCCATAAAACCTCGCGGTCGAGAGACGATTTTTTTTTTCCCAGCATACACGTCCTAACACGCCTCTTGCTCTACCTTTTACTTCGCAGCAAGATGATCTGGATGCAAGACCTCCGCGCACTAGAATGTCAAGCCGACCCGCGCTGTATAGCCGATTTCCGACCGACCCGAGTGACCTACCCGGACGCTCCGGAGAGCATCATGCATAACAACCGTACACGCTGGCCAGATCTGGAAAAGCCAGAGAACAACATCGGGTACAAGTGGATCTGGACGAAGGAAGAGGTGGAGAGGATCCCACAGCGGGAAAAGGGGGAGATTCCGTTGTGGAAGATCTTTATCGCGACGTTTGTGAGTAGCGTTCCGCCCCTGTCTCGCCTCGTCCGGTCTGGTTATCACCTCGAATCTTCTCGCTGACTGCATCTGCGCTTCGGGAAACTTGGTGCTCAGTGGGGGACGATGAGGGAAGCACCTCATATCTATAACCCGCTCGATGGAGCCTGGACGTTAGGGTGAGCAAGCCGGGAGTAACATCTTTCTTCATGGGGATAGATGGGTACACCAGGAATAACCTAGACTGACTGGATTTCATCTTGTGTACTACGACCCGATCGTGCGGAGGACAGGCCGTACAAGTATGAAGGCGCGACGTATCTACCGTATTCCTACGAAAAGTACTGCGAAACCACGGCGGTCAAAGCTCATGCCGAGAGACCCGATCGTGCGTTGGTACTAGCCAAAGCGAACCGTGCGTATCTTGATTCCATGGTTGTCTTTAATCTCATCCGTTCCGACTGACCCGTGCATCCCCCTGCCCAATCTAGACTACTTTGATTACCCCTACGCCCCTTCACGTAAAGACTGGCCACTCATTGTCGAGGGGACAGGGCTCGACTTTGTAACGACGGCCGTCTCGTGGAAAGGTCCGGACGATCCGTTTGTCCTGCCCGATGGTGTGCGTACGACGGGTACGGTAACGAGGGAGGAATATGCGGTCATGCTGGGTGAAAGCAAGCTGTTGTTGGGGATCGGCAGGCCAGCCATCAGTCCGTCCATTTACATTGGTCTGTGAGTCGGTGGTGGAACTCTTGTCGTTCAGGTAGACGATTCGGTGATGCTAATGATCGCGGAAATGGACGCCTTCTGCCTCGCCTGACAATAGTTGCCTTGGGGTTCCCTCTGTCCTGCCTTACTTTACGGACGAGTTTCCGCCGGAAGGCAACGATCTGTTCAATGAGTGAGAATCGTGTTGGCGGGTAATGGCTGAGTTGGCGTTATTGACGTGTTCTTTCCATGACCTCTGCAGAATGTTCGCGCAACACGGCCCGGCTCAACTCCTCGGTCCTCCTTATGTCTACAGCTATCGTCATGGCAACGTCACTGATCTCGTCGACAAGATCAACCGAGCGAGCGCGCAGCCGATAGAATCATAGTGAGTTACGGGTGGCGCGCTGTACCTTCCATCTCCGACTGCCTCCTAGTCTGGCAGTACTGACTACAGCTTCGCCATGTTTGTCATCCAGCATCGACCCGGATATGACGTGGGCGGCGGTGCGCTATCACCTATCTCGAATGTTGAACAAGGATTGGCGAGGGGAAGCCGAAGCGATCATCGAGGGCAATGGCGGCGTGGTACCTGCTCCAACGGTCGAGTTTTTGCAGAGGTGTTTCGGAGAGCGGCAATGCAAGACCAGCCTGGATTACGACTCGAGACATTATCACATGGGACCGCTGGTGACGACGTGATCGGGATTGTATATTGTACTTGTACTGGGTATTCGATCATAGACGTAGTGGGGGGAGGAAGTACAGGAGGGCCAGCGGGGGCACAGGCGGAGGTCAGGAGTAAGTCGTTGAGCAGAGTCCGTCCGTTGTCGACCCTCTCTCCTTCCAGGAAAGAACTTGCCTAGAATCGAAAAAGCGATTCCCAGCCATGTCGTCACTGAAATACATTCCACTTTGGCGAGTGGGTAATTCCCCTTGAGACGACCAGTCCGAGTCATCGTCGGAAAGCCTTGTCATTCCTCGCGACCGAAAAGAAGTAGCGCGTCGGCTTGAGCTGTTCCTGTCTCCAGGAAGATGACTCCCCTCCAAGTGGAGTGGCCGGAATGGACTGGAGTGGAGTGAGGTCGATATGCCGAGGAGTGACTGCGGCAGTTGCTATCTGCTACAGTATCGCGGTACGCGTCGGCAGACGTTCGGGTCGTGGTATGACTGAACTGTCCCTCTCAGTTGAAGTACATCCATGGAACGCGGTTCTCCTCGATCGATAACGTACAGACTTGCTGCGATGGATTCAACTTGGCTGGATCTCGCTCCACGTTTCCCGGCTCCTCGAGACTTCGAAATTGGATCGTTGTCCTGCCGCACGATACAGAGGCAGACAGCTCGATAAAGACGCGGCTGGGACTTGCAGATTTGCTATTGTTCGATCTTGCATCGCAACGACCGATCTCGCGATGTCGGTTCTTCGATTGCCTGTCGAGGCTCGTAACCTCTCCGATCCACCCGTGCCTGCTGATGGTCGATGCCTTTTTGTATGGTTATCACGACCCGCGGCAACGGTCGATGCCGATGGGCTGATCTTGGATGATTACCGCTTGCGATCATTCCAGGACCCTCGTTATCAGCCAAACTCTATCCTCGACGAGATGATCAGATGAGGATCAGGGACTGTTCTTCGTCCACGCGATGACGATCGGGGCTGGGTGGATCGAACAACAACGACGATCGTTCTCGATCCACGTGAAGGCCCATTCCGGACGACAAACCAGCAATCAGCTGCACCTGGCGTTTCCTGCAATCTCCCGCTCGTCCGGCCGGCATCATTCAGCTGGTGGAGGCTGGAGAGGGGGGGCGACGCAGACTGAAAAAGGCTTGCCAGGAAAAAAGCCCCTGGGAAGACATCGGGGATCTCATGGCGAGGCAGTTTGAAAAGAGGCGGGGCCACTCACGAGAGGGGCGCGCGCATAAGGTCCCGCGAACAAAGCATCGCATCGCGGCCCTGGCCTGACCCCTGGAGTATAGGGGCGGTCGTATCTTCAAATCTGGATCAGGGGGCTGATTGGGAACGAGGGCTTTGGGCTTTTGATGGCGGCGAACAACAGCGGTTCTCCTCGTCCTGGGGATCGTTTCTTTGAATGATGCAGAGGCGGTAGACGAGGCGGCGAGTGGCAGTTTTGTGGCGAACGACGATCGTTTGCTTTGTGGCGACCGATGCCGATTCCATATATGACTGTCGACGACGCGGAATTCCAGTGATGGCCGACCCGTCTCGACCCCTGGAATGTGGTTTGCAACGACAACAGCCTTGTTCGACTCTCTTCTCCTCGTTTGAGTTTCATAGTGAGTTTCATAGGAGCCAATATCGACAGTGTCTACAGCACCATTTGTTGATTGCTGTGTCGATCCGCCATTCCTCAGATACCTCTCGCAGCTGGTCTGCCCATAGGAACCTACGCTCGCTGGACGTCCGTTACGATTCCTCTTCGGCAATTTTAGAAGGCTTTTTTTCATAATATCGATCAGGACAGGCTTCCTTCGACAAATCACAATCTCTCTCTCAACATGTGGGCCGCTTCTTTGATTTCCACCGTACTCATCTGCGCCGGCGCAGTCACCGGACGACCGGGTTGGCACTTGGACGAGTTCTTTCCTCTGGCTTCTGAGCAGCTGGATACCATCGTCAGCCCTAACGCGCAGTCCAGTCATATGCACCGTATCTTCGGTGAGTTCACGCGCGGCCTGAGACATCTACATGGCGATATCGATATCTCGACGCTCATGCTCTTCCTGGACGTCCTACAGGTGCCTCCGGTTTCAAGGCTGCTTTCAACTTTGACGACAACCGAGCGTCATCATGTTCGTCGGTCGCTTTCCAGGCCGACATGTCCAACTACTGGATGCCTCGTACGTATCGCATACGACATGGACGCGCGTGCGAGCCGAGCTGATTATGTGAACACGAAACGTTTCCGCCTACGGCTCGACAGAACTCTACTGGGTCGACGACACTCCCTCTGGCAAGCAGTTCGCTCCCTTGGGCGTTACCAGCCGTGTCTACTACTTCTTGTCCGAAAACACCCCCAACTCGAACGTCTCGGCCTTTCCCGATGGTCTTCGAATCCTGTCCGGTAACCCGAACGCCAAGGCGTCGACGGGTCAATACGCTTTCAGTTGTCAGAGGAACCGAAACCTGACCGATATCGTTCAGGGGCCCGACTTCAACTTTGACATGGACTGTCCTTTCGGAATCAAGACCAACATGTACTACGAGAACTGTTGGAACGGCAAGGACCTCTGGCTCCCTGGGAACGCTCACATGAGCTACCCTGCGGGAGGCAACCCTAGGTTCGGACCCTGCCCTTGGTCCCATCCCGTCCGTGTCCCCTCGATGATGTTGGAAGCCGTCTGGCTTCCGGGCGACTACGCCCCTGGTTCCAAAGTCAAGGGTCACCTCGCCTGGGCCAACGGTGATACCACCGGGTACGGTTTCCACGCCGATTTCACCAACGGTTGGGATCGGGACGTCTTCCAGCGGGCGCTCGACTCGCCTGCTTGTTACGGAAACGGTGACAACATTGCCATGTCGGCCTGTCCCGTCTTTGCGGCTTCGATGGACGTCAACAAGGCCAGGGCCTGTCGACCCACTGCAGGCACCTTGATCGAGCCTACCGGAGTATTGGAGAACGCTGCCATATCTGCTCTTCCCGGATGCAACCCTCTCTGTAAGTCACACGCTATTGTATCCCCGCTTTCAGAGCCAAGACTAATCCGGTCACCTGTCTTGGCCAGGGGGGACCGAGCCTACCAAGCCGACCTGCAACCCAGCTGTTCCCAAGCTCGACGGTCTATCTAAGCTGTTGGGTACGAACGGACCCCTCGTCGCCAAAGCCGAGCAACAACGACAACTCGTCCTGCCCACCTCGGGTGGCTGGAAGCGTATCGGTTGTATCTCTACCGGAGGTCTGACTAACCAGATCAGCTACCAGGATACCGGCAGGTTGACTCAGGACCGTTGTACCGAGACCTGCCTCGAGTCGGGTTATCGTTACGCTGCCGTCGGTAACCACGCCGATACCTGCTACTGTGGAACCGGGATCGACCCAGGTGTCGCTTTCCAGGAGGGAATGTGCACGGTTCCTTGTCCCGGAAACTCTACCCAGACCTGCGGTAACGAGTACATCGTCGACGTCCTCTATGCGCCCCCCGGTACCGTCGCCACAACCAGCGGACAGGAGCTCCGAGGATGTTACCAGCCTTCCGGATCTCAATCCCTGACGAGCACCGCCTTCTACTCTTACCTGTCCGGCGCTCTTACCAAGCAGACCTGTGTTCAGGCATGTGTCAACCGAAACGCCACCTGGGCCATGACCACCGCGGGAGTCAACTGTTACTGTGGAAACGCCGACCTCGAGGGAGCCTCGGCCACCGGTGGAAACTACATCCCCATGGATCGATGCGATCGTCCCTGCAGCGGAAACTCGAGCGAGATGTGTGGAGGTCAATACGTCGGTAGTCTTTACAACCTCAGCGCCTCTTCGGTGCCTGTCGCCCTGCCCAACAAGCCGACCGGTTGGTTGGGTTGTTACTCGGGCGGTGGAAACGCCGTTAGCGACGTCACATGGCTCAACGGCAGTTTGACCGTCGCTTCGTGTGTCAACGGATGTAGCGAGATGGGTTACAAGTACGGTTCCGTCTCGGTCGGTAACAGTGAGTTCTTTTGTTCTGCCAGGCAACCTCCTTCAGCTCGTTGACTTATGCTCCCCCTTTTCTTCGCTTCAGAGTGTCAATGTGGCAATACCGACGAGAACTTTGGATCTCGTCTTCCTGCGAGCGAATGCACTACCCCTTGCAAGGGCAATGCCACCCAGACCTGCGGTGCCACTTACTACGCCGAGATCTACGACGTCGTCAAGGGAGCCGATTACACGTATGACCAGGTCAGGGCCACCTACCCGACCGGATGGATGGGCTGTTTCGCCAGTACCGGTAGCAACCAGCAGTTGACGGACTACTCTTGGAGTACCAACAACATGAACGTGGAGACCTGTAAGGCGGGTTGCGTTCAGTTCGGATACCCTTACGCCGGTCTCAACAACAAGAACACTTGCAACTGTGGATCGGAGCCGACCTCGCGAAGGATGCCCCACGAGAACTGCAACTTGGCTTGTGCTGGCAATTCGACCCAGTTCTGTGGTTCTTCCGGGTTCCTCGACGTCTACAACGTTACCGCCATGAACTCGGGCGACAGCTCTTCCTCGACGCCTTCGTCTTACGTCGGCTGTTACCAGGACGCCTCCAACCCTCGAGGGTTGAACTCGTACACCTGGACTTCCGACTCGATGACCACGGCAATGTGTCGACAGGGATGTCTCGAGCTCGGACCGTACCAGCTCGCTGCTACCGAGAGCGGAAACGCTTGCTTCTGTGGCAACAAGTGGGCCTCGGGCGGTATTCTTCCCGAGTCGTCTTGTGCTACCGCTTGCAAAGGTAACTCGAGCGCGGTGTGTGGTGGCAACTGGGCGGCTTCGGTGTACAACACGACCAACGCGCCCATCGCTGCCGCTTCCAAGGCTCCGGGCTGGCAGGGATGCTACCCCTCGGGAAGCTTCTCGGCTGCCTTTTACAATTCGCCCTCGATGACGTCTGCGTCGTGTCGAGCATCGTGTTCCGCTCAGGGCTACGCCTATGCTGCGACTCGATCGGGTACCAATTGTTACTGTGCTCAAACTCTCCCGGCGTCCAACACTCGTAACCCTGGAACCAACTGTAACGTCGCTTGCTCTGGAAACAGCACTGAAACGTGTGGAGCTGCCTACCTGGTCGATGCTTACGAAGTGAAATCGTTGGGCGCTCCCACTTCTGGCTACGTCGGCTGCTTCTCCGATGTCAGCAAGGTCAACAACGTCACCTACGTCAGTACTTACATGACTCGAGACACGTGCAGCCAATACTGTCAGGCCCGATCGTTCCCCTTCGCCATGACCACGTACGGTAACCGATGTTGGTGTGGATCCAACCGACCCGTTCAGCAACGAGCCGACTCGGACTGTTCGACCACCTGTACTGGAAACAACACCCTCACATGTGGAGGCAACAACCTTGGTTCCGTTGTCTCGCTCGCGGGCGCCAACGTATCGCCTGCCATCTCTCTCGCCGCCGATGACAAGGGCTACGTCGGATGTTTCGCCGAGGGCAACCCCAAGTTGGCCAACCTGGTCGTTACCGTCGCTACCAACACCCCGACCACGTGTCAGAGCACGTGTAAGGGATTGGGATATGCGGTTTCTGGTGTCGAGGCAGGAAACCAATGTTACTGCACCAACGCCTTGGTTCCCGGGTCGGGCGGATACCGAGTGGCGGACAGCGAATGTAACACCGCCTGTTCCGGTGACGCATCTCTCAAGTGCGGTGGATCGAACCGTCTTGCGGTCATGACCACGGCCAATGCTGCTCAGGCTCCCACTTCTAACGGTATGGAAGGCAACATTGGATGTTACACCACTGGCAACGTCATCGCCAAGGCCACCTACGACGTCGTCTTTAGCCCCATGACCCCCGAGTACTGCCGAAGGACCTGTCGAAACAAGGGCTCATCCGGAGCCTTCCTCCTCAATGGAAACCGATGCTTGTGTGGAACGGCCGCGGATGCTGGAGCCGTGCAGCCCGCCACCGTTTGCAGCACCCCGTGCAGTGGAAACAGCTCGGTCTCTTGTGGTGGAAGCGGTCAGGTCTCGCTCTACGACACTAGCGGTGCTGGAGCTCAGGCGCCAGTTCTCAGTCAAGCCGGATACGTCGGATGTTTCATCAACGACAACCCCTCGGCCTTTGACTTTTCGACCACCTCCAGCTCGAACACTCTGCAATATTGTCAACGTCTGTGTACCTCCAAGGGTTACCCGACGTTCGGTACCAGCGGAATCTACTGCAACTGTGGAACAAAGCTTCCCGCCATGCTCCAGCCAGAGGCCAGTTGTACCACGACGTGTCCTGGAGCTGGTTCGACCGACAAGTGTGGTGGATCTTCGAGGTTTAGCGTGTTTACCAGCAACAACAGCCCCAATATCGTCACCCCGAGCGTCAGTTCCGCCAGTTCGACCATCGCATCGAGTTCGGCGGCGTCCAGCTCTCGACCGGTGTCATCGTCCGCGGCTTCTTCTTCGGCCATCCTGTCTTCGACATTGGCTCGGTCTTCCACCGTGGTCACGTCGGTCGCCAGCGGTACTGCCACTTCTCGCGCTTCGTCCGTTGCGCCGGCGACATCTTCTGGAACCGCTATCAGAACCGGAACGACCAGCGCTTTCGGAACGAGCACTACGGCCGCTACTTCTACAGTCAGGACTAGTACCGCTGCAGGGTCGTTCACCATCAGGACCAGTGCTACTGCGGCTACCGGGACCGCCACTGTGAGGACGACTGCCGCAACCGGGACTGCTACGGTCAGGACCAGCTCAGTAGCTACCGGTACCGGAACCAAGACGCTCCCAGGCAATAACGCCATCGTGACCGATAGCACAACTGCAACCGCCGCTTCCAGCACTGCGGCGGCACCCAACCCGACCTCCTCGGATCCCTCGAACATGGGTTGTTACGCGCTTGACAAGAAGGTCATGTCGGCGTTCGAAATGTCGTGCTCCACCTTGGACCCATCGATGTGCAAGGTGAGTCGGCGACGTCCGCGTTGATTTTATCCCTCGAACTTTTCAAACTGACGTGCATCTCTCTCTTGCAGCTCCTCTGTCGATACAAGGGATTCGCATACGCAGCTGTCACTAACGGAGACACCTGTCTCTGTGGAACCGGCTCGATGGGATTGGTACAAGCGCAAGCGACGACCTGTAGCTCCAAGTGTACCGGAGACGCCAACCAGACGTGTGGTGGTACCAACTCGATGGCCGTCTACCGTACCAGCGATGTCGCCCTCCCCGCCATGGTCGTGAGCAGGAGCCGAAAGGCCAACCTGATCCGCAAGGTCAAGCTGGGCAAGAGCAACTCGCGTAGGGCCGGAGTGCATCGTATCTGATAGGGCGGTGATACTGTAGATACTTTGCCGATGATTTAGGGTTGTCAATGATGTTACGAACACATGAGATAGATTCGATAGGTTCGATTTGACTGTCGGCTTTGCCAAAGCGCAACGGGAACCATGACTAGCTCACAGCTCAAGCCATCGCATTCACGAGTGACATTGATTCAATACTGACTGAGCGACATGAGGCTGAGGGCCAAGCTGAACCAAGGCATTTGAGCAGGTGGTTCCAGATTCAGATACGCGCGAGAAGGCTCGTCGGCGAAGACCCAATCTTGACACCACTTGTGTATCCCCGAACCTTTCCACATACATATCTGAGAGCAAATTCTTCTTGTTGTCAATAATCGAGATGTTGCCGTTTTTAGGCAGCACAATGGTAGGGATGTTGCGTTGCGAAAAGATGAATCAGGTCCCCTTGCCAATTGTCCGGCATACTACAACAGGATGATAAGTAGGGCGAGACTTGGCACCATCGAGCGTAGCCCCAATTTCAAACATAAAATTGGAGTGAGAGTCTGTATTGTATTGGAGACAGTCGACCAGGGCTTCGAGGCTTCGAGGCTTCGAGGCTTCGATGAACATGGACCCTGAAGCCGGGACAGACCTTGATCTCATTTTCGCTTGCTGTTCAAGAGATCTTCCGGGTCTCGTCTTGTTGGTCTCACCAGGTAAAACCAGCATCGGCAACATCTATTTTTCAGCACCCGCGGCTGGTGATCGTCTCTCGATGCCGACATTCAGATGATGTGATTATGGACGGATGTTGACCCTATAATAATGTATATACTGTACATCATCCGGAGAGTAATGTCACGTTGTGAGCCACGTCTGTCGATATCGCCGAATCGACCTTATCATGCACTTTCCTCAAAAGCTCAGGATCATGTAAAGTAAGAATATGACTCGGGGATCCCCTAACCCCTAACCCCTAAGAGGACGCACGTCTGCCCCCACACACTCGAGGACTTAGGTAAGCGAATCGTTACAGTAACAGGTGACCCAAAGACCTCACACCGCGCTTGATCACTCGACAAAATACTTCACCGGCGCACGGCTCGCAGATGACCATCATCGCTTGTTTACCCTGACAATGGTGCGTATTCGATTCGAAGTCCATTAGACTCGATCCTTGATCGTATGGCTCGGTTCTTGCTAGACCACGAGGCCACGATAGGCAAAGGGTCGATCGCGAATCTGCTGTATCGCAGGTTGTCTAGTGTTTCGAAGTTATACTTGTTTCGGTTCGTCACTGCCGTTCTGATCACGGCATCGCTGAGGCTTTTACGGCACGATTCTAGCCCTCAATCGGACGAGGAATCCACCGAGCGAGAGAGGGGAGGATGGAGGGGTTTTCGATCTAGATCGGATCGGTTCCGGAGAGAGCTGGCAGCTGGGGATCGATCTTTTCTTGGATGACGACCCAAGCTCCAAGATCACTTGCCATCATTGTAGATTTCCAGGCCGACATGTCCTTCGCTTTCTGTCTACGTCGACAAACATGCAGGTGGGCTTCATTCGACCTTGCGACTCGTCCACCCTCGCCACCTCTATCTCACTCATGCGGGATCCGCTCCGCCTCCGCGCCCTCCACCGAATGACCGAACCTCCAGTTGCGAGTCAACAACTTTTTTCGAGAGGTGGCACCGAATCGATGCCGGTGGATGACGATTATTGATGATCAATCACAGATACAGTGATACACGTGTGACCGAGGGTGGACCCATGCCCCCTGCCCACGCTGTATGTGTTTCGCCGACTTACAGCGCAAGACACTGGGCTCGGGGCCGCGATTTCCCATCTGTCGAGGCCTCGGTGGAGGACAGTGGTGCGCCGCATTCGCCCTTCGCGCTATCTTTCCTGCTCGCCTCGAGGTCCGCGGTCGATAGAGCGATGGCGACGATGGCGATGCCTTTTTTCATTTCACGTCGTAACGTCCGGGTTCGGTGAATCGTAATCTAGATGGAGGGAATGCGCCGCATCTCTTTCGAATTTTTCGCATGCCTTCGGTAATCTCGGTTCCAGTGTCGAAATGCGTTTGCTATATATAGAGAGAGGCGAGAACGATTTCCTAGATCGTCAGGGTGTGTTCGAACAAGGATCGAACGAATAGCATCTCTAATTCTCTAACCTAATTCCCATCTGCCTATCGCGTATCGCACGCACACTACACCTCTGATCACTCACTGCGGAAACAAACCTCGACCTCGACCTACTGTAGAGTATCACCATGTTCACACCAACTCCTCAGACTCAGGAAGAAGCTTTTACCTTGATCACCCGTGAGCTCTACTTCAAGCGAGACGCTTGTCCGAACCTTGAGTGAGTCCGATCCCCCCCCCCCCCCCCCCCTGTAGCCCTATACACACCTCGGCATTGGTCCGTCCCGATGTGCAGGTCGTACAATAGCCTCGCCCACGCCATCTCTCCATCAAATCATCAATCATCAACGATACCAACATCGTACTAACCCAACCTACCTTTCTCGCACACCGATCTTGCAAATTGTAGATACGCAGTGGACGTACTCGATCGATACGTCACCTCTAAACGTCAGGCGGGACGGTCGGACCTCGAAGTACGAGTAAAGTTGGGGTCGTTAGAGAGGAAGTTAAGGGGGGAGCCTAATGTGAGTTTGTCCTTCTCCTTTTTCTTTCCCCTCTTCATATCCTCTCCCGCTGTATAGATGATAGGACGTAAAAAAGGAAAGAGCGATTGGCGGAGACTGACTCGGACTACAATTCGGTCACTTCTTTCGGATCCTATAGGCTCCACCTGCTTGGCTAGACAAACTATTCCAAGAGACCCACTCCCGCTCGAACCTCTCATCCCCATCCCCATCCTCATCCCCATCCTCGTACTCATCCTCAGGGCGTCTCAACTGGAAATCCCTCCCTCTTCCCCTTCGTCGTTCTTCGGCCGATTCTACCAACTCGAGCTGTAATTCAAGTATCAACATCCGACGATGGGCGGAAGGGAGGGAATGGGACGAGGCGCCGCCGGCTTATTATAGCTATTAGACCCGGCTTGGCTGGGAGTTGCTTGCTAGGAGGCTGCGGTGCAGAGGGAAGGGCAAAGGGCAGGGGTTGATGTGCAGCGAGGATCGGGGATCGGGGATGGAAGGTCCGAGGGGATCAATTATATGGAGGAGACCCGAAGCTAGAAAGAAGGCAGAAAGAAGGATCTCCGCCAGTAACCTTTCTCCAGGCTCGGGCGATGAAATGGATGATCCAACACCACACCCCACACCAACACACTGTATCGAGTATTGTAGAGTATTGAACGGCCGGTGATCATACTATGACCGGCACATAGAGCTCCGTCGACTCTTAACATTATTGTAATCGTATATGTAAATGCGATTCCTCGCGAAATGACAATCTTGTTCAATAATGTTGAATATGTTGTCTACGTCTTCCTACTGTAGGGGCTGTCAGCGTCGATCACTAGGGTAAGGACGTCCGGTGCCGGCCCGGAAACCCTCGATATACACTGTCGTCAATTTAGACGATCGCAGCCTCGAAGGCCTTCAAATCGAGGAGGTAGTCTTGTCTCGCCTTGGCTTCCTTGTGAATTGTGTCGTAGCAATCCCGCTAGACGTCATCTTCCCTCCATCTGTAAGTGGACACCAAACACGTCAACGCAGTTCCGTTCCGGGACTTGCTAGACGACTTACGCTCGAAGACTCTGTCGCTGCCCTAGATCGCTCCTCGTCTCCGCCAACATCCTCAGATACATCTCTGCTAGTACGAGACTGCCCGGTATACCCGGATGCAGCTCGTCCTTCAACCACGAATCGTCCTGGCCGATCATGTGGTCCGCCCAGTGCAAAACGTCCAGCCCGAGCTCTTGTGCCACCTGCACCTGAGCTCGTCTCAATTGCACGACCCGAAGTCTGGTAAAAGGCGCTCGTCTGACCCCTCCAGCGTTCATGTTGGCGGAACGGAACCATCCTCCGGCGTTTTCACGAGGGTCGTGGATGGTCCTGATGACCACCTTGGCCTGCGACCATGCCGTCTGTACCCGCTCGACGTACATCCTCAGCCGGTTCTTGAAATCCTCCAACCATTCTTGGGGCAAGCCTATCTCGTCGTCCGACGAGTGTAGGTCATACGCTGTACGCTGATATCTAGCCAGTTCCCACAGGCCGAAATTGATAAAGACGGCGTGGTAGGTATCAGGTTCGGCGCCCCACATGGTCTTGACCTTTTCCAGCCTGTCTTGCGTTCGCCAGGCTGTGACCTCTTGGTGCGACGCTCGATCTTCCCATAGATCGTCGTCGTCCGTGCCGTACATGTGCATAAAGTCGACCCGGAGTTGAGCTTGGGCGCGCATCTTTGCTTTCGCCACCAGCTCGACTTGGGCTTCGTTGCGCCCACTGCTGAGAAATTCTGGGGATTGATTGACATCGACGTCGTTGGCAAAGTCAAACTCTTGCTCAGTGGTTCCCGGCGGAGGCACGATGGGGATGACCATCATCCTCGGCGCCCCCTGAGTCCATCCAAACTCCTTCAGTACCCTCGAGTCGTCCATATCGCACTCGGAAAAGTACCTGGCATCGTTCGTGACCTCGTCTCGCAAGTACATGAGCATGTACCGATCCACGCTGTCTCCAAGGATGAGGGCGCGTTTGCCGGCGAGGTCCCCCAAGACGGGCGATCGGCTCTCGATAGGAGAACGACTGGGCTCTTCTTCTGATGTCTCAATCTGTCGGCCCTCTTCAGCTGCGGCTCGATCGAGCTGTCGAAGAAGCGTTACATAGGCCATCGTGTTGTCGTGTTGTCGCATAAAATGCTACTGCCAACGGTGCGGATCTCGTCACATCGCATGTCGAGGCGCTCGTCCCGTTCTGCACTGACAGTGTAGTACGATGCGAATGGGTCATTGCGGTCCAAGCGCATGACTCCCCCGCCGGAGAACCAGGCTGATGGAGGACTCGGAGGATCCGTAGATCGTGACCATCGATCCCAGTACGACGTCGATGATGGCGGGACGAACCGGATCGAGATGGTTTCATCCAACGATACGGCCAGCCAACAGAACAGAATTATGCAAAGCGTGCATAGCCCCAGCACTTCGATCTTGCGATGGGGTATTCCGACGACATAGGCCATCACGGGAGGTTGATTGCAGCAGGTCTTGCGAAGCGCAAGCTGGTGCGACGCTCGCATGAGGAAAGACCGATCGAGGGCATCGACTTTAACCAGGTACTTCGACAGTGCCACTCGAGCCAGAGGATTACTTCGGAAGACGAAAGATACTCCGGAGGTGGAGCCCCGAACCTAAAAGTCTCGGGAAGAGGAAGCGAATATGGTTCCATGTGATCTAACGAGGTACGGCAGGAAGTAATTTCCGATCAGCCGCGCTTGAGTCGCAACCGGAAGCGAACGATGTGAAACGAACAGGAGAGCAAAGAGCTCGAGCTGATGCGCCGATACAGTGCAAGCTAGCGGTGAGGTCGTTCAGAAGTCGCTGAATGTAACGGCTCTGGACTTGTCAACGGGTGTCCTGGGATGCCCGAAAGCTCCGAACAGAGCTGAACCTGTCGCTCCGAAGCAGGACAGGCGCGCAGTCTCGATCCCGTTCACTTTCTCCTTTATTGCGATGGATTGTGATGAACTAGCCCCCACTTCATCGGCTCGGTCTACATGCTCGCGAAATCTCATATCGTTACATCATCCAAGGGTTCCGAACCCAGCTGACTAAGCTGATGAGCGACTTGCCGGATGGCCAAGAGTTCCTGCTCTCTCCCCGGCAAAAAAGCGTCTTCGAACGGGATTGTCAACGGCCCATCATCATCCGGGTTCACTTCTGTTCCTTCTTCTGTGTACTGCTTCTCGATCGACAGGCATCGCGCCTCCCAATCGAATACGTATGACAGACGTTCGAGAGATGGTTCCGTCAAAGCATCCACAGGGAGTCGCTGCAGTTGCGAAAATACATCGACTCGTCCTTTATGAGAGTCGTGGTACTTGAGCTGGGTACGGACGGAGATCACCATGTCAGCCGCCGAGTTGGATAGAAGCGCGACGGGATGCTAACCATGTTCGCGTGAGCGAACCCCGGCTCTGGATGATATCTCGTATCGTCTGGCGCATCCGGCGGTGTCAACCCCCACTGAAGCATCAAAGACCGCCTGTTGAGCTCAGTTCGTTCGACACAGTGGAGTGGCAACGACTCACCTGAAGCATTGTGTGCCCACAGAACTGCTCTTGTCTGGTACCGTTTCGGTCTAGGTATCCACCCAGAGGCGAGTAAGATCGACCACTAGTCGGAGTCGGCAAGCCCAGAATCTTGAAGGCGTATCTCCAGGTGTCTTTGTCGCCGTAGCTAAAGTGATACCAAAAGTCGCCCTGCGTCTGCATCCGGTCTGCGAGCAACAGTACGGCTTGATTCCAGCCAAAGTTGCCCGTCCGATCGAATAGCACCTGGCCCGTCTCTTGAGCCCAGTCACCTCCACATGGCTCGCCGATGATACGCCAGATCGCATTGGCAGCTTCGATCGAAACCACGGTGGTCCTGGTAAGCCTGTCGTCAAGCCTTGCCATCGGACGACTACGCACAATGATCCTTGTAGATGTCTGGCCAGAAAACGCTGCCTTGACTAGCATACTCGACTGCATCAAAGTATTGCGAGATGTTTTGCAGCGGAATGCTATCCGAGTCGATGTACAAGAATTCGTCGAACGAGTTCCGCAAGAAAGCCCTGCCCTTGATGTCTGGATGTGGGAGAAGTAGAACATTCATTCAGCCTGAGGTTCCGGTGAAACTGGCTGTTTTCGGTCGATCACATCGTGTGCCATGGTATACATACAGTGTCGTTTCGCCCCAGTCTTCTTGCCTTGAATCTGCGGTCAAGCTTGATCAGTCTTGGTACAACGAGACCGAATCGCCCTACACTCACTGTTTTGAACGAAATCTTTCCGAACCTCTCGATCATCGCCTTGTCTCGCTCATCAATCAACTCGTCGGCGAACGAGAATATCTCCACGGGGATCTGGTTATGATAGACGTTCCTGACGAGATCGAGCGTCAAAGCGACCCGTCTCATCGTGCGCCCATTCCCGCCGGTCATGATCATCCCGCGAGTCTTTTTCTGCTTCGTTCTAGTCTCGGGCCAGATGACAAATTCTCCTCGTTTGTGAGCAGCTCGAAGCCAATCGACCAAGTCTTGCCTTGCGCGCTTGATGTCCCCGGTCGTAACCGAGGACCAGTACGCTTGTTGATCGACGTGGAAAGAAGTCTCGTTTCTCCCTCCCAGACCCGTTGGGCAGAGCGCTTCACCCTGCCGGGCCATGTCCTCTGCGCTGGGGATGGGAACGTTGATCCATTCTTCGAGTCGGGTGTCCAGCGCGATCCATTCTTCAGCGATGTTCGACCATCTCCACGGTGTGGGAATACCATATGCCGCTTTATAGTCGACGCCGACATGGTTGTGCCATCCGGTGAATAGGATTACTACGCTGATGGTAATGAAAACGGCGCAATGGATCCAGCGTGAGCGAGATCGATTCGCCCAAGGTGCTGTCTGTAACATGCTTTCCAAGGATATTCCGAGGGAGATGGACTAGCCTCGATCGGATCGCCCGAATGGATAGTGTCGGTGAGAATCATTCTGCGGTCCCGGCTTACAGGTATATCAGGCTCCTGTCGACCTGAAGGCTCCCGCTGCGCTCCGGAGACGAGACGAGCCGTAGCAATCGAGCGATGGCACTATAGAACATATAGGCAGAGGCCGTCAGAGGCAAACACCCACCCATCGACCAGGCGGGAGCCAAGACGACAGATATCTGTTCAGCCGCGGCGCTCTCACGATCAAGGTTAAGGTTTCGGCGGCGGATTGATCCCGTTGAACTCGGTCTTCAGGAGAGGCGGGAGGTTCGTGTCCTGTATGCGTTGACAATGTTGGGGGGGACACGTTTGATACAGATCATAGCGTAGTCGGCATGGACTAGGACATCAACTTGGGTTTAGGTTACCAGGTCCTGCATGTCCGACCCAAAGACCCACGTATGATACGTACGATGCCGGTCGCACCGTTGTGTCAGTCGACGATGGCTGAAACGGGAGATACGAGTGGCGCGCGGAAAAGCAGCCACGAGGTCATAGGTTGACCCCATAGACAGCAGACTGGCAAGCCAAAGTGCGAGAAGAATTCACCCGGAACCGAATGGAGATTTTTCCATCGCTACTAACCCGCCAGACTCATCGCTGCGCTCGTGTAATAGCAGGAAAAACAATCGGCGGCATAGCAGCCTGACCGAAAAAGCGTGTGATCATCCGCGCTCGGGCAGTTTTTCTTCCGATCCCGCTATCGGCTTTGTCGCATGCTTCACCCGCTACCTACTTGGGTCCGAGAAGCGCTGCCAAGTTGTAACACTATAGGCCTTGATTGTTGTTGTCATCGAGCTGGGGCGAGTCTGGTATAAAGGTAGCCTGCCGTCCGTCCACGATGCGATTCGTCTGTGAGCTGCGAGATGGGCGCTCTGCAACGACATGTACGGCGGGATCATCCATAGCAATCGCCACGAAATTGATACCAGAAGGATGGCAAGACAATCACTCTCTCCGATCGAGCAACTCAAGCCTCGGACGAGCGCTCGGAACCTCAGTGGCCTGTTGCGATACATCACTGCAGCGCTGGCACTGCTTCTGACGCTCAACTCCATCACCCATTTCAACACGACGAGCGCACCTTTTCAATGGTTCTCGCTCCTGCTCCCATCGACGTCGAACGATGGCCTCCATCCGACATACTTGCGCCACCTGGCCTCGTCTCTACAAAAGACTGAACATGGCGGCCTGTCCCCAAAGTTGGGGCTGAATATCGGTCGGTATGCAAGAGTCGATCCACTCTACCCCTCGGGTTATCAATGGATCGACTCGGACACCCGCGAACCGTTCCACAAGGACTATCGCCGCTGGGCCAATACCAACAATGCCATCTCACGATTACCTCCCGGGAGCGGCTTCGACGCCCTCGTCGTCGCCCGAGGTATGTCGAACGAGTACCAATCTGCCGAGGACCCGCAAAGCGACAAGACCTCGTGGTTGCGCAATAGCACACTTATCGGGTGGGTGTTTATGGGCCTCGAGATCTGACGTTTTTTGTGCTAAACGGATCATACAATTTGCTACAACCTGGCGCCACCAGATTCTATGCAAACTTTGACGAAAAGGCAAGCATTTGGAAGCGGGCGGGTCCTGCGCCTTACGTCTTGGACCTGCCAGTCTGGCGCCAAACGCCACGCCCCTGCCTCGATCGAGTCGAAGCAGGTCCGGAAGATCCGCGCCTAATGTGGACCGACGAGGGACAGCTCTTGCTCGTCTTTGGAACCACGTCACAGGTATCCAAAGTCTGTCGTTCGATGGCCGTCGTCGACCTCCGTGTCGTCTGGCCCGAGTTTGCGGATCTGATGACTCGGCTCGGACATGGCGACGTCCCGCTTCGTATCGAGGCCGTCACCGAACTGGGCAAAGAGGGTCCCAAGGAGCCTTACGAGAAGAACTGGGCACCGTTCTTCGCTGGCGCATCGGCGCCTTCTCGTCGAGCTCGTATCTACCGGCCCTGGTTCGACTCGTCGAGCGAAGGCTTTACGCCGTCCAACTTTCCGCAGTTTCACGCCAACGTAGTCCCCTCGATCGTTCTACAGACGGCGAGCGATCCGGACCTCCTCGCATTGCCGGTAGAAAAGGTAGCTTTGACGGGCTCGACCACAAAGACCGACTACATGACCCTGGTCGAATCCGAATCATCCACTCCGTCGATCGCCAATGACCTCCTTTCCGAAGCTGCAAACACCTGCTTTCAAGCGAGCTTCCCAAACTTTCAAATCCATTCGATACATCAAGCTACGCCGTATTACAGGGTGACTCTGTGTCCTCGCGGGACTTGCAAGCCGGACTCGACCAACACCGTCCTGTTCGCGTTGGGTCATCTCAAGATATCTTGGAACGAGTACAGAAGGTAAGTTCATCGTCCCCTTGCCGAGAATCGGCACATCCATACTGATTTTATACCTTGCCACAGATTCTTCATGACGCTTTCGGTGGATGCACCACATGCGCCTATATCCGTTTCTCAGCCGGTTCATCTAGGTGAGCATCGTCCCGGGGTGCTCTAGTCTGGCCCATTAGTCGGGGTACTGACAATGCCTGACTTGCTCGCTTGTAGGCTCACACGAGTTCGACTCGGGTGTAGTCTTTGCGGTCAGCGCGGCATTCTTCCCCTCGTCGCATGTGTTTGGTGGTTCGGACGGCGCCAATGACAATACCACGGAGAGCGATCCTTTCTTCAAGCAAGAATCGTGGGACCCGTCTCCGGAATCACACCTCGGCCACGGGTGGTTGGACGATACCCTCATCATCGGAGCCGGTTGGAAAGACACCGAAATGGCTTCGTTTCACATGCCGCTAGCTAGCGCTTTGAAACAGCATCGTCTGTGTTGATGGACTTTATTCTGTTCGATCGAGGGCGTCTTGGGATATTGCGTGTCGTTCTCTGTAGGATCTGCATAGACCTGTTGACTCAGGAGTAAGGTTGTAACGCTATCATAATATCATCGACTTTTGCGTATACCGTCGAGAAGGTGCCAGGCCAAAGCTTCCGTCTGAGGGTATCATCACGGGACTGTTTTCTCGCTAAGAGTTGAACGACTGGAAACTGGTCTAGGTGCCGGGCCTTGAGCGGAAGCACAAGACACTGTAGGTCTTGAGAAGACTTTAGTACTTGGAAGTTGGGACTATTCGATCCGTCGTGCAAAAGATACTACAAGCCGGATATGGCATCTGTTCGTCACCACCGCGCACTCGAAAACAACATAGCGGGAAGATGATTAATGTTACACCTGACTGAAGATTACATCTATAGGATACAACATTCGGATCGCATTCCAAATTTAACGACTAGATGCCCTGCTTGCGTGATGCTATCCTATCGTACCCGTCGGCTAAATCCAATCCTCCAATTTCCGATGGTACCGCTCACACGTCTCGTGAGGTGGAGCTTCGGCGCAGACGAGGAACGCAACGAGCTTGTAAGTATTGCGATATGCATCTAGAGATTCCCCACCCATAGTCACGCGAGTCGTTCCTCTCTCTGTCATACTTCTATACCGTAACCCTCCATGATACAAAGCCGAAGGAAATGTCCCATTCTACACATCGATTGTCGAGGGGGCGTTACATGTAGTCGTGATTCCGTGATTCGTCCAGCATCATGTGGAACATTAGATCGGCCCAATAGTTCTGGACTCCCACGCGGCACCAGTGCAAGCAGTCGTTGCCAGGGGCTGCAAGAAGGATCGATCGAACGCATGTAATTCAGTCACGTCGAAATTTTGCGAGGTAGGATGTGCGATAGTAGCAGTGGTAGGTAAAACTCCACCACGCCACTCACCCAAATGCGCATCGGCCCGCTTGGCAGACATCGGCCAGACGTCCATCACCCGGAAACCGGGATTACGTCCAGCGGAATCGAGCTCGGGATCCGCCATGAAATCAAAGGCCCCAGGCGCTCTGCTCGATGATCGGGCCTTCCACATGATCCCGTTGAAGGAGGAGAACGTGTTGCTGCACAAGACGCGAGCGAGAGGTATATACGTAAGTTTGTGTGTATGTGAGAGAAAGGTAAGACGCCGGGACTCACTAGTTGTGTGCGTTGGCTCGAATATCAGCCTCGGACCTGAACCCCGTCTGGTAGTTGTCCGCTGCGAACGTTGCCCGCAATCTTGTTCAGTATCAACGGGGCGGCTAGCTGATATCTCGCATGCCTCCTGCTCACGTTGCCAAGCTGTCGCACAGCCTACATGACCCGGCGCCATCGTCCTGATCACGGGGGAGAGGGGGATCGGAGCGTTCCTCAATTTCTCCTCCATCATGTTGACCTACGACGCGACGGGCAAAGGTTCGGTTTTCCCAGGTCAGCGAATTTGTAACGATAGCCGCCTCGGTCACGGGGAACTACGCAGGTGATACTAACGATATTCTCCATCCCTTCTAGGTAATCGAGAGGGGTCAAGTCTTTACCCAGTTCGTACCAAACCAGATGCGCCCCGAGGTTCAATACGATCATCGTGGGTTCCTCCAACGCCTCGCTATCCGGCCTGATGAACACCTCTGTCCTAGTCGCTTGCTCGATCATCGGTTCGTACCAGTCCTTGCCGGTCTCCCTCTCCGGGTTCAGGCTGTACCGGTCCCCGGCAAAGGCGAACGCGGAGACTTTTTCCAGGTCGGTGGCGAGGTGGTGATGTCGCCAGAACTTGATCAAGGGGGTACGGAGCCTGTCCTCGGTCACCCCGGCTTCGGCGAGTAGGGAGGGGATCTCGGGGTGGGAAGGGACGAGGTGGAGACCGTTCTCCCACATCCCGCTAGAGGTCGCTTCGAGCAGACCGTCGGTGATGTCTCGGCCGAACATGGTGATGAGGACCTGACCTTGATGTTCGGTGATCGAGTCCCCGATCAGCCTACAGTAATGTCGCCCAGACCGCGACGCATAGTATTTTACACGGAGGGTCAGCTCGCTTGGTACCGCTTCCCTTTGGACTCGGCGCGGCAGGGGCACTCACACGAGCCCATTCCTACTCCTCAACAACCGTTTGATCAACCCCCTTCTATCAGGCTTCAACATCGTACACCTCCGAAACCCTTCCTCCTCGTCTTCGTCCTCTTGCGTCCCGAGTTCGTCTTGTCTTAGCGGTTCTCTACTACTACTACTCCTGCGTGCGCCGTTGTAGCTTCTTCCCTTCTCCTTCCGGCGAGGGACCAAGTACGGACTGGCCACCTTGATCGTCCGGACGGTGGTATCGGAGAGATCGTGAGAGGTCCCGTTGGTCGATGATATCGGACTACAGGCGTTGTTCCATTCGGGCTGGATGGTACACGAGACGGTAGATGTCAGTATCATGCGCCCAGTCCGGGTACTTTAGAAGAGAAGGCAGGGCAGAGAAGGAAGGGATGGCGTCGGCACAGAGAGGCCAGGAGTGATTTCGACTTACAGCCAATTGATACCTCTCAGTAACCTCCTCGAGAGACCGGAGCGGCTTGTCATCCAACCATTCTCCGTAGACGATATCCTCCACCGAGCAGATGTTATTGTCGTTGTCGTTGTCGTCGTTGTTGTAATTATTGTTGTTATTGTTGTTGTTATTGTATCTCCAGGAGATGGTGTTGGAGTAATAATCTGATCCGAACATGACGGTGAATCCGTTCGGGGTCCATCGGAGCGGGAGGTCAAGGTCGAGGTTTTGGGAGAGGATGCCACCTAGGAGGACGGACGTAAAGACGAATATGAGGAGGACGACGGCGATCCTTATAAGGGCAAAGTTGCGCTGGCGGGTCATGGTCGAGAGGTTGGGTTGGGTGGAGCCAATGATTTCGGTCAAGGCGAGGCGAGGCGAGGCAGAGTATAGCACTGCACGGTAGGTCTTAGAGAGATTGAGAAGGGTCTGACGAGAGGGATGCGAGGTTTCGACGATATGATATGAGAGTCCGACGCTGATACAATAGTGATATAGTGATCAAGGGATCGGGGGGAACGGCGATGCTCAGACGAAAATTCGTGCCATAATAATGTATTCGGGGAACGATGAGCAGCAAAAACTTGACAGGTCTGCATTACAGGTCGATGGACTCCCGGAATCGGTGAGACGCAGGAGGCGACCTTTCCAAGCCACCGGGCGCGCCCCTTCTTGAAACGTCTTTGATCTCTGAGCGCGGGCTCGCGTTGAGTGTCGTGTCGCCCCGAACCCGGCAGAGTTCAAAGTCCAAAAGCCTCCGGCGCGCGCTGTGCCTGATCGACCGTAAGCCGGATCCGGATCCGTTGTTTCGTGGAAGCGAGACCCCTAAGCGGACAGCCAAGTGTTTCACGAGTCCGCCCTCTTGCGTGTACCAAGTGAATGCCGTCAGATGATCCTGCATATTCGTTATGGTGGACATCTGCCCACAACGCCGGGTCCGTCTTTGCCGGGGTTGATGCCGAGATCTTTCGCTCGGCCGAGCGGACCGAGCGCCCGACGATTTGTTGGATATCGATCGCATAGAGACAGATAGGGGTAAAGCGAGGGGCGAGGGCGAGGGCGAGGACGGCAAAAGACTGGGATCCTCCAACCGCAGCCGCACTCTTTCCGACGAGAGAGATGTCGATGTGCAGGTTGATATTATTATTACCAAAGTCACATCATCGGAATGCTCTCCTAACGACCGCGACCGACCTCTTTGCGAACGAGATTCGGGAAAATATAAATATAGATCAGACTTGATACTTGATACTGAATCGGACGGACAGGAAGCCGCTATCACGACCCGTCTCAGAATCAACAACTGACAAGAAACAAGAGACACGCATAGTAATCAGACGAGGTCCCTTGAATTCGAATTCGCTGATCTATCACTGGGTGGCAAGTTCGACGACCCCACATGCACGACCACCCTGAACGACGGTACGAAGGGCCGGAGGAGAAGGAAGATGAGAGCCTCTACGCCACCGAGACGAGGACGACGACGGCGACCTCTCTGGACGAAAAGACACGCCCACGCCCACGCTCGCAATCGCAATCGCAATCCCCCTTGGACCCAAAGTTGAGACCGGGTTTGAAGACCATAGACGAGTCTTCATACGGTCACAATATCAACTACAACTACAACGCCGAGGAGGATATCGCACCCCTAGACCAACCCGCCTCGATCCAAGCGATCACGGATAGAGAACCGTTCCAGGTCTTAGCGAGGCATATCTCTGGGATCAGTCAGACGGGAGCAGGGCCGGCGCTCGATCCACCGCCGGATGGAGGGTGGGAAGCGTGGGGAGTCGTCGTGGGCGCTTGGTTTGTCCTCTTTGTAGGGTTTGGGATCATCACTTCGTTCGGACAGTTTGCAGAGTATTATATCGTGAGTCTCTCCAGAGTCTTCTCCTGCTCTGTCTTTGGAAAGAGCTCGGACTCGGAAGCCGACACGTTGTTTTGGGATTCCTACTACCACCCCCTATCTTGCATCTTCCCCCATCGATACCGATACCGTACCTGCTGGACCCGACTCGCCTCAGAATAACCAACTGGCCAACCATACCCGCTCGGAGATCGCCCGTATAGGCTCCTTTTCCTGCTTCTCCGTCTTCTTCCTCTCCATCTTTTCTGGACGATGGTTCGACTCTCATGGTGCGCGAGCGATCGTCATCTCCGGTACGATCATCTCGACGGCTGCCCTCTTCTGCTTGGCCTTTTGCAAGGTGTACTATCAGTTCTTGCTGGCACACCTGCTCTTTGGGATAGGATGCGCGTTCCTCTATTCACCCTGTACGGCGGTCGTCGCGCACTGGTTCCTCAAACGTAGAGCTACGGCGGTGGGGATCATCCTCTGCGGATCAGGTCTGGGCGGGGTCATCTTCCCCATCGTCCTCTCCAGCCTGTTCCCCCGACTCGGGTTCAGGAAGACCGTACTCGTCCTAGCAGGCATGGCGGGGTTTTTGTTCTTGCCGTCCTGGTTCACCGTGAGGGCGAGACTGCCACCGAAACAGAGCATCCCGTGGTCCCATGCGGGGAGACCGTGGAAGGAGACCAAGTATTCGGTGTATGTCGCTGGGGTCGCGTTGATCTGGCTCAAGTGAGTGTCGTCGGGCGGAGTCCGTAGGGTCAGGTGTGGTCTGAAGATATAAGGAGGAGGCCATGCTGATCCACGTGAGACGGTGTGCCAGCTACTTTACGCCGTTCTTCTTTGCCAACGATTTCGCGGCGAACAACAAGGTGCCGAAACATATCGCCACCTATACCGTCACAGTGAGTCCCTTCTCCTTACTTGCGAGCGAGACCCAATCGCTCACCGGGACGAATCGACAGTTCCTTCAAGCCGGATCGTTTTTCGGTCGAGCGCTGTCGGGTCCCTGTGCCGAGCGATGGGGTGCGATAGAGACGTTTGTGGTGAGCGGGGTGTTGAGCGGGATCATCATCCTGGCGCTCTGGACGACGGCTGCAGTGGGCACGGCCGGCACGATCGTCGGAGCGTTCTTGTACGGGTTGTTTAGTGGTGAGTCTCGTCGAGGTGCCCTGTAAATCAATGGATTCTCGTGGCGGGAGATCTAGGCTGAGACGTTGAATATGGTTTCGCAGGCGCCGTGATCGCACTGGTGGCAGCGTGCTGCGCCCAACTTTCGCCCGTCAGAGAGTTCGGGCTGCGTCTTGGGATGATGTGGTCGGTCGCCGCGTTGCCATTACTGGCAGGACCCCAGGTGTCGGGAATCATCATTCAAAAGGAAGGGAAATATACAGGAGCCTCGATCTTTGGCGGGATTACCATCATCGCCGGGTCGTTGTTGACGTTTGCGCCGGTGTTCTGGCGGAGATGGAGGGCGAGAAGGGGCAAGACTCAACGGGGAATTGAGGAGGACAAGGTCGTTGCGTAGACAATGCGACGAGGGTTGACGGCAGCGATTGCCCACCAAAATAGACGAATGATGTCACGACACAACACTGTATCCATATGACCATTGATTTTCCGCACTTTTTTGCCAATTTTTCGGGCTACAACTTGTTCGTCTTCGAGCATACTCGCTTTACAACCTGGCCTTGTCGGCAAAGACCTTTTCGTCGGGCTCGATCGTCCATCCGTTCAAGCTCGCATACATCGCCTGGGCTACCTGTCGGGGCTTTTCCTGCATCACCTGTCGGTGCGACGGGTTAGGGGGTCAGCGACGTGCAGAAAATTCAGTCGTAGGGCAGCTTGCCACTAACTAGATGGCCGGCCCCTTTGACAATGACATTTTCGGCTCTCGGTGGCCTCCAGACGATGTCGTGCGTGCGTTCGGAGCCTCCAGTGCTATAAACTCGCGGCAATCAGTCCCCGTCAATCGAGGCCTTTGGTAGAAGGACCAGGTTGGCGGAGAGACCTCGGTCACTCACGAACTCGGGTTCTCGGCCATGATGAATGTGACCTTCATATCCCGACGCAACTCGCTCAATTTGTCGTACCCGACCAACATCCCTGGTCCGCCCGCAAAGACAGTCGCCTCGGCCCATCTCGGGGTCATCAACCCGACGCTGCCCTCGTCCTGGTCCTGCTGTCCGGCGTACGTGGAGAATCGGGTCAACGGACAGAGGCCGTGTTGCAGGAACGAATTGAAGACCCTCTTATCCCAAGCTCGGAAGAACGGGGAACGAAGCAGGTCTTCCTCTGCCGCACGCAAGGAGGGCCAGGTGTCTCGTCGTCCGATACACGAGCGGACGAGCGTTTCGGCCACCCCGCCCGCTTCGTGCGATTCGAGAGAGCGGGTCATCGGGTCGACGAGGATGAGCGAATGGAACAGGTCCGGGAAGGCGTGAGAGGCTTGGACGCTACGCAGATCGGTCCCAAGGTTAGCTCGTAAGCCTAAGATAGGTCAACAGACTTTTTTGGGCTTACAGCGCGTTCCCTCCGATCGAATGGCCCACTCCGATGACCCTCCTCGCATATCCCCCTTGCTCGTCGTCCACACCTTCCTGCCTGTACTCTAAGTATTCAGGGACCTCGGCTGGGTCGATCTGGTCGGCGCGGGGTGGAAGACAGTTTCGCAGCAAGACGATCATGTCCCGGGCCTAGGGGGGTGTAGCAGATGAAGTTTTTACAGGGGTCGTAGGTTAGCTTACTGAGTACTAAACTAATGACGATTCAAATGAGCCCGATAGAGATAGCAGAGACAGGCCAGAATGAAAAATTTCGTGTGCAAATGCAAGGAGATCCGTCCATCGTTTCCCCGCATGTCACGAGCGTTCAAGAAGGAGACGAAGGAGGGGGGAACGAAAGACTCACCACGTCCTGCCAATCAAAGACCAGCCCGACCCGTCCGTCGTTCAAGAGGTAAGACTCGGCGTGGTTGTAGATGTCTACGAGGAGGATCTCGTCGATCTCCACCTCGGCCTCTGCGTCCGTCTCTGCCTGTCCATTTGCGGTCGAGCTATCTCCATCTCTATCTCTATCTGTAGTTATGGTTGTAGTTATGGTTGTAGTTGTGGTTGTAGTCCCGGGTGGAGAGCTAGTTCTAGCGTCCCCAATCTCAATCTTGCTACCGATCCCAGAACCTCCCCACCCGGAAGAAGAGGAGGAGATTGCGAAGAGCTCTTGTAACGTCGGGACCCACATCTTTTTGTGAAACCCGTTCGCATGCAGGCAGACCAACGTCACTCCCTGATAAGGTGCTCTTGTGGGCTTGGTCTTGGTCTTGGTGTTTGTGCGCTTGCGGACCCATCGATCCACAGCTAGGTAATGTAGAGGTTCTCGCTCTGACTCTGCTTCTTGTCCTCGTTCAGCCCCGGCTACGGATCGCCGGCGAACGTCTTCCTCGCTGAACTTCTCGCTGTCTCTGCGGAGTTTCGTCGCACGGGAAGAAGCTTGGGAGATAGCTTTCTTTCTCCTAGCCTTCTTGCCATCCAGCTCGGTGTACTTCGGTTTGTTATTGTTATTGCCATCGCCATCGTCCGCTCCGGGGTGAGCTTTATTATCTTTATTTGTACCAGAGGACGAGCTGACGCCGACACCGACACCGGTAACGTCCCCAAAGACGTCTTCTCTGGCCTTCCCAGCGGGCCTGGTAGAGCCAGGTCGGGATCGAGGGAAAGCGCAGGGGGAAGAGTGTTTGTATAGCTCAAAGCCTTCGAGTGAGAGTGCGAGCTTCGACTCCGGAGTACCACGGTAACTGTCCTTGTCCGGATGGCGATGAGCGGAGGTGGGATGATTGCTACGCAAGGAGAGCTTGGGAGCGATGTTACGCGAAGACGAGGGAGGAAGGATGGGGAGGAGAGCTTGAGGAGGCACTGTTGGGGCGTAGGTGTACCGTTCGTTGGGGAACTTGGGAGGTGGATAGGCGTAGGTGGAGAAGGACATTCGGATTGGGAACGGCGTTGGTATCGGTGACGATGTTGCGGCTCGTGTATGGCGGAGGGCGTGCAGTCGTTGGAACAGAAGGTCCCTCCTCATATGGCAGATGTCATTCTTGCTTGAAACACCTAAACGGAGATGAGGATGCTAGCTTGATGGGTTTTGAACGTTGTTCGAGTGGATGGACGGTATCCTACATCGTCAGGTTACCACTTGGTCGCCCCCCCGGTTAATGGAATTCAACCGGCTGCCCTTTGCTCCGGTAACGGCGGGCTAATGCTAACGGCCACGAGAAACACATTAGTAATCTTATTAGAAAAATGAGAGAGCGTGTCCGTCGTTTGATTAGTAATCGGCTAACCCTTCTAATCAGTTCTCACTATCAACCCAGTGTCTTCACTCATTAGTGATTGGTTTTAACCCAGTGTCGCGCGTTACTAACTACTTGCTACTGACCGATGGATGGCTCATACATACAACCATCATGCATCCCATTCGTCTCATATCGACCATGCATAGAGCCAGGCAAGCAAACAACTCGGGAGTTCAACCTCCCCTTGCAATATCAAATGTGAAGATTAAACTAGCCCGGAGACCGACATGTCGACGTTGACACTCGCACCGTTCGAAAAGCTCCTGCCCGATACGCCTGACGGGTGGACCGAGTATCATCAGGCAGTCGATGGTTGGTGGACCTTGTCAGGGCTGCCACAGGCGACCAACCTCAGCCGGGAACAACTTTTACAACTCGAGCATATCGCACTGCATGTCCGACGTTTCCCTCTGCGGCCCGGGACGATCCCGTTGGAAGAAGAACACGCGGCCGGGGTCAACGGGGACATGGATGCGGACATGCCTTTGATGGAACGACGGATGCGGGAAGCGTGGTTACGATTGGGTTCCAGGCCCGGGGGTCAGATGCAGAGGGATCAGGCTATCAGGTGGTATCGGAATACACGGTGAGTAGGAGGGCTGTCGTCGGACGTTGGCGGGCAGAGAGACGGGCCCGCGGTCTGGGTTGCAAAGTCATTGCCTTGAGACTGACCTTGCTTGCTGTACCTCTCTCGCCTACAGAGACACCGCTCGTACAGACATGGCGTACAAGAAGCTCGTCAGGTTGACCAACGATTTCAAGGGAACAAGGGGCCAAGTGCTGGCGGCTGCGAGGTCAGCGATCGTGCGTACCCGGGTATGGTTTGGTTAGGGCGGTGGTGCTGTAGATTATCGCTCTCTCTGACATTTGTCCTTTTTTCGTTTGCAGTCGCCGTCTCATCTTCCTGGACCATCTCATCGACAGCACCTTTCCGATAGTCTCCCGCAGACTCCTCTTCATCATCGTCGTTCTGCACCTCGGTATGAAGCCGGTCCCAGCTCTCACCGTTTGCAATCGCCCTATCGATTCGAACAAGACTCCCAGACACCCCGTCCGGATCCTGTCCCGCAAACTCCTCTTCACCATCGACTTGCACCTTGGCAAGAGTCCGTTCCCAGCTCTTACCCGGAGACTCCGCTTCACTATCGACTCGCTCCCCGGCACCAAGTCGATCTACCGGTATCGCATCATTACGGAGATTCTTCTCGGCGGTATGGCTACGGCCCTGAAGTCGGTCCTGCCTCTCGTTCGTTTGGTTCGTCTCCATACCCCGCGTTCGATCAGGCATATCCAGGTCCGTCTCGGTCATCTCCACCATCCACAAGGACGGAAGCTCGGCTAGGATTTCCTACAGCTTTGGCTCATACGAGCCAGCTGCCACCCGCCAGAGCAGACGTCTCGCCAGACGGATCCCATACAGCTCGTCCGGAGGGATCGACGGTTCCTACGACTACGACCCCGCCTGGTCATCTTCGGGATAGCGACGAGAACGGCGATCTTAAAGAGAATGGCGATCTACCCCATACTACACCGCAGCCAACATCTCAGCCGATACCTCGCTCTACCTCTCAGCCTGCATCTCGGCCGGTACCTCAGCCTGCATCCGAGCCTACTTCTGAGCCCAACAACGAGAACAACGACCTGCCCCGAACTACCCCTCCGCCTGCACTCCAGCCGACACCTCAGCCGACATCTCAGCAACCTACACCTCAGCCGACACCTCAGCCACCTCTTCGAGCTTTCCGAAACGTCGCCTCTCAGACGTCCGAGCCTGAGCCGCCTCGGGTCGAAGTCGAATCTCTGCAAGATCCCGCTGCTGTGCTTCGATTGCGTCTTCCGGCTCTGGATGTTCAGGCGGAGATTGTCGAGCTGCGAAGGCGGTGCGAGGAAGCGGAAAGGCAACGAGACGATGAAAGGAAACAGAAAGATGACGAGAGGAAACGGAGAGAGGCCCTGGACACGAAGCTACAACAAGCAGAGACGGACGACAAGAACCGGAGAGAGGCTGTCAAGACGAGACTTCAAAAGGCCGAGACAAAGATACAACAAGCCGAGACGAAACGAGAGGACGAGGCCAGGAAGCGAGAGGCGGAGGGACGAAAGCGGGAGGCCGAGACCGAGAAGAGACAGGTAGCGGAACAGATGCTGCAGAAGGAACGTCTCGCTGGACTCCAGGATCTGATAGCCATGTCGGGTACAGGTGCGTCCGAGCTGAAACAAAGGCTAGCCGAATCGTTTACCGACTGCGGGCCTTGCAGCTTCAAACCTGCCCGACCTATCCACGCTTACACGGATGGAGCTCAGAAATCGACTGGCCAAGAGCGTCGGTACGTGATCCCGTTTGCGTCTCATCGCTCGTATCCGTCTAATACGGTGGTTGAACCCCCTGACAGGCGCAAAATCACGAGCAGAGGTCCTGGAATTCGTCGCATTGCTGGTCGAGAGCGTACGTCGAGGTGATTCGGGGTCGGGAATGAGATGGTCGCGTCAGATGGTGCCTCTCGTTTTGGCGGCGGTACTAAAGTTGGCTCCCGATGAGGGTCAAGGCGAATAGCATATGGGCTTGTATACGAATTATTACGGACGACACACGAAGCGTCGACGAGCATATGTCATAATCTCCTCCGGGGCGGTTTGGCGTTTCAGATCCCGAGGCCCGCGCTCAAAAGCCAAAGTCTCCAAGCAATGAAATTCGATTGGTACGAATCGTTCTTGAGATACAGTACTCATCAACGGCAACTACACAATTCTACAGGGACCACCGACTACATATCGAACCTCTCGCCATGATCCCTCCACCTGCGGCGGACCCTCATGCCCCTAAACTCGATCCCAAAAGCGAGCCCGTCACTACCTCCCACACCACCCTCAAACGCAAACGTCAGTCGACTAGTCCTCCTCCGAGTCCTCCACCGAGTCCTACGGGAACACCCACCACTTCCCAGTCTAGTCAAGGGTCTTCCCTCGACTCTGCTACCCACGAATTGATCGAAATGGCCGCCAGGATCGCTTTGAAGAAGGGTCGACAAGTGGCTCCCAGAGTGAGTCCTGTACAAGAGCCGTCTGGCATGCGTTGCATACCGTGCTGATTGCGAGTGACTTTTGCCGGGGGGAACCTTGCAGATTGCCAACCGTCTCGAACCCTCCCCAATTACCAAACCCCGTCTCGGCAAGGAGAGACTCGCACGAAAGAAACGAACCATCGAGGTCAGCAGCAGCAGCAGCAGCGGCACCGGTAACGGAAGCACTACTTCGACCGATCAAAGCAGTCAAGAGCAGCCGACTATGCGGGTTAGGTTAGAGCAGGATTCAAAGTTGTCTGGACAAAAGAGAAAGGCGGATGAGCAGCAGTCGTCGCTGCAGATCGGCAAGAAGCCCAAGTTGTAGCGGTTGTTCGTTGTAAAGCCTTGCATATGTCGTCGTCCCGCTTTTGTTCGATGAGCTTCCCCCATCACCAACCGCCATCAACCTCGAATCGCTTCGATCAACCATACATGTCAATCGTTCGAATATACAATCACCAACAGTGTCAGCACGATCATATATAGCCTGCCTTGGATAAGGGACTGACTGCCGCCACGATGGCATCTGTGGACGACGACGATCGAGTACCGGATTCTCAGGACGGGGATGGAGAGGATAGCAACAGCGACGACGGACAGCGTCCTATCCGAGGTCTTCCCCAACGACCCCCACCATCTCTAGATCACCCTGATCGCATCAAGGCATGCTGGAGCGTGGAGAGAGGCATCTGCAATACCTCGGCATGCGGTGCCGCCATCGCTGCTGTTGTTCCCGGTTTGAAAGCCCAACTCCCCGGCCAGTCCAGATGGAACATCCTCGCCGACAGCCTCCTCAATCCCCCTTTGACACCCGGGCGAGTTCTTTCCCTCTCGGGACTTCACCCTAAGGACCCTAGCCTGGCCGATCATGTTGCGGTGTACGCACATGTGGTGACAGTACAGGATAGGGATACCGGGGACATCAAGGTACTACCCTATGTCGGCAGCGCGATGGCAGGAATGTTGCGAAGGGACGGTCCGGGTCCTCTAGCCAGTCGAATGGCATACTACGACAAGGTGATTACGAGGGCTGCAGGGTGGGAAAAGGTATGCCATCACTCTGTCTCTGTCTCGATTCTCCTCTCTGACGGATCGAGTCTCTTGTCGCATTGCAGACCCGCCGAGACATGTCGGAACATGGTCTCGTCTTTCGTCTAACTGATCGAGAGTTCAAGAATCTCAGTGGCAAGGAGAAGAAGGAGGAGAAGTGGAGGCCTTACAAGGTGGTGAGTGTTGCTCGCTTGCAGTCATCGTCGCCGTCTCTGTAGCTGATCGTCCGGGTCAGATCGGCGATACTTGGTTCGTGCTATGGTCGATTCCGAGGGAAGAGATCACCCAGCTGCTGGTACCCGGGCTAGGACCTCCTCTCCTAAAGCTGTACAGGCAGTACCAAAGCCGGGATCCCAATCTGGGTGAGTTGGAGGAGCGGTCTTCGGCGGTCGACTTTGTTCACTGAGCTCGTTGTTCTTGTTGTTGCTAGGCGAGATGTACACGCTGTTGCAAGCGGCGGTGTGGGGTATAGAGGGCCACTATATCCTCGGATACGGAGATGCCTATCTCGGGGACATGCCAGCCTTGCAAGAACTACGGGACAAGGTCAGGGATCCGCCGATCTGGCTGGAGGACAAGGGTATTGATGTTTTCAGGTGAGTTGCGATCGAGACTCAATGCAAGCTGGCACTCACGCTCGCGCCTCCGATTGCCCGATTGCCGATTGCGCAGCCTGAACGCACGCTTCACCTCGTTTGAACGGAGCATCGGTGCACCTTCCCGTCCTCCCACTGCCGAGAAGAAGGATGCGTATCAGCAAACCCTCCTTTTCTACGAGGACATTATCAAAAAAAGGATCCCTCGGAGCGAAGAATCCATCAAGGCCTACAGGTGTGTTTTTGAGCCATGATTCTTTACAAAGACACGTTGCTAAAAAACGGCGCTCTATATACAGGGGTCGTCCCGGGCAGGCTTACGATGAGGTTACGTACGACAACCTCGATCAGCTTGATGGACTCCCCGACCTCGATCTCCCGGAGAACGAAAAGGTGGTCAGCCCACGAGCGAGCAGGTTGGTAGTGGATATGGAGTTTGACAGCGACGGGATGGGGCAGCTTCAAGCCGTATCGAAGCGTGACGTCGTCCTGTTTGCGTTGGGAACCGGTAAGTAAATGCGAGGTCATCTGAATGAATGCATGCGGAAAAGCTGACTTGGTACCAACGGCGCCGTCATAGGCAAGTGGTGGCCCGAGGCTATTACACAAGGGTTCGAATTCAACACGGGATACTCTCTTGCCGACCATCCCCACTACTGCAAGAGGGACCCTCAGCCTTGGGTGGGCGATATTGTCATCAAGGTACCCGCAGGTGAGCCACGTTTGCGAATGCGAAGCCGGCCAAGTTCGAGATTGGTACGGTCAGTTTAGATCAAGACGGCTTATGCACTCTCTCTCTGTCGTCCCATATCGCTACAGGCACCGACGGATGGAGCGTGGATATCGACCTCGAGCACCTCGACCGCAACGGCCTACCTCCCCCGACCGGGACAGGGATCGCCATCAACTTCTGGACCGGATCGCACACGAGACCTCGCAAAATCTTACAACTACGTCGTCAATACGGGAAGCTGTTCCAAGGAGAGCAATCGCATGATCGTGTGCTGTCTGCCTTTGCCATGGTCTTGCGAATATCGATCGCGGCCTGTAAGCTGAAAGACTACCCGCTTCCAAAGTGTCTTCTCGAACGCCCTGGATCCACTCATCTTGCTTGGAACGACGAAGACGACTACTCGGACCCAGCAGAGCAAATTCGGCTCGACTTGCAAGCAGACGGGAAGCTAGCAATCGCGGGGTTTCAACCGGGCCAGGTTGTCGCGCAACAGGCCGAGCTGATTGCGGGTATCCCGTGTCAAGTTCGACCTCTTGGCGGCCCTCTGCCCCGAGGGAGCGTCATGAGAGGTCTCGGCAGGGACGAGGAGGCGGGTCTCCCTGTTGCTCTCCTTCTGGACCGAGCCCGTTCCATTCTCGGTGCTAGCAAGCAAGTCTCGGGCATGAGAGAAGTCCTCGACGAGACTTGGACTACACACGCTGTCCTCCCACGCACTTTGACGTACCTCGGTTACGGGGTCTCGGCTCATCGATTTAGCGTACGAGGCCAGCCGACCATCGCGCTCATCAAGGGTTTCGAGGAGCTGGGAAACCAGACGGCCTTTCTCGAAAGGGTCTCGAACGTACTGGACGGTCTGCAGGATGGATATTTCGAGGTCGGCGAGAACGATCGGCACTGTTTCCTGCAGGTGAGTCGGTCGGCCGACGTCTCGGGCGAACGTTTCTGATTCAACCTTTGCAACCTCGCAGTGGCACGACAACGAGACGTGGGTACAGGTCGACGTCACCACCGAATTGGTCAAAGAGGATGGGGATGTGATCCTACCCCCCGCCTGGTCCACCCACCGCCAGGTCGAGGACGGATCCTTCTGGCCTGACCCGAGCCTGACCGTTCCCGGACTTGGTGATCGGGCCATGGAAGAGGCGCTGGTCGAAGCGATTGAACGAAGCGACCATATCGCGATCGTCGGGTTTCTCGCTGCCACCGAAGTGTGAGTCGTCTCTGTCTGGTCTGTCTCTCACCACCACCAAGACACTATGCTCACGCTCTCGCGCATATATCAGATCTCCCGTCCTGACAGAAGCCAGGCTCGCTCGTCTAGCTCTCGTCTGTCTCCAACACCTCGTCTCGGATATCAGCCTCGGGGTCTCTTCTGCGGACATCAGCCTCGGGGTCTCATCGGACGAGCCTGTCAGCATCGCCAACTGGTTGATTCAATACATCATGGAAAGCGAGTTGCATTCGGATTCGGACAACCTCCCCGACTTGTCGAATGCTAGCATACTTCGGACCTTGCATGCGGTGGGCTTGTACCTGCCCGGTGCTCTCATCGTGCCTCTCGATACCCTGGACCTCGGTCCCCTGGACTCGGCGGCGGATCTGCAGCTCTTGGTTCAGATGGCGCAAGACATGCCGTGGCCCATCGTCTCGCCCTTGCTGACCGAGGTCCCGGATCAGGTGCGACTTGGGAGGTCTTTGGCGAAAACGACATCGGCATACTGGGCGGTTTGGACCCTGACTACGGGAGGCTGGCTCGTCATGACTCCCGAGAACCTACAATTCCCGGAAGGACACGACCCAGAGACCATCCCGCTCCACACGGTACGACAGGTCGACGTTCACAACGAGGGCGACCACCTCGCCATCGATCTACATGTCGGCGGCGGCGGTGACGGCGGTGTAGAGGTCCGATTGGAGCGAGGACTGGGCAAGCAGGACGCCATCTGGAAACTGTCCCGTTGGTGCCATCGGGTCGTCGAGGGAGGAGACCTTGATCCCGGTCTTCCCAGCGACGTCGACTTTGACGAGGAGGTCTGGGCCGAGACGATGTTGACGGTGTTGGCGAGGGATGTCTGATCGCCGTTCGGCTTTCCCCAATCACGAATCGATACGACACTGGTGCGGTTCTCTACAACTCGAATCGATACGACAAACATGCAAATCTATACAACCCCAATCAATACGACACTTATGCAGATCTGTAGATAACCCTTCCCGTTCTCAAATCAATACGACACTTATGCGAACTTGTACCATCCCGCTAGAGCGACCAATACATCATACCCCAAACCGGAGAGGAGGTCGCTTGCGTTCCCCTGATACAATGGTCGATCGAGTACCTAGTTTGATTCTCGAAATTTTGTACAAGTCGAACTGCGCGTCGCCCCTGCCTTAGCGAGAGGTGCCAGCAAGACTTGGAGAAAAGATGAACGTTACCACGTCGACCTCACCAACTATCAACCTCCCTTTCAATCTCAAAGACGAGCAAGCCGGCTATGCTATTGTGACGCTGTATTAGGAACGTGCTCAAGAGTCCTCTCTCTCTGAGCTGCCTACGCGCAATACATTGTCGGTTAGCAATGTCGCCGTGACGCTGTATTAGGAAGGTGCTCTAGATTCATCTATCGAGCCACCTACGCACGACGACAGAGCTATTTCTCGATATTACTAGCTCATAGGACAAGAATCGACAGTAGATTCCACAACCCAAAAGACGGCCGATGTCGGCTGTGGAGAGCCGCAAAATATGGAGAGGATACAGCAAACGATCGAGACGTGAGCAGAATTCGTGTTCTTTCTCGCAGCGTGTACCGTCGTCTTAGGGGTTAGGGGTTAGGGGTTAGGGGTTAGGGGTTAGGGGTTAGGGGTTAGGGGTTAGGGGTTAGGGGTTAGGGGTTAGGG